CTGGTTCTTGCATGCAGCCTTTGGGTAAGTTCTGTGTCACAGAAGACTGTTCCACATCCATTATCTATGAATGCATAAGTTGATATGCATCTGTCATTTCCTTTGTGCTTCACGATGACTGGAACTATCGTCATGCACGTCGATGTCTGGGGTTTTCCTCCAACACTTTTCTTCACATTGGTAGACCCTGAAGAGATCCTTCCAGCTTCACTTTGCACATCGGTAGATGTTGAAGCATCATTGGTGGTTTTCCTTGTATTTCCTTCTCCATCTTTCATCCACCTGGGATCATGCATTAAAGTGTTGTGCATCCTGTCGCAGACATCACACTTGATCTGACTTTTACATTCCTTTTTCAGATGCTTTGGTTTCAGGCATCGGAAGCAGAGGCCTTTCCTTTTACATTGCTCTGATCTTTCTTCAACTGTCAAGGCTTCAAATTTTCGGCACTCGTCAATAACATGCCTTGAGTTGGTGCCACAGAAAGTACAACTTGGTTCCCTCTTGTCCTTCTGCTCCCTATCCTGTTGTGTAGCTGTACCAAATGCTTTTGTGCTTCTTGATTTTTGTAGTTTTTCTTTCTCATCTTTATTGTAGGAAGCATTTTTCTCAGTCCTCTGATATCCCAATCCCTGTACCATGGGATCGTTAATGTTTCTTTCAGTCTGTATGACGAACTGTGCAAGGTCTTCCGGGGTGGGATTCCTATTAGCAATATCACGAGTCAGGCCTACTCGTGATATCCATTTCTGCTGGAGATACAAGGGTAGTTTGCTTGCCAGAACTCTCAGAAAACTTGCACTATCCATGCCTCCTAAGTCCCCTGCTGCTCTAACATGCGAGCAATTATTGATGTATATTGCGAATTTTCGCAATCCTTGCCTATCTCCTGATCGTATCTGCTCCCAGGCAATTGCCCTTTCCTTGTATGCATTTATTATGTTACTCTGCTTTCCATTATATAGTCTCTGTGTAGCATGGACTTGGCTGTCTCATATGCCCTCTTACTTGGTTGTATGTGGGGGCATTCTCGAATAAGCTCATGCGCTTCTCCTCGTGTGTATTTTAGTAGAAGCTCTAGTCTTCTGAAAGGTTCATCAGTTCTCTTTTCAACCACATATTCAAAATTCCTTATAAAGGTAAGGTAATCAAGTGGATCCCCATTGAACGGCTCGAGATCTGGCGATGGTAGACTGTTTTCTGCAGTGAATCTAATCATCTCCCTAAGCATCTGTTTGGTGGCTCCTTCTTCATTGCTCACAGGTTCCTTACGAAAGGCTTGTTCTTGTTCTTGTCCACGATCACGGAAAGAATCACCTATTACTTGTTCTCGTTCTTGTCCACGATCACGGAAAGAGTCACCTCTAAGTTGATCTCGTTCTTGTCCACGATCACGGAAAGAGTCACCTCTTACTTGTTCTCGTTCTTGTCCACGATCACGGAAAGAGTCACCTCTAACTTGATCTCGTTCTTGTCCACGATCACGGAAAGAGTCACCTCTTACTTGATCTCGTTCTTGTCCACGATCACGGAAAGAGTCACCTCTTACTTGTTCTCGTTCTTGTCCACGATCACGGAAAGAATCACCTTCCACTTTCCATTTCTGTAGCTCTTCCTCTGAATCTTGTTGTAGAAGCTTCAATTCTGCTTGCAAGAGAATAGCAGTCTTTTGTCTTTCAATCTCTGCTTCTTCATCCTTCAAAAGCTGACTCTTTCTCAAATTCTCAGCCTTTTCTTTTGCAATTCGTATTTCTTGTTCGGCTTGTTCCATTTCATGTTGTTTTTGAAGTGTTCTCAGTTTCTTCTCAAGTTCACTCGTTTGATGTAAGGCTATCAACTTTGCTTTAAGTTGTCTTTCCTTCTTTCTCTCTCTTTCTCTCCTCTTTGCAGTACTGGCAGAAGAGGCCGATGATCCACATAATGACAATGTGGATTCTGAGTCATCTTGATCTTCTTTCCCATTCTCTAGATCTCTTTCTCTAGTAAAGCTCCTTGTTGCACCACTCTCCTTATCATCAACATGATCAATATCATTGCCACTGGCATTGCTCAGTTCCTTATCTTTCACGACATGATCAATATCATTGCCATTGGCATTGCTCGGTTCCTTATCTTTCCCACCTGGGGATTTGGGAGTAGTATTCCCATCCAGCATAATTGCAATTTACTTGATAAACATTCCTTTCAAATCAGCAGTAACGTGTAGAGTCTAGCCGATTTCACTTCAAAGTTTCATTTCATTCAGCCGATTTTACTTCTGAGTTTCATTTCATTCAGCCGATTTTACTTCTGAGTTTCATTTCATTGAATTACTCACTGTGTCACGTCACGTCAGAGACTTTAGTAGATCTACTTGTGCAGTGTTCGCGAGTATCACGCCCGGGGGCTTTGCCGTGTCGAATTCCTTCTTCCATGCAGTATCCGTTGAAGAATCGACTTTGTTTTACTAATGTAGAGATATCTACATATGATCCTTGAGACAATATGGTAATTTCATGGTTCTTTGTTTATTAACACTCAACTGAACTCCCATCAATTCCATACACCGGAATGTACAAAGTAGCAATAATAGTAGTAGTTTAGTAGGTAAAACAAAGTTTTCCTTCCTTGAATCCGTGCCCACATCATATCATATCTGTAGTTTCCATGTGACAAGCCTAGCTACGTTTGTACAACAATTCCAGTCAATCTACGGTATCCTCAAAACAAAAACTAAATTTGGCTTCTTATATCTTGATCCTTACAATGGTAATTTATGCAAATTTATTCCAAAAATTATTTTAAAATCACAAAAAATGCTTCTTCTCCTTCATATTTCGACCGATTTTGATTTAGTTTGCTTTATATCATAGAGCTAACTTTGGTACACTAAACTTCTACACAGAATTTTGAAATTGTTCTCCATTAATTAATTATGGTAATTTATGCAAATTTATTCCAAAAATAACAAAAATTGCTTCTGCTCCCTCATTTCTTGACTGATTTTGATTTGGTTTGCCTCATCTGGTAGAGCTAAATTTGGAACACTAAACTTCTACACAGAAATTTGAGATGAAATTATGTCCCTTCCAGGGCATCAAATTTTTATTTTTTGACCAGTTCAATAGTGTACCACATAAAATTTACGATATTTGTTGTTGCGAGATGCAGATGAGCGCTACGTCATTGACGTTTTGGTTTCATGAAAAAGTTTGCAGTAGTTTCCAGTACCATTGCACGCTTTTTTTTAGTGTGTGCATAAAGGTTAGGGCGCTTATACTGCGTGTGGACCTATTCTTGCTCAGCACTATGCGTAAACGCGTATAGAGGTAAGTGCGCTTATCTATGTGTGCGCAGTAAATTAAGCCTATTAAACTTGTTTAGTTGTCAGCAATATTGTCACGAAACAATCTTGAATGAAATCTTTTTATATCAAATAACAAGGATCTAGGAGTTTTGTTGTATAAAACAAATGATGCATGTTTTCATTTGTTCATTATACGATCTATCCGCCCTCATTGATACTGAGTGTATCCATCGCACTCAACCTTCGGCTTTGTGCGATAGATACTCACAGCCTCAACTTAAGTGCGGATAGATAGTATAATGAAATCATGCGCATGCATCATTTGTATTATTATAGAGATATCGACTGCTTTGAGAAACCTTGCTGTTTTATATGCTCAAGGGAACCGCGCAGATCCTGCCATTACCCTGAGGCGCGCTTGGGTGGGCAGAGCAGTGAGGGGTCATGGCAGGATCTGCGCGGTTCCCGAGAGCATATCAAGCAGCCAGACTTTGAATATTAAAGCAGTAGATATGTCTTTTATATGCCGAATTGGAACAAAAATCTACCAAGAATTCTTACCTTATCCTTTTATTGAGTAAAGATTGGTTAAAACATCACAGAAAATCTTAAACACTGTCTGTTAATCTCAACTTCAAAAATGACTGAAAGTTTCGATCATTTGGGAATCGCAGAGGAAATGCATTGTATGGTGTTCGCCCTCGCACAAAGACAATTTTAACACGTAAACCAATGGGTATCGCAGCAAAATTGGTCGAAAGAGAAGCAGTGGAAGGCAATGCCTCACATAATTTGCAAAGCCTGATCAAATTAATGGGCAACCAAAAATGATATCAGCAATAACAGCTTTTTGGGAATAACAGATAATAGACAGAAAAGGAGGGCCATGACCGCTGATGTTTGTAACAGCTAGACCTGGCACTAGAGGATGAATAGAGTTTGACATAGGTATTAACGCAGTAATATGGCATCGTGAGCGAAGACATAGGTATTAACGCGGTAATATGGCATCGTGAGCGAAAGGCAATAGGCCTCATTCACACCCTCGTGGCAATATTACATGTATATATCAGCATGTCTACACACACACAAAATTATCTATACACACTATAAAGAAACGTTGTATAAAGAATTATCGTATAGCAAACAAGGCGTCCACACACAGGAAACGTTGTATAAAGAATCACAGTATATGGAACAGAGCATCCACACACACAAAAACAAGTAATCCTGAAACTCTACAGCGAAACTTTGTATACATGTGCGCAGTTTGCTACTGTGGAGTGTTTTTTATTTTTTTGCTGTCGGCTGTCTTTGGTGAGCGGTCATGAAACAGAAGCGGAAACGAGAGGTCAGGTATCCTTTTGCGCCCAGTTACACCGTTTTAGTTCGACCATACGTACGTTCAATGTACGTATGAAAGAGAACGTACATGACTTTTGTAAAAGATATGACATGGCCATGGCCATGTTGACCTTGTTTTGGGTTATAGCCTCGTTAACTGTTTTGGTGTAACAGGGGCTTAGAAGACCTCAATACCAAGGCCCGCCTGGAACTGATATTCGTTTGGAGATGAGAAAAATATCTGACCAGCGCATCTCGATAGATATCCACAAGCGGCCTGGAGGGAAGAAGCTCCTCGAACTCCCCATGGCAAAGTCCGCCACTGCTCTATACTAAAGTCTGTCTTTTGCATTCATTTATATTTTGTCAGATAACCAGAATCCTGTGATCACATGCCCAGCTGACCTCACCTCCGATACACTCACTGTATCATTCACAGTGAATGTCACAGACAATGTTGACCCTACACCAGCGTTGACCTATGATCCTCTAGGGCCAGGTTCTATTTTTCCTCTGGGTCCAACGACAGTCACTGTCACAGCCATAGACAGTTCCTCGAACCAAGACTCATGCACATTTACTGTTACGGTGATAGGTGAGTGACCTTAATCTATCGCTGTTGGGCTGTTTCACGTGTAAAATTAAATTTAAAGTAAACCAATATTCACTCTCGGTCTTGGTGCAACAGATGTCTCCAACACAAAGATAAAAAACCCTCATCTTATCAGGGTTTTTTGTGTACGTTGGAACACAAACTTGGCCCTTTGTCATGGAATAATAACCATTCATGCAGTGGTAAAGCGTGAGTTAACCAAGAGGGGGGGGGGGGCACTGAAACGATTGCTTGCAAAATAACTTTCGAAACCTCTCTTTTTATCTCATTTCAACAATTCATCATCCAGTTTTAAAACAAATCATGTTATATCCATATTCATGTTGTTATAGTTTATTTTATTGTTTTCCATAGCTCCGTGTGAAGTGAGGTGGTCCAGTGATGTGGCGTTGAACATTACATATGATCCACCCGTCTCTGATGAAGATCGCTCCAGCCACCCTATTCCACATGACACCAGAGTACATTATGACTGTGCATGGGGCTATCGCCTGCAAGGGGTGACTGAGTCAAGATGCGAGCAAGGAAGATATAACAATAATATCCCCAGATGCGAGCTAGGTAAGATATAGAAGACAACTCCTTAATTATACATCATGCAAAACCCTTCTTAAATTATTGTTGTACATGTTGGCTTTGGGGGAGGACATTCTCTAGTTACGATATTAAACAAAGTACGGTAATGGTTAGTATGGCATTTTTTTTCATTGTAAAAGAGGGTCAGAATCTATTGGAAGAAAAATAATTTTAAAAAATGATAAGTATTTGTGATAATAATATTAATAATAATAAAAATGATAATAATGATAATAATAACAATAATAATAATGATAATATCAACATTTATACAGTACTAAGTACTTCATGTTTGTAAACACTGTTTAATTACTAACTGAACATAGCCAAATTGCCCTTATAAGGCGCTCTGCCATTCAAGGAATGTCTTTCTACTGGGTACTAATTTACATCATCTGGGTCCTAGAGAGTATCAAAAGTAGATTGATGTATGTCTTTCCAAATAACATTAATCTTCCAGTATTCCTACTTTAAAGGCATCATTTAACAATGTTAAATCTGAGATGCACGGCCCAACGTGTTATCAGTGTCTGTGATATGGTGTAGTATTGAAGCCCTACAAAAATTGCGCCTCAAAATGACCATGAAGTGCCTCAAAAAAGTAAAAATCTTTGAGTGACCGGTTTTATCATATTATTTACCCCAGTAGACTGTAGTGTTATGAAAACCGTTAGGAAAATGCAAAATTTGACTTCAAACTCCAATCATAAATATCTTGATAATCAGACAGGCGATCGGCTTTTGAGATTCATGGGGTTCCTGACTGACCTAAAGGTTTATAATTATCATTGTTGCATGAGCTTTTTGTTATAGAAAAAGAATTTGAGGAATTATTATTATAAACTACATATTGAGATCTATTAGAAAGATTACTTTCAAACTTTGAGTGTTGTTGTAGTTTCAGAGTGGTGAGTCAACACACTGATTACTGAGCTGGGAGACATTGCCAGGCATAGCGCCATATATCGAAACTATACAAAAAAAAAAAAAATCTGTACCTGTGTATAAGACGCACCCCCAACTTTCAACTATTTTCGGCTGCAAAAAAGTGCGCCTTATACACGGAGATTTACGGTATGTAATATGCTTTCACAATCGATGCTGTTGGTAATACCATATTGTAACATTTTTGAAAGGCTGTTGATGTCTTCTTTTGTCAAAAGAACCCGCTTTTGGGATGTTAGGAGGTACATTGTGTAAGGAGAAAAAAAAAAGAAAGGAAACAAGATGATTAAGAACCAAGGATATGCATGGGGCATATATATGCTTTCTCAGAACTTCTCAGAAGTACAATTTATTGGTCATTACAGAAGTCACCATATTGTTGCCAATTGACCTGCGTATTGTTTTGTTCTTCTGACTACTCTACAGTAAGGATGTGTTCCTGGCCTGGATACATTTCTCACGTTGTCCAGTATGTGAACGGACTAGAGACGAACAGACTTGATTTTTACCCTCATGATGAGCTTCCTGAAGGGACCTTTCTAGTGTCTCGTTGCTCACTCCCTGGACAGTATGTGTTGCATGGTAGTGCAAATAGAACCTGTTCTGAGAGCAGCTGGACAGGAGAGGAACCAAGCTGTGGTAAGAAAACATACCCACATTATGGAGATCATGTAGGCCCTATGTTTTCAAGCTGGGCAAGGGCACTCACAAAGTACTTTATATGTCTCTCCCAAATCTATGTGACATTCACAGCGATGCCAATTAACCCAATAGAACATTTATCACATTTTTCGGTAACAAATGGGGGTCTTTCCGGAACGCAAGACAACGCAGTATATTTTTCGCGCAAAAAAGCACACAAACACCCAATCACTACTGCATTTCGAACCTACCATTTTAAAGTTCAAATTAAAGATGTGCATCAAAACATTTAAAAAAATCTGTTTGCAGTCATAATGATCTCCTCCTCATGTGCTTGCTCGATCTTATGCGTGAATTCATGATAATATTCAGGAAGAAAACACCTCTGTCGAGCGTTGAACGGCAAATTCAATCCACAGTCAAAATGGCAGAACTTGTATCCTACACACTAATGCACATTATACAACGCCTACTAAGATTCTTGCAACCTCATTGGTTTATTATTGATCACATGACATGCGCTATAAGTACTGTTGAACGGCATCATTCTCCAGCCGTGCAATTCCGTTTGATCCTTTCGCACCATTGCACGCTGACGTCACTAACGATGTACAAAGTATATGGTGAGGTAAGTGACGTCATAGTGCAATGGTACCAATGGATCAAACAAAATTGCACTCCGCGTCACAATAAACATAAAGCTTGTTACGCGTGGCGCATGGTACGTGCATGGTTTGCTGCCTGCTTATAGTGCCCGCTCACTACTGGCAATTTCATCAATTAAAAACAAACAAAAAATCGCTGAGATTTAGATAGATAGATAGATATTTGGTTTTATTCAAGAAAAATACTGATTAAAAAGGCCCAGGAAAACTGTTTAAGCCCATTAATGTCTGAGGTGTTGTATATATAAAACAAATAGTTAATGGTCTTTATTCGTGCCATGAAACAAGATTTTGCATTCGGTGAAAGATGAGACGCTCCATTCAACTCGGCTGTGCCTCGTTGAATATAGCGTCTCTTATCTTTCACCTCGTGCAAAATCTTGTACCATATTGCACTCATGGCCATTCACTATTTGTATATTAATGCACTATCGCTACTTTAAATGGGTATTGCACGATCATCCACCATCATGCTCCCCCAAAACGAACAACCGCGCATAGAATACTAGTATTAAAACAATAATGACGGCTGCCGCATTGTTTCGGAAGAAACAGGATGGCGGCAGACGGTCTGCTTGTTGCATCATAGACCATTTGCGCAATTAGCGTGTAGCAAGCGAAAGTGCCCATCCAATGTAGTCAAATTCAGTGGACTTGTGAGTGAATGTGTGCGATATGCAGCGCCGTGTAGAGAGGCTATTTGTAGATAGGCGGCATACGCTATAATGTACTTAATTATCATTTTCTGTAACCTTTTGCCGGTTGTTTACTATAATGCCGTAACAAGAGAAATAAAACAGGAACAAATATGGCAATACCGTCACGGTAACGGTGTGCATCTCTGCGTTCAAATGGACATGATGTATGTAATAATAATAATCATCTGGATTTATATAGCGCTTAATATGGAAAAACGGCTTTAAGCGCTTTGCCTTTACTCATACTTATATCCCAGTCATTGGATTCATTCACGAACAATGTGCACCATCTCCACTCCCTGGGGAGCATTTCTACTATATGGTCACCATGTTGTAAAGAATATTTCTGAGTTAAATACTGCATAGGCCTGTATGCACTGAGTTTTTGGCCCAGAAAATCTGCAAAAATCCAATCGAACATTCAAAGCATTATGTTAAAGGGATTATTTAAAGATTTTTTCTAAAACTTAATCCAAGTAAATAAAGTTGAAATGGATACGAGTTCTTAACTCTTGAGTCATATACAATCAGAATTCTCATTATGTTTATAGTACATGTACGTTACCTGTACATGTGATGGGTGTATTAATTGCTCAACATAAGTGTGCATGATTGTTGTAAGCAGTAGACTTTTGCATGTGGACTGTAGTTCTTGCTTCAATCATATTTTTACCATGAATATTCTTTTTCAGTTAATGCAGACACCAGGATCGTCTTTCAAAGCAACCAGCCCCTTGACGTCAGGAGTAATGGAACAATCGTCATTCATCCACGCAGTCAGTTCTACATTTATTGTCACGTGCCTTCCTATCACGTAGCAAGACTTGAATCAGAAAATGGACCGGTGAGCATTAGCTGTAGTGTGATATCATTAACACAGAGTCAACACTCTAGCTGGCTTTTTTTACAGATGATATATGTATTCATACCAAATATTGTAATTTCTAATGAACCAGTTTACCATCTCATCTTGTACAATTCCCCATTTAACCAGAGAAGGGTGTGTATATACATATATATGTATATTGTTTTACTTAATTACATCACATCATAATATAATTTTCATTATTATTATTATCATTCTTTATTATTATTTTCATTCTTTATTATTCTTGTTTCTACAAAATGTTGTTCTGTATACCTAACTCACTGCAAAGAATTAATTCTCCCATAAGTTTTTCTACCGATAATAACAGCAATAATTTGACATATAACATCCAACAAGTTGAAAGGAATTTTCATCAGTCAACTCTTCTGTTTTTATGTTTAAGGTTTAAAGTATATGAATTTAATAATGCCCTTCTGGTTCTAAACAGACGGTATGAAATCAACTTCATGTTATGCTGTCTTCTGTCCTTTTGCAGTTTGCTGTTTATCGGGGCCTAAAAACAATGGTAATGAGTCTAAACCCACCACGGACGACACATTCAGGGCATTTCACTTGCCGGTCTAATGACTATACTCTTTCTCACACTGTCTATGTTCAGTTTGCTGGTAAGATGAGTTTACTTCCTCATCCTTTTACAAATTTTATTCTATTACTTCTGGAGTGGTATTCTACAAATTATTATTTTTCAAATATCATTATACAGGACCATTCGCTTGTTTATCATCAAAAGACGTAATAAGAACCCTCCCCAACCCCCAACCCCACCCTATAGAGACAATTAAATGGTGAGGATTAGGTAGCATAATGGCTTTCAAAAATGATTCAATTTGAAGAACGATATCGAAGTTAACTTTGATTTAGCTCCTGCGCCCGTGAGTGCTTAAAAACGTTTGTCATCTCGTCTACAAGTTGCTTTTTATTAGTAAGGGTGCATTTAAACTGGCCAAATCTCTTTACAGAAGGTACGTTCGCTGCTCCCCTAGCATAATTGTATTTTTTTCACTGGCCACGCTGGAATCACATGACCAATACTGTGCAGGCATCACATACATTGTATCTTGAAATTGAATGAGAATGAAGAATTTTGTAGACAATTCTTTTTTTTTTAAAGTCACAAATGTTCAAATTTGATTACATTGCAGAGATATATTGTGACCGTCCTACGGCACCATCCAATGGTGAAATCCAAGACTTTGACTACGGTTGGAGACATGGACAATATTACATGGGCAAAGTGATCTCATTTGCTTGTAACGATGGCTACATTCTTGATGGCAGAAGGACAATGACCTGCGTGTTTGGGGAGTGGTCACATCCTACTCCAAGATGCCAAAGTAAGGATCAATATATGTCTGTGACGTACTTTATCCTAAAGCTCCATCTTGGCTATCATTGCACATCTAGTTGAAATGAAATGGATTTACATATTAAAGATACGCTATTTCATGCATAATGAGAGCACATCCAAGTATTACATGTAAAGAGCCTCGTTCACATATAACACGCCAAAACCGCTGCAGTTTTTTTTAATGATGACACAAGTGTAATAAATGCTTCACATTTCTGTGTCTTTTAACACAGAGCTAATAAAGTGAACACATGAAGGACCTTTGTTGCACGCAGTTACTATTCATTTACACATTTTTTTTTTAAACACACTTTTTTACGGCAGTTTGCTGCATCATATCTGAGCGAGCCTTAAGCGTTGTACATGTATAAATGTACATTAGGGAGATGTGAGTTCAGCTAGTGGTTGGCTCGATCCTTGGTCTTTTTAGCTAGAGCATTCAGAGTGACAGCTAGCTTTACTGTGAAACCTATAGGTCTGTCCTGAGATATGGAAGAACATCAGATCTGATGGATGCACATCTATCTGTAAAGCCCAATTCACACACACACACTCTCTCACACACACACCCATACACGTTTCTGGTGTTAATCCAGGACTCAAATGTACACATCAGTATGTTATCAAGGACACATATATTTGAAGGAATAACAACTCGAGGACAATCTGGAAATTTACCACATTACAGAAGAAACAATTTCGCAGGGTTCCAGAACCCAGGACGTCCTCGTATTGAAAACAGTCTTCAAAGTGAAGGTATAGTTCTTATTAGTGTCCTTGTTACCCACGCTCCTACAAGCACACACACACACACACACACACACTCTCTCACCCACCCACCTACTTTCGTAAAACAACTGTCCCCACAATGATTTCTGTAGCATTTATACATGTATTGCAGCAAAACATATTAAATGTGAGTCATATAATTTATGGTATTTGACGTTTTACCCTCATTCTAACATAATCATGGTTTAGTAGGAGGATCTGTCATGCATATCATAGTAATGGAAACTATGCTGTATAATGACTATACAGTTCTGATTTAGTTACATGAAATTCATAGATTATCGGTGTATAATTTTTCTTGTACTGTGAAAGAAAGTATAATACTTTATGCTTTGTTCAATCTCACTTTGCATGTTCGTTTGTTTGTTTTGTTTCCTTTGAAAAAACAAACGTCTTTTTTATAATACTAGGAGCGACATGCGAAGAACTACATCCCCCACCCCATGGAACCAAGATAGGAGGGAACAGAATAGGTGAATCTGTGCTCATAGGGTGCAACCAGGGATATCAGTTACAAGGAGAGCATTTCTTGGATTGTCAGGAAAGTGGAGAATGGTCCCATCCTCTACCTGCTTGCGTTGGTGAGTTTTAGGAAACAGATTTGTCAAGAGTAAAGACTAGAGTAAAGACTTGGTGAAAGTAGATTATTTTGTGCTAAAAGAAGAGTTCAATTTGAGATTTTCTTCAAAAGATATATTATGCTCTGTATATTTCAGGTTCCATGGAGTTTTATTTCAATCAGATTATTCACTTTGATTATTACTTCTGTAAAGATACCATACCAGTTGTATGAAAATTGCAAATATTAAAATTCTTTTTCGGCTTTGATGGCCCACAATAACCTGTATGCTCTATAATCCTGACCGTCAGAATGTCTCAGACATTTGGGGGGATGATTTCATGCATGCCTTCTTGCAAATTTTCTGTTGGGATGAACAATCCCTTTATATTTGCCGATTTAAATCTATGTAGTTATTGATATGCCTGTGTTTTGCATCATAATTTGCTGACACCAGATTTGGTTGAAGGTGCTGTGGCCCAACAGGCAATTGCACCAACTTGCCTTCAAATCTTGAGGATTAGGGACATTTATGATGATGAGATTTCCTTATGAGGTGGTAGGTGGAGGATGCAGTGCGTTACATAAGACGTGTCCATCTGAAGAGTGAAGTCTACTTTTGACGATTGGCAACTCCTGTTATCAGTTTAACTCCTGAATGGTGTCAAATTACTACGAGGACCCCTTGATATAAGTCTTTAAAACACGATACCATGTTAAACGTAGCTTCTGATTCTAATTTTTAAATTTCATCGCCTTGAACAGAAATCGTTGAGCCGGAGAGGCCCTGTGATGTGGTCAGTTGCATGGTGTGGCAGAAATGTAAGACCGACTCATCTGGTGTTGGTGTCTGTAGGTGTATCAGTCCCCATGAGTGCCCTGTAACTGATGAGCCAGAGGTTTGTGGGACAGACGGACGGAACTACACCAATTTGTGCTGGCTTCTTCTTCTTCTTCTTCTTCTTCGGGAGTACTCCTCAACGTTCCGTAAGGAACCAAGCGAGGAGGAATGAGGGGGTGCGCACTGTGCTTGTTTAGTTCTTATTGCTTGAGTCTTGGTTGCGGAAAAAGTTGGTTGCTTGGAGTTTGAAGGTGTCAATGTTCGTGGTCCTTTGGATGTCGGAGGGTAGTGAGTTCCAGTCCTTGATGGTACGTGGAATGTAGGAGTGTTTAAAACAATTGGTGCGGGTGGAGTATTGTATGAAGGAGTTTCCTGAGGTACGTCTGGTGGCTCGTGTAGCTGGACGCAGGTAGTCCGACACCGGCAGGGCCAAGTGCCCCCCCAAGGCTTTGTGCAATATACAGACCCTCGAAACTTTCCTTCGAATAGAAAGCAAGTCCCATCCTAACCCTACCATTAGTTTTGTCGCGCTGGTAGTTTGCCTGTAGTCATTGCATACCATTCTGGCTGCCCTTCTTTGGACCTTGCCAATTTCCTGTGTATGTTCTTTGGTATATGGGTCCCAGACACTAGAACTATATTCTACAATTGGACGGACTAGGGTTGTGTAAGCTAAGGATTTAGTTTGTTTAGTACATGATATAAGGTTTCTACGGATGAATCCATTGACCTTATTTGCAGATGATGTTATGTTAGAAATGTGTTTATCCCACTTTAGATCATTGGAGATCTCTACCCCTAGGTACGAGTGAGAGGGAGTTTCCTGTAATACAGTACCTCCGATGGTGTACTTGGTTGTTACAGGGGATCTAGAAGCGTTAAATCTAAGAACATGACATTTTTGGGGGTTGAGTTGCATTTGCCACTTATCCACCCATGCAGAAAGTCTGTCAAGGTCGTCCTGTAGTCTGGTAGCGTCAAGTTGAGTTTTTATGCCAGAGTATAAGATACAGTCGTCTGCGTATAGTCGTACGGTCGAGGATAACTCGTCAGGTATGTCGTTAACGTAGATTAGAAAGAGTAAAGGTCCGAGCACTGTCCCTTGAGGAACGCCCGACTTAACCCTAACCCACTGTGAATGTTCTCCCCCCAATACTACCCGTTGGTGCCTGTCTTGTAAGAAGGATGAGATCCACCTGTTGGTTTTCCCATTGATACCGTACTGATTAAGTTTAAGGATGAGACGATGATGGGGCACAGTGTCGAACGCTTTAGAAAAGTCAGTAACGATCATGTCAGTCTGGGTCCTTTTGTCGAGAGAAAGGGTAAGGTCGTGCATGGTTTGGATTAGCTGTGATTCACAGGAATGACCTTTCCTAAATCCATGTTGGTATTTACTGAGTATGTTGTACGACTCAAGATGGTTCATTATATGAGAGTGTACAACATGTTCTAGTAGTTTACAGCATACAGAAGTGAGAGATATTGGTCTGTAGTTTTCTGGTTTAGTTCTATCACCCTTTTTATGGATAGGTGTGATGTTGGCTTTACGCCAGTCTTCAGGTAAATAGCCTGTATCAAAAGATGCTTGGAAGATTTTGGAAAGAAGTGGTGCCAATTCTTGAGAAAACTCTTTTAGTATACGGGGGGAAATCTCGTCGACCCCGGAAGCTTTTTTTGGATCTAAGTTCTTCAAGAGTTTCTCGATCCCTGGAGTATGAATGATTATATTATTTATACCAGAGATATTAGATTGAGGAATGTTGGGAAGGGTTTGTAGATTTTCTGTAGTGAAGACTGAACGGAAGTATTCATTGAGTATTTCGGCCTTCTGGCTATCCTCTGATGTGAGGACACCCTTTTCTTTTAAGGCGGGTACTCCAGAGGAGTCCTTCCTGAGGCTTTTGACGAAAGACCAGAACTGTTTTTTTGATTCCAAGCAAAAATCTCTAATGTGTTTTCTGTAAGCAGATCTGGTCAACTTATGGGTCTCTTTTCTGATTTCTCTAAAACTCGCCCAGTCGCAATCGTTTCCTGAATTTCTGGCCTTGTTATAGGCCCGTTGTTTCCGTCTATGCATTCGCTTGATTTTGGGGGTTATCCAAGGGGTTTTGTTCTGTTTACTAATAACCTTGGTGGGAATGAAAATATCCATAATGTTCTTCAGTCGAGTCTTGAAGACATTCCATAATTGCTCAACAGACTCAGTGTTTGGTGTTGTAGCACAAAATTCCTTGCCAAAATTGTTCAATTCTGTTTTCATTCCTGTTTTGTCTGCTTTGGCATACAGGTAAACACGACGTGGTTTAGGTTTGGAGATTTTTGGTGATGTGTTTATAACAAGCATGGGAATTCCGTCATGATCACTTATCCCAGGTAAGATGGTAGATTTTTCGACTAGGGTAGGATTGTTGGTGAGGAAAAGATCGAGTATGTTTGATTGTCTTGTAGGATCAGTAACTATTTGTTGTAAGTTATGATCATTTGCCAAGTCAATCATTTGATGACATACTTTCGTAACCTGTGGGTTAGGACGTACGTTTTGGGAGTCCCATTGTATATCACCTAGATTGAAGTCACCACCAATCCAGATGTTGTCGTTGTGTTTACCTTTAATTCTAGACAGGGAAGTTTGCAACTCATTCAAATACTGATGGTCCCTTTTATCTGGTGGTCTGTAAAAGGCACCTACCAATAATGACTTACATCCTACCAACTGAAACTGGACCCAAACAACCTCGCAATCTGTGTCGAGGTCCATTCTATGGGTTCCTACTAAGTCGCTCTTAAAGGCAACAAGTACACCCCCGTGTGAGTCTATTCTGTCTTTTCTGACGACTGTGTATTTGTTAGGAAAAATTTCTTCATTTCTGATCGAGGGGTTTAACCATGTCTCAGATCCTAATACTATGTCTGGATTATTGAATTCCAGACAAGCTGCGGGATCAGCAACTTTGTTCTTGATACTACCAAAGTTGATTACCAGTACCTTTAAAGGTCTGCTGAACTTAGGTTTGGTGGGATTCCTTCCTTTGTTTGAGGTTTTTTTAGTCTTGGAATATTTCTTTGACCTACCAGTAGCAGCTTTAGGTGATGAAGAAGTGATAGGTGGACTTAAGGCCACGTTGTCACTATCCAGTGTTTCCAGATTAGCGAAAGAGTTTGACAGATTTATGGAACATTGAGAGAGAAAGGGAAAGGATGTGCTGACGTTGGGCAAACCACAGTTACAACAGATCCAAGAAACATTGGACCCGCCCAGTGCCTCGTACATACTGCTATTCATATCCATACATTGAGCATGATACCAACCGTTACACTCGTCGCATTGAACTGCTCTCTGCGACCAAGTGCATGGGTCGCCGCATAAGATACACGGAAAAATTGAGCTAGAGTCATTGTTTGAGGGACCAGGGTTCGTTTCACAGTCCCCAGATTGCATCAATAATAGTAAGCACAAGTACATGGTAGCCTGTTTGCCAGGATGTTGTATGATTTTGTTTTTCTGGCATGACAGAACTACAGATATGGGTAAATATCTGTGCTTGAAGGGTATTTGCATACCTGGTTCAAGATCTATGCTAGTAATAAGGTTCCAAGATAGGTATTGTAGGAACTCTATACAATCTATACTATCGATGTCTTTATTTTTGTGACATTCTGTGGATCCAGATCTAGGTCCAGGTAGGAAGTGATACTTGTCATTCGAACTTTCCACCATGATGTTCCACTCAGAAGTTTGGTTAGTAGCATCATAATAATGATCTGTTGTTGTTACGTTTATTAGTATTAGATCTACTGTATCAACATTTAAATCTAGGTCTAGATCTATATTATTTGTCGAAAGATATGGCAGGACAGACCCATGTTGGCAGCAATGACTACTAAATGATACTCCGATTTTGCTGGTTTGGTCAGTCAAATCAGACATGTAACATGGTACAAACACCTGCCCTGTAGGTAGGGATGGGTCAGGGATATTTTGGTACTGCGCCCGAATCCAGTCATCTTGAAATTGGAGTTGGCTGGAATCCACTATTGAGCAGAAACACATAATAAGTAATAGCATACTCACAGTACCTGAAGGAAACATGATGGGTCTATATAAAGCACGCAACCGAGGGGGAAAACACTCAACACCCACCAGTGCCGATCCTACCCCGCCAGCTTGATACACGCTAGCCCTCCATTACGGAGTGTGACGCGGTCATAGAAAATACACGTGTTAAGATGGCGTCCACGAGTCCAACTCCGGCTCTCGCCCTTCCGAAAAATGAAGGGGCAAATTGCACCAAAATTCACAGTAGTATCGACTCGAATTTTACTTCAAGTTGATCCAGAGACTTAAAAGCATAAGATTTAATGGTCTATGGATAGAATTGTAAACCAAAAAAGTGTATTTTGATGAGGAAAATCACAGCGATGTTGAGAGCTGGTCTTCACTCACGCGCGTGCGCACCCCGACTCTCAAGGCTCAAGGCTCACGCATGTATTTGGAACACTGGCATAGAGGTAGCTTCCAGTGATTGGTTCTGCATTAATGGTAAATCATTGACGATAATAATCTGACTATATAGTTTTGCCAACAATGTATTTTTGTTTTAAATCATGATTATTATCATTTACATAATTGTCTACATATTTTATCATTTAAGCTGTTGAGAGCCAGAAGAGTGTTACCTCTGAATATGAGTATATTATGGTTATGGTTCCAAACATGTGAATTGGTGTTATGTTCCTGGAAAGAAAGAAGAATCATAGCATAGAAGCATTCTGATATATTGCTCACAATATGCAGCATAACTGAAAGGTATAAATTTAAGTACAATACATCAAAGAAAAATTGTTTTGATTTTAGCGTGTTGTTAATTATCTCCGGTGCACCTAATTGCCATGTTCATGTATATTCTCTTTATTGGTTTGTTTTACAGAAGAGTTTTAATCTGATAATACCATTCATAATGATCGCAGGCCTTTATGATAAAAGCATTTATTGTAAGTTTGTTTGTTTTAAATACTCCTCATTCAAATTTCCATTAACTTTGACGATACTTTTAGACTTCATAATCAGCCGAACACAATTTATTTTTCCTTCCAGTTATGACCCTTTTTTTAATTCATAAAAGTAATAGACATCGAACCAGATCACAGCACTTTGTGGCATTTCTGGACAAAATAACATCTAAAAATGGATTTAAAAGCCTTACATTCATCCCCCAGATATTGGCATGGTGGATGAAAATTGAATCCAGAATCATTCCAAAGCGAAACTTTGACATGAATGTACATTGCTTAATCTTTGTCCTATAGGGTAGATAGACATACAGTGAAACCTGTATATACAGACCACACAAGGGAGACAAGAAAGTGGTCTTATAGACAGGTGATCTTTCTATACAGGTTGTCACTTAGGCAGGTTTCACTGTACATTTAAATTGGTGATGGTTTGTGTGAAAGAATAAAATTAATAAACTGCACAAAGCCAGGTGTGGAATAGTACATATAAATGTTATCTAATAACAGATATGTTTTTTTTTAGACTCAAATCAATGGAACTAGCAGGTATACCGAAATGTAAAATTTTCCCCTCTGCCATTGTTTTCTAAACCCTCTCCATTCACTTTGGTAAACCAACGAAATAGATTAGTGGCGGGATCCGTCCTGCATTCTGGCTCAAAATAATGCCAATATAAGAAATAGTCTAAGTTAATCCATTTTTCCTTCAAGGGGAAATCCACCCTGATCATAAACAGAGTTTAATAAATGCAGAATTATCTTGATAAAGGATTTTTTTTTTAAAGAATAGGAATTTTTGAAATTTTGATAGACGATAGATAATATGGTAACTCATTGATATCCCTTGCAAATGGTTGTTTATATACAAATAAGTATATGTGTAATGTTACATGTACAGTTAACTGTGCATAACTTGGAAGTTGCACAAGTCAAATTATCCTGAAGTCGAATCAATTTTTTGGGGGACGAAACTACAGTAATTGCAAAACATATGTTATTTATATTTACACTTGTAAATACATTTACAGCTACTGTGCATATATTGATATTGCAAAAGTCAAACTATTTTTTGTGGTCCCAACAGATTTGAACTCTTTAATGGTAGGTCACCTCTTCAAAGTTGTTTTTGCTGAAAAGAATGAATTTTGTTTTATAGATGTGTGTGAAAGACCATTGTGTCAAGCAAAGAATGTAGGAAACAGGTATGAGATTTATGGAAATGATTGCTAACTTTAAATTCAACTTTTAAAATCTTTCTTTGATACTTTTTGTCTGCTTCATCTTCAAAACCCAACTGTAATGCAAGTTTTATATGGAAACTTTGATTTATGGCATTTTCATTTACTGGTAGTACAAGAATATGCATGAAATTCTTGTGACATTTATATAGAATTCTGCAATTACAGCTCAGCTAAAGTTTGCAAATACAAGTAAATAATAGACTTTTGTTTTGATTTTAAGCTCTAGGAATTGTCGGTTATTTATCAATTAGCAACTTTGTTGCCGTTTTGATAAGTGATTACCGAGACAGCCAGGACTTTTTTTCTTGTCTGTAATATGGAAAATTGTAGGAAAGAGTGAGTTTAACCCAATCAGAACGATTGCAGTTTCAGTGAATCAAGAATTCTTCCCTAGGTATACTATACTATACTATACAACCTTTCACACTATGGTATACGTGGAAGGGCCTTGGAGTGGTTTGAAAGCTACTTGAATTAAACAACTTAAATTTCTATTCCTTAAATTCTATTATAAATGACTGATGTGGAAGGCTAGTCAATGCACCCTTTCGGACAAACCAGGGGGGGGGCTTTGGTTTAATGGTCTCGTTCAAGTCTAACGTGACGTGACGCTACCCACCCTTTCGGTATAAGTCATTACAATCAAACTTGAATTTTAAAATTGCTTCTATTTTGGTTTCCAAAATTGCTCCGTGGCGGAGGCATCATTTTCGACTGCGGCCAGTCGAAGGTCCATCTAGTTTGGGAAGTTTTCTGTTGGGATGAATGTTGTGATATGCGATATCCGAATATTCGGTATCCGTCGTAGTTGAATTAATAACATGTCCACCATAACAAACCAGTCTGCCGACTCGCTATTATCGTGAGTTATCTACCATTACTAAGACCCTCAAACTCATTATGGTGGCAGCGGTGGGATATATATTATCCTGAGTTATCTACCATTACTAAGACCCTCAAACTCATTAAAAACCATGCCAAATTTAAGCTGTAATAGCTAGCTAACAGCTCAGGTGATCGAGACCAAATGCAATCATGACTATTTTATTTATTTTGAATTAAGAATCAGCATCACAGTTACCGCACCAAATAGAAATTATTATTTTGAGTTTGACTAGGAAAAATGGGTCAAGACTCAATTTATGATTTAAAAGGCTGACGGCCCTGACCATTATTGATTCTAAGACTAATGAATGATTATTTTAGATAAATTCATTGTCCCCAACATCTATCTTATCTCTTAGTCTTACGTCTTATTAATATAATAGGGAGCTGGCCAATACCTGGGCGTCCAAGTCAGATTTTTGCTAGATCTAAAACAAAGTAGAAATTTAACCAAAAGAAATTTTAATTTAATGACATAAACAAAGAATATAATAATACATTCCACAACATACCTATAATCACGGATCTGTTACGGTCTTTCACCATTTGTTCAAGTTAACGATCTTGCAGATTTTGACAGATTTGAATCCAAGAATTGTCGTAGCAGAAGAACATAACCCGCACACAGGACTGACTATATAATGTTCCAGGACACGGTGGGTTGGTCCCTTAAATACTTCCCATTGGCAACAGTTAGCCTAAAAATGTGGGATCTAACTGAGTGACTACCGAGACAGCCAAGACTTGTTTCTTTTTATCTGTATATAATATGGACAATTTTAGGAAAGAATGAGTTTAACCCAATCAGAACAATTGAAATTTCATTGAATCAATTATCCCTATAGTAGACATGAGTACTTGTATATGCTAAATTTGATGCTCTTATTATGTGATCATATCTGACAAACTCTAGAGCCAGTACCCCAGCCACCTCCCCAACCTGATGAATTCAGCGGCGAAAGCGACTGGCCATGATAATGATCCAGAGGAGCAAATTTTGTTAGTTTCATCTGATCCAGACATCATTCCTACCATGGCCCGCACCAACACAGACAGCGTTTATTCGGCGCTTTCATCAGAATCCTCTTGGGATGAGACAGCTTAAATCTCGTCTACGATCGAGTCTGTCAATGTGGGGAAGCCCCAGTGGTATCACTTCATATTCAAAGGTGTCGCACATGATGGTTGGCGGAGTCGATAACGACCCCCTATTTTGCAAACTCTCAAAAACATTTTCCACAAAATGTTACCCCCGTTTGCGCGAAAACCATGACAAAACAAGGTTTTAATATATTCCTATTAAGGCGTTTCAAGTACATGTACACATTCACACCAAGAACTCTAAAACATTGTACATACGGTATGCATTCATGTTGGCAAACATAGTGCAAAGGTGACTATTTTTCATAAATTTCTTGCACTTTCAAAAAGGCATATTTTTATATCCAAACCCAAAACGAAAAAAAGAACATGCCTGTTTATATATTAAAATCCGTGAAATTCGCTTAAAATTGTCCATTTCTTAAATTACACCAGTACATACAGTTGGCATGAAGTGATATCACTGGAGCAGAAGAATTTATGTTGTTTGAAAATGACATCTGTTGGTGCTTTACGGCTTTATGGGGTAGTTTTATGGAATCATGTTTACTTTTATGTCAGCAACAGGTACAGTATTTTAGTGTTACAACAATTTGAAATCACGCCAAGTGAACACTTTTCATTGGTGTTTTGCAGAGGTATCTCTGAACTATTGGTGAACAGTCAGCTTGTCCTAGTTAAGATCTGTTATGAAACATATGATGATTAATTAACATACCTAGCTATCACTAACATAAAAAATGGAAGGGATTTTCAAAATACTATTTGACTTATTACATTAGCATATTGACAATGTTACAATTTGTTCACCATACATCTGTTCTGAGAGAATTTATGAGCACACATTGTTGGGTATAAAATGTTGTATGTCCACGATAAAGGCTTGTTCGGATATAGTGCTGTAAACCGTTACACAAAAGCCGCCACATACGTTTTTTAATGTATACATAAAAGGCAACTGCGCTGAACTAAGGACTTCGCGTATTCACTAGGATATGTGTTGCAAGATACAGAAATGTGTAGTGTACTACACGTGACGTTGTCATAAAGAATCACTGGGGTTATGCCGGGCCATGTCTGAACAAACCTTGAAGGGAAATTTCTGGAAATTTTTTTAATCAATTTTGTACATTCCAAGTATAAATTGTTTTTAAATTCAATCAAAGAGAGAGAGAGAGAGAGAGAGCTAGAGTTGTTTCAAAAATTTGATTCTGACTATGAATAAATTGGCATAGGAATTGATAAGGGTATGGAAAAGTTTGTAACAGTAATAAAAAGATGGTGCTGAAGAATTTTGTCTAGTTGTCATCGTCTTTAGAAACTTTGTAGGTATCGAATATAGTGATGCATGTATATAACCATGAAAGAGGAAATCTATTAAAAATATGAACATTCTAATTATATCTAGTTCGTAATGCAACAAATTAAGAAAAGTAAAAGTCCTTGACACATTTTTATGCAGATTCTAGTATTATGGTGATTTCTAATAACCTGTTTGCTTGTTTTTGTTTGTTTATATAGTATCTTGAGAAGAAAGTCTTTTATTTTGGATGAATACATGTCATGTAGTTACTTTTAGAATTTGCTGGGGAAAAGCTAATGATTTTTTTTCTCAATTTGCTTGAATGATATATAGGAAAACTGTGAGCAAAATGAAAATGTTAAGGTAACCCTGCCCCCGGCTCCCCACCCCCCCTCCCACCCTCCCACTTTTCGCTAATAACTCCCCTGTCTTTTGAGCAGTTCTTTTGGACAAAAATGTCATGAATTGCAGTATAGAAATGATGTATCTTTATATTTTTCTTGGTAATCTTGGTCCTTTGGACTGATACCCTGTTGCTGTTTATAAAATGTTTGGATGGAGGGTGGGGGTTGGGTAAATGTGGGGTATACAGGTGTACCAGACCCCCATTGTCGGGCCTTAAAATGTGCATGTACTGTATTTTGTAAAATTGTAGGTGAACGCAGTGTACAGAATACTTTGTCATCATCTTATGTTTTCTTATAGTTGAAAAAAGGAAATATATACATGAGTTATTTGGCTATGCACGTGTATTTTTTGCTTATTTTTCGTCACATAATTAATGTACATGTATTTGCTCTAGGCGACTCTGTCATTGAATTTTTGTATAAATAAAACTTTATCAAGGTCTATAATGCAAAAGATAGGTCTTCTCTTAGTGCTTGTTGTTTAATCATGCCTTTATTTCATATAAAGTTACATTCAATACCAGGTCCATGTTCCCTTTCCGAAACCATGGCAGGTCGCACTACAAATATAACATATGCAAACAATAATGCATTACAGTTATAGATATATATCGATCATGCATAATAACAATTATATATTAATCATGTATAGTTACAATTTTATACATTAATCATTGATCAATACACATTACATTCATATATCAACCATGTATAGTAACAATCATTAATCGTGCCTGCATCAATAATGCTTAGGTTGGCAACGAAAATTAAAATTTAAAAATTTAAAAAAATTAAGGGGATTATGATTTTCTGAGCATGTGGGTAAAGGCTCGGAGTAGAAAACGATGTAAGAAATGTGAAAGAGATGGGAAAGTAGAGGGTACATTATAGGTTGGAGATAAAGTGTAAACGAGTGAAAACAAGTAATTCCACTTGGAATGGACGTAGTGGAAGAAAAGGAGAAAGTTGGGGGGGGGGGGGTAAAGAGAGAAGAGGGGAGAAAAGGCAAGCAGATGGAGTAAAGGAGGCGGAGGTTGGAGAGGTAGGCGAGGAAGAAAAGTTTAGGAAGAATGAGAGTAAGAGGGAGAAGAGGAATAAGAGAGAGAATTAAGAAGCGTTGAAGAGAATGGAGTGTTAATTAGAGGTCAAGGTATTCCCCATCCTTCCACTGTGATTCTTTTCTTTCATTGAATATGACAAAGGATGACAACTGTGTACCTACTTATGTTCTGAACGAACCGTCTTCTTCCTCTAATAATTTAATGAAACGTCAAAGCTTCTGCGCTTTGCGAGGGAGGGAGGTAACTGAATTCAGACAGGGATTAAGAGTCGAAAACATTACAACAAATCATCTTCTTTCTCTAATGATTAAATGAAACGCCAAAGCTCGCGCGGGAGATGGGGGGGGGGGCCTGAATTCAGACCAGGATTAAGAGTCGAGGACGGTACAAAGAGTCGTCTTCTTTTTCTAATAATTAAATGAAACCTCATAGCTTCTGCGCTTCGCGCGGGAGGGGCGAAACAAGAATTAAGAGTCGGCAAATGTGGTTCTCAAATTGCAAAAGATCCCTTCTCTTGGAGGTAGCAATTTTACGTCCTATTACTCCAGGAAGTGCCTGAAAATGCGCCTAATGTAGTTCTTAATTTGCAAATGCTTCCTACTCAGAGGGACCCCCTCCCACACACCCCCGCTTGCTCCGCTCTCTCGCCGCTGTCCCCTCGCCGCTGTCGCTTCGCTCCATCGTTTTTCATATATTTCACCCCATGCGATTTTGGGTCCCCCGGTAAGAAATTCCTGGATCCGCCACTGATAAAGCTAAATATTTTGTAGGTAAATGGTTGTTTTTGCACAAGTTTTAGAGTGTCTGAAAAATAAGACTAGCTTGTAGTTTTGTTTGTTTAGTCACCGTTCATGTGGCTATAGTGAGTAGTGTCAATGCTAGTCTGCGTTCTCAGACCCTTTTGACATTAAGAAATATTCACATTTGTCAAAAGAGAGAAACGACTTAAAATTACATAACAGATCAACTTATTCGTCTCAAGTGCCCCTATTCCATTATAAAATTGCCCCTCTCCCTTTTTAACCTCGATAAGTGCCCCTTTTCCTTCGACAATTTTTCCTTTGTAATACTTGTCAATTTTTCCATTCTCATAATTAAGTGCCCTTATTAATCTTTAGTAAGTGCCCCGTTTCAGGTAGTGCCCCTTCACCTCTGATAATTGCCCTTGACAAATCTGAGAGGTGCCCCTTTTACTTTGACAAGTGTCCATTTCCTTTGTAAGAAGTGCCCCTTCCCCTTAACTACCCCTTTTTAACTCAGATAAGCGCACCTTTAATTTTAACATGTGCCCCTTTTCTTTATGATAAGTGCCCCCATTAAAGAAATAAGAGTGCCTTCCCCTCTTCATAATTGCCCCTATTCATCTATCATGGTAAATGACCCTATTTAGGTACGAGAAGTTGACTCCATCCACTTTAGATAAGTGCCCTCTTTACCTCCGACAATTACTCTTTTCATCTCTGATGAGTGTACCTTTTCACCTCTAATAACTGCCCCTTTTATTTTGACAAGTGCCCCTTTTTCTTTCTAATAGAAATAAACGCCCCTTTTCCTTCTTATAAGTGCCCCTTCCCCTTTTACTAATTACCCCTGTTCATCTATGTTAAGTGCCCCGTTTATTTTGACATGTGACTATTAAAAAAAAAAAAAAAGCAACTTCCCCCTTTTCATAAAAGGTCAGTGCTCCTTTTCACTTCTGGTAATTTCCCTTTTAGCAATGATATGTGCCCCTTTCTAATAAGGGACCCAGGGGCGGATCTAGCTTTTTGCTAAGGGGGGGGGTTGACCAATAATGACGATGCAGAGCATCGTCCACGAGCCGCGAAGCGGCGAGCCGATTTTTTTTTGGGTGTTTATTTGAACCCCGTAAGTGATGTTTTCCTGGCATCTATTAACACAATGGAGACCATAAAAAGCAGTGCATGATAACGTCTTTTTAAATCAAGTAACAGTTAAATACACAGTTATATCCAGAGTTATCATGTGTTTGGTTAAGTTACCAGATGAGTTGAATATCTTCTCACAATATTTGCACTTGAAAGGGTTTCTCTCCAGCGTGCGTTCCTTTTTCTTTCTTTTTTTCTTGTTTTTTTCTTCTTTTTTTCCCTTTTTTTTGTTTGTTTGTTTTTTGGGCCGCCCAAGGGGGGGTTTAAACCCCCTAACCCCCCCCCCCCCGTAGATCCGCGCCTGGCTGATGGGGGGGGGGCAAGGGACTCTGTGACATTTGTTCGCCCAACCCCCCCCCCCCTCCCCCCAAAAGAAATAATAATAATAATAATAATAATAATAATATTATTAATAATAATAATAATAATAATAATAATAATAATAAATGAAATAAATACATAGAAATAGAATAAAATAAAATTACAAGTTTAAAAAAAAAGATAAGATTTAAAAAAATGGTCCCCGGATTTTTTTTGGGGGGTTGCAACCCCCCCAACCCCCCCCCCCTCTAGATCCGCTTCTGGGACCTATCCCCCTTTCAACTATATTATAAATGCCCCTATCAAAATATGATGAGTGCCCCATTTCCGTTGACAAATGCCCATCTCCCATTCTCATAAGTGCCTTTTTCTCATCCCTGGTGATCAAGTCCCGCCTCTTTCCAGGTAAGAAGTGCCTCGTTTTCACCTCTGATAATTACCCTTTGTACTTAATTGACACGTGTTCCTTTTCTTTTCAAATAAGTGTCTTAATTATCCCTTTTGATAAGTGTCTCCTTTTCCTCTCATCATTAAACGTGCCCCTAATTTGATGTATATAAAGAGAAAAAAGTATTGAAATCATCCCTGATAATGTAATCACAATGTAGGTGTATATATGTCTAAAATATTGTATATTTTCGCTTTGAGATTTCCCATTGTAGAAATTAGCGCCCCATTTTGTTGCCCCCCCCCCCCCACACTTTGGAATTAAGTCGCTTGGCCGCCCCTGAGTCTAGTATTCTTCTTTTTTTTTTTATCCTAGCTCCTCCTCTACATCCTCCTCCTTCGGCCTTCGATCGATCTTCTTCTTCTTCTGCATATATGGATCTTCTTCTTTATATTTGATCCTCCTGATCTTCCTATATTCCTCTATCAGTGGCGGATCCAGGGGGGGGGGGGGGCCCGGGGGGCCCGGGCCCCCCCCCCCTTGAGAAAAAAATCATGTAAAATCACGTGATTTTTTACGATTTTTGGGGGTTGGGCCCCCCCCCCCCTGGCGCTCAAGGGGGGGGTGCAAATTGAAATTTTTTGAGGATCAAAAAAAAAAAAATGTGCTCACTACCCCCCCCCCCCCCCCCCCCCCCCCCCCCCCCCCCCCCCCCCCCCCCCCACTGAGCGAATTTTTTGGCCGGCGCGTTTTTCAAATTTTCGGGAGCAAAAAAAAAAAAAATTGTGCTCTGTACCACCCCCCCCCCCCCCCCCCCCCCCCCCCCCCCCCACTGAGCGACTTTTCGGCCGGCGCGATTTTCAAATTTTCGGGAGCAAAAAAAAAAAAAAAGTTGGGCCCCCTCCCCTAAGAAATCCTGGATCCGCGCCTGTCCTCTATATAGGTGCTCCTAGCTCCTCCTACTTCTTCTTCTTCTTCTTCCGATTCCTTTTCTTCTTCTTCTTCCTTTTCTTCTTCTTCTTCGTCTTCTTCTTCTTGTCTTCCTTTTCTTTTGTTTTTATTTTGTCTAGTCATTGTTCGCTCGATTCATATGTTATCTATGAACGAATGAATTATATATGCAACAAAGCCAAAGGTGGATGACTGTGCAAAATTTAGTAAACAAAACGATTACCGGTACCGGTACCGTATAGGAAATAGACAGCTTTTTAAGTTAACATTCCCGGTTGTACGCGAAGCTCACATAGGTGTCTGTCTATTATTTAAATGTAGCTCAATGCTTGATCTTGAGACCGCCCCATAGACAACATTGACCACGGGTGAAAGCCAGAGAAAAGTGAACAAAATGTCGGGTCAAACCATCCCTAATGCTTCTACTATTATACTTAGCAGTGGAAATATTCTAAACTGGAACAGTTTGAAGAGAAAGGTCCCAAAGTCTTCGACAGAAGAGGTAAATAAGACGTAGCGACGTAGCCGCACCTTCCAGGCAATCCTTGCCGGACGACCATCGGGATCGCATCGGGCTGGGCTTGGCTCCCTCCCGGAATCACGAGTCGTGTGGATGGGCGGTGGCCGTAGCTAGCGCAGCGTGTTATAAATATAAGTCTAGATATAGATCTAACGTTAGATCTAGCGCTGACATTGCTTATGATCTAGTTAGTAGGCCTAGTAGTAGATCGGCTAGGCTAAGATTAGAGATGTTTGTTGTTCATTCATTACATTAGGAATATTTAGAAGTCTAGATCTAACAGTTACACCGGCTTTTAATATTCGCTTTAAATTTTTTTAAACTGTGGTTCATTGACTTCGGTAATCTTTTGAAATAAGCCACTGCACTCCACTGCTCATTTATTTACTAAAATGTAAATTTGTCCCTAGTAAGAAGGTAAAATGTGTTGGCCTAGTGGTTTATTGCTTGTAGTTGTACTGTACATGTAATGTAATGTAATGTAATGTAATGTAAGATTATGTTCATTTTATTTTACAAAAAAATGACTTGCCGACCTGATGATGAAGAAGAAAACTCAAAATAAATTGTTGCAATTAGCAGTGATTCATGGTAGAAATTATCGTTCCAGCTATATCTAGCACGTAGAACTTAAGCTTAAATTTAGCACATGTGATCATGTTCATCCGAACACAGCATCATTTTCCTCAATTGACGTCTACAAGGGCCCTAATTCTTATTGACTATTGCTGGCTGCCAATTGCTTTTTTTTGGAAAAATTCTCATTTTTGTCATATTTAAGGTACAAACTGAAAATTTGTACTGAAATGTACGTTGATATTACTATTTTATGTGGTGCCAATGCCATGTGTGCGTCAGTTATGTGTGAAGTGCGTCACCTGTTTAAAGCATGACATGTCAGTGTGTTGTAATATTAAATATCGGAAAAGGCCATTGAACTTAAGTTGCGCATAAGTTATAATAAGTAGCCCCTCTCTCACTTAAATCCAAAGCCACTCGAGCGGATCAGCAAATAGGAGCGGGTATTATTAATGTACAACGCTCAATGTGTAAAGTTCTATGTCTAGCACTAGAAGAGAGCGATGTTAGTAGCGTATTGCTGAGAGAACAAAATAAAAATAGAGTAAATTTAGGGACTTTTATGAGTTTCATCATCAGGACTTGTCACTAGGTCACTACTCACCAGGAGATTCAGTTGTTTATGAAGTTTAAAAAAAGCTGAGGCATCAGTTCTGCAATCTCAGTGTCGTTTATTTCTCCTTTCCCTGAAGATCAAGTTCTGTTTGAAACAAACGCTGAAGTGCTGTCTAGACCAAACCTGCGATCAACCGTGTGATTCGAGCTGTCTCCAGCAGGACGTGATCACACTGACTCATCCCCAGAACAGATCGTCTCAACAGAAGGCCGCAAGGGAGGAAATCAAGGTTACAGTCAAGCTTATGATAACAAAGACTGATGAAGAGGAGATTACAGAAGCACTAGACATGGGTTAGTATGCAAGGATATCGTTTAAATTTTGAAGAAAAAAATTAATCCAAAAAGAATAATAGAAGAAAAAAAAAAATTATTATGGTTATTGTAGCATCTTTCTACATATAATGGACCATGTAATGCTATCATATTTGAGCTGTGACGGTTGCTCTTTATTCCTTAGTGCTACAAAACTGATAAACTTTACTCAAATTGGTGTTAGCACTCTTCTGCTTTGCACTCAATGATCTACGATGTAAAGCTGAATGTCTTCTTCTTGTACGTTTGTACCTTCAAACTTTTCTATCAATTAGCTTCCACAGATCTTAAAGAGGTTGAAATTGATAAGATAGATGTCCTGCTACTTCCCACTTGTTGTACATTTATCTTCAGAGATAACAAACTTATCAATTTGCTCCCACAGTTCTTAAAGAGCTTGAAATCGATAAGATAGACGTCCTGCTACTCGCTCTCTCCAAGACCCCCAATGTGATAGAAGATAGCGTATCCTTTGAGCATCTGAAACCCCTATGGTGGGAGTTAGAACGTGAGGTCAACAAAGGCAGGATTGGCACTCTGGGTATATGTGATGCCGATAAGACTATGCTTGAGAAGCTACACCAGTGGGCAAGGGTAAGTTGAGAGAGATGATGGATGGAGTGGGAGCGCCTTAAAGGCATCGTTTAACAATGTTAAATCTGAGATGCACGGCCCTACGTGTTATCAGTGTCTGTGATATGGTGTAATATTGAGGCCCAAAAAATAATTGCGCTTCAAAATGATCAAGAAGTGCCTCAAAAAAGTAAAAAAAACTTTGAGTGACCGGTTTTACCATACTCTTTTTCCCCATAGACCGTAGTGTTATGGAAACCGTTTGGAAAATGCCAAATTTGGTTCCGATTTCCAATCATAAGTATCTTGATAATCAGACAGGCGGTTGGCTTGTAAAAGTCATGGGGTTCCTGACTGCCACAAAGGTTTATAAATATCATTGCATCATGAGCGGAATCCAGGATTTTGTTTCAGAATCTGAAACAAAGTTACCGGATCCCTTTAAAAAATACCAGAACAATTCCTTGATTCACAATATAATATATGATATGAATCAGCAGGCCTCGCCAATCATAGTATAGAGAGAGAGGTCTCAACCGATTTCTGCTGGAAACTGACGCAATAGTGATGATGATGGTGATTATGATAATAATAATATCCAAATAATTACAGGTATTACAAAGTTTTGGTATGGGGTCATGAATTTGGTTCAAATTAACATATTAGAAGCATATGCGTTCCTTCAATATTCATTGATCGTTGTCCCGGTTGAAATCGAGTCTAAAGTTATGAAATTATAAATAAAAAACTCTTTATGTTGTATAGCTCCCTCTCAAGGTCAAGATATTAATTTAGCTATGAAACAATGGTTCTTGACTAAAATCGACCGATTAGCTATTCCCATTTGGAAATTATATTGAGCGAGGCGGGAAGATTCGCCGGCAATTCGCTCGAAGATGTCGTTGACGAAGCTACATATTCTGAGATTTTCATGGTCGCAGCTACCATTGTACAGCCGTAGGCGCTATTTGAAATTTATCAACATTTACTGGGAGCACCGGTAAATTTTTATATTCAATTTTTCTCGAAAACAGAAGTGTTCTAGGAGTTAATTTTTTTAGTGCTCATTATATATCCACAGGGGCATCCAAATATATCAAAATTGTAAAGATTCACTATCCACCCAACTTTCAAAATTTCCCAAAACTTTGTTTTACCTTTAATAGTTACGAGTTTGATAGTGTGAATATTTTAAACGAATGAGAATGTCACACTATTGAACAAATGAAAAACATTCATTTGTTGGATGATGTTTGAAGGTTTGCATGGTGGTATGAATAATCGCGGTAGAGGTTTACGGTACACCATGTGTAAAGTCCTAGAAGGACTTAGGAAAGTGGATAGAAAATAGAAGTGAAATGGAAAGGCGAGAAAGTGGAGGTTGGAAGGAAGAGTATCTTTCGGAAGTGAGTATAGTCCTGAAGACGGACAGTCAACCTGTCCGAAACGTCAAGTCTACTCTCCTGCTCCTGCTCTGCAACTCTACTCAACTCTCCAACTCAATCCAGTCTTCTACTCAAACTTCTCATCCTGTCTACAACTTTCTGGTTTACAGTCCTTTTCAGGACTATACTCACTTCCGAAAGATACTCTTCCTTCCAACCTCCACTTTCTCGCCTTTCCATTTCACTTCTATTTTCTATCCACTTTCCTTAGTCCTTCTAGGACTTTACACATGGTGTACCGTAAACCTCTACCGCGATTATTCATTTGTTGGTATTCGTGGTATGAATTCCTAACACAAATTATGAGTACATACCGGTAAACTCACCAGTAACTTGATTAAAGCTCCTCCTCAGATAGCACAAGCGATGAATGTTTTTACAATGCCAGATGATATATGATAATTTGTCTTGTTGATAATTGCAGCTGATAGAACATAATGTAGCACAGATGAGTTGTAATATACAGTTGCATGTAACTAGCAGAAAAAAACTTGCTTCCTACTAAGATGGTGCACAGGGAAAACAATCTACTAAGTTGTGTTGTGTCCTTTTTCTAGACTGTCTCTTGATTGGCCAGTTGTTGCCATGACACAAAAACATCTAGGGTACAGTAGTGAAGGTATTTCAACAACAAGCACTATGAAAATGACGGACAAAGAAAGCGGACAAAATATACAGTTCCTCAGGTAAACAAAGGAACATCCCTTCACTGCTATTATGTAAAAATGTGTAGAACAGGTGAATATGCATGTGACACCTGTTCTACACATTTTTACATAATAGCAGTGAAGGGATGTTCCTTTGTCTACCTGAGGAACTGTATATTTTTTCTGCTTTCTTTGTCAGTCATGTTCATAGTGAAGAGAGCTTGCCTGATTTATATTCTATTGAGTCACAATGTTGAATAGGCTGACCAGCAGTGAACAAAAGAGATGGTATCAAAAGGAATCGCTGGTCTGTTGATTATGTAAGGCAATTGATGGTTGTGTAGAAAAATCAGCTGAGAATTGTAAACAAACTAATTCTCATATAGATTTAGTCCATTGGATATCATCTCGCATTGTGAAAACATTCATCGCTTGTGCTATGGGGAGGCAAATGTTGATCAATGCCTTACCAAAGGTCATTGGTGCCGTGTTGGGGAGCAAACCCACAACCTTTGCATTTCAAGTCAAGTGGTTACTCAACTACGACACCTCCACAGTGTAAATGTAGCAAGTTTATTGTTTTTATTATGAAATTATTCTAATTTCCATGTGTGTGTGTAGGTGAAGCCTATCATCGACCAGTTGAATCAAGACACTTGCTGCGTGATTCCCCCCGACCTCAATGAATACGCCAAAGCTAACAAGATCCAACTATTGACACACAATGACAAGAGTGGTGAGTCATCCTTTCTCCGCTCTTTGATGATGCGATGAAGGATTATGTACAGAAGTTGAGACAGTATAGAATTTCTCAATGTTCTGATAATTGGATATAGTTTTTGATGATGAAATAATGATGCTAATGACTACATATTCAATTTCTTTAGGGCATGATAATTGTTAAGTAATGATTAGTTATCTATTTGCTTGGTATTGGAATTTATTTACTTATAATGATAAAAATATATAATGATACACTCTACTAAGAGAACAGGTAACTCCTCAGATCTTTCTTAAGAGTATCAAAAGGAAATATATTCCCAATTGTTATGGATAGGAAACTCCAATGGACTGCCCTTAAACTGTTTGCCCTGAATTTCTAGCATTTTTTGAAAATCACATGTTTAATGTTCATTAAATCTCAGTCATTTATGAATACAATGTATTTCTGTCTTGAATGTTTAGAAGAAAATATCTGAGTGCATGTTATGCGCAAAGATATGCTTATGATTTCAGGTACAAGCCTGCAAAAGAATGATAATGATGATTCACATAATAGTATTTAAATAGCACTCATTTCTCTGTTAAAAACCACCAAAGTCACAGTATCCTCATCAAGATTGTACAAATAGTGCTTTTCGATGCCAACTTTAATGGCCCGTATTCTGAAGTCAGGTTTAGTTAAACCCAGGTTTAACTTTAAACCCGGGTTTAACTAAGCCAGACTTCAGGTCTAAGTATCATTTCAGTTTCTGAAAGCCAGGTTTAGTTAAACCCAGGTTTAAGTCTAAAACCCAGGTTTAAAGTTAAGCCAAGGTTTAACTACCATGGAGATGTAGTCTGCTTCTACTGCACATGCTCAGTACAGCTCATCCATCTTCAAGGGTAGCTGATATGGCCTTTATAGGCTTTGTTATAGCTGGATTTCGTGCTGCAAATTTAATAATTTCAATTCAAAATATTCGACACAAACAAATCTCTTTCGAAGCAACCATTGAACGTTATGACGTGATTTTTTGTTTTGTTTTACCCTTTGATTTAATGTTAAACTACTGAAAAAGTCTGAATGGAGGTGGAATTGATCTTTACGAATAATAAATAATACAAAAATCGGGATTCTACAATTTCTGCATGCCCATGCAGATTAGTCAAAACTTCCAGAACAACATAAAAATGCTCTAAATAAGATTTAGATGACTAACAAAGTTAGATCTAAAAGAGAAACTAAAAATGATCAAAAATACCTTCTTGATGCAAAATAACTAGTCCAAAGTCAACATTGCTGAAGCTCATTTGTTTGATTTTTAGTTTTTTTTTAGGACAATGGAATCCTTTTTCGAACCGACATGTCGGGTATCATGATCCCCTTCTCGGTCACCGTGCGCGCATATTATCATCGATCGTGCGCGCATTCATTTGTACAAGTAGTCTACACACGGTTTAGAAATATTGCATTGTCCTAACAAAAAACGCTTAAAATTCGACCATATTATATGAGCTTCAATGTTGACTTTGGACTAGTTATTCTGCATCAAGAAGGTATTTGTGATCATTTCTCTTTCAGTCATTTTAATCTTATTAAGGCCTAGGTCTAGATCTAGATCTAGACCTCTAGTGCATCGTTCGGGGCATCTTAAGGATGTTCTCGATGTTTTGAAATCATAATATAAATAGACTAGGCGCGCCTAATCGGTCTAGGTCTAACTTGTTAGAGTCTAGACTAGATCTAGGGCAGATTCTACCCAAAACTCTACTAGATCTAGGTCTAGAGTTCCGGCTTAATACACTCGTCGGCTCTTAATTATACTAATCCATGATTGTCTTATAAATATAGATTATTCTAATCCAACCTTAGGCCTACAGTTTTATTTTATCTCGCATTTGTTTACATCGTTGGGACGCAATTTGAAAATGTGTATTGCACTCACAGTTTCAAAACTACGTGAGCATAACGTCAAACTAAAGGTATGGGGCTACTATATTTGTTTTCCTCTGCAACAAAGTGATACGTGTTGATTTACTTTGGCAACTTTTTAGTTTCAAGGATTGTCGTACTATACAAATCACACAATCTTATATAAAATATAAAATCTTAAGACTTAGAAAATATTAGGCATAAAGATTCAATAAGCAAATGAAGTATCCAAATTAATGTTCAAACTTGCCGAAGGCATAAAATCGCAAGGCCCACTTTTATCCGCAAGCGATGTGTGTGTCTCTCCAATGTTGGAGTCAATGCAAATCGCTGTTTGTTTGGTATTTAAAAAAAGACAGCGATGACAAACAAATCATCGTCGCCATGATTGTGAAAGGTTTTTTTCTTTCCACAAGAGCTCTCTCCGGTCTCATTATTTGCAATAATTCGTCGTAATGTCTTTTAATGTTGTCTTCTTCTCCTCTGATATCCAACAAATAGTTAGACCTGACTTAAGCCAGACTTAAACTAGGTGTACCCCAGGTTTAAATATGTGTACAATTTCCACAGAGTTAGACCAGGCTTAAACCTAGGTTTAAGTTAAACCCGACTTCAGAAACGCAAAATTAAACCTAGGTTTAAATCTGAGAGTTAGGCGAGGCTTAGACTAGACTTAAACCTAGGTTTAAAGTTAAACCTGACTTCAGAATACGGGCCAATATGTTTTATTATTCCCACCCTCATCACTCAAGACGTGCTTCCACCGGAGGACTTCCAGGCGGTCCTGGGCGAGTTCTTCCCAGGCGCAGACTCTGAGCAGTGGTACCCAGCATGGACCTTGCGCTTCACCGTTCTCATCCGATGCAGGGGGGTCATCACCACCAAAGGCTACATCCTCAAGGCGCTCAAGGATCGGGACTGACCGAACACCTTCAAGTCGGCCAAGACACATCAGGGGGGCGTTTCACAACACTTGGAATCAGTGACAAATGACAGTTGTTGTTAATCCTTGCTTCTGATTGGTTATCAACAGATTTGTCACTCATTTTTGTCATTTGTCATTGATGAAATGCTTTGTGAAACACCCTCCTGAACTCTTTATGAAAAATGGACCAATTTGTTGTGGTTGAGATGGCCCTGCTTGTGCATGGAGAAAAGGTTCTCAGAATGATTTCCAGATTCAGAGGGAGAGAAGGAGCGGATTTGTGAAGTACTGTCTTTCGACAACCATTTTTTTTATTTGTTAAGAAAAACCTGGTCCCCTATCCCTTACTATGGAAAGGAGGAAATAAAATATGTATATATAATAACTCTTTTATATTTCAATTTATTTTTTGCTAGATTTAATCTCTTTCATGTGAAGAAAAAAGAAGCCCAAATTTACTCCATATATTTCTAAAACGTATGAATAATAATCAGGGCTCTAACTTTGATGTTTGGGGGCCTGGGGTCGACATTTTTCGGGACACGCTTGAACTGTACCCCTACCAACTTTCTGAAAGGGTGGGGTGTATGTGTATTTTGTGTACAGGAACCCTGTATTAAAGTGCCAACCCATTTGATAATAACAGAGTTTTAGATTGGTGAAATTTAGTTTATATTTAACTTGATTGTATTCAAAATGGACTTAGAGGAAATGTTGTGGACAATTATATAGAAATTCATGGCCAAGTCACTTTCTCGTAACAAAGTTACTACATTGATATTGGCTTAAAAATAGAATATATATATACCGGTATATCACATTGTGATCACTTACCAGCTTACTGGCTCAGCTTTGATGAACTATAAAAGGGGCAAAAATTAATAAAATTAATATTGGCTTTAAAAAATATATATATACCAAGGGATAGTGTAATCACTTACTAGCTCAGCTTTGGTAAACTGCAAAAGGGGCAAAATTTCATGGGAAATTTGTTTCTAGTGATACACCTTTGCATAACTTCTCAGCATGATGATGTCCATGTTTATTGGAGATGTCATGCTAATAGATACCTCTTTAGTGGGAAGCCCTTGATAATCTGTTGCTTTACCTAATTTGAAGAAAGAAACTAAATTGAAAAAAGTTTACAAATATATAGTCGAGCAGTCTGTCTGATTTAACAAGTTAGCCTACAGCATCTTATTTGAGAACGTGATACATGTATATATATTAAAAACTGTATTGTTGTGTGTTTTTATGAAAAGACTAGATACACAAACCTGAGAATTGTTCTGTAAATGATATTTGATGCACACCACAATTTAAGTATTATGAGATATCTTCCTCAAGGCTAAAGTATTTTATAGGGAAATCAAACATATTTTGGATCGCTTGTTACTCCACTCAATAACAGGTGCATGTATATGTACAATAAAACATAAATTCTATTCATAACTATAAATAGGTCACTTGACATACATGTAGTTAGTGCAGCTGATATTAATGTTGTGTGCCTGGCAGAATTTGTATGAAAATGTCAATTAATTAGTTTTCTACTGAAAAAAATTAAAAAATAGAAAATGATGCAGAAATGTGTCCCTCTGTATTAGAGTTATCAGTGTTGACAATTTACACATTGTAGGAATTGAAATATGAATGAAGATTTAGTCAAATATACATAAAATTGTTTAAAATGTGCAATTTATAGAAATAAACATTGATCCGTGGTGCATCTGTTCGCACCGTCCTGCGGGTATTAATCAAAATAATGTAGTATTCATTAAGGTGATTTCGACTTATATATCTATGGACTATTATGGTAGAATTCCAGTGAAAATATAGTCACCCTTAATTGAAAACTCTGATGTGGATGATTATATTTTGGTGGTGTGATAATAGATGATAATGACACACATAAAAAGAGATGAAAAGTAAATATTTTTACGCTATTCATAAAATTTGATTAAACATACATCCTGAATGGGAATCACACACAAAAAAACATGTGAAGAGAACTGTGTATTTGGTGTTGGTGATGAAGTATACTAAATTGCACTCTAAACTTTCTGTTTAACTATTTGTAAAACTTGACTCCACACATGCACACATCTTGATGCCACTTAACTTTAAGCACAGGTCAATATGTAAATCAGCTTTAGTGTTTTCAATACCAGTGGCTGGTACATGTTCAGTTCAGTTCAGTTCATTTTATTCAAAACCATACAAAGCATGATATAATCTGTTACATAAAAAAGAGACTGGTAATAGTACATCAATCAACATATTCTAACTTGATTACATCATAAACTGAACGGTTTTAGGACCCCTTTAGAAGCTAAGCTTGTGAGCGGGGCCCTATAACAAAATACATACATTTACAGTAAAAAGAATTTTACGTATGATTATACAATGGATGAAAATACTATACTATGTGGTACCATCACGATAATCATGGGAGCGTGAAATCACTCATTTCAATTGTAAATGTAAATGTGTTTGCACTTTGTTGATGTTAACTCTGGTTGCTGTGCTGACAATGTCTTCCACTAGAATGTCCAGTTGTCCACTGGCAACTTGCTTTCATTGCTTTATTTGCTCATTTATCATTATAAAAGAAGAAATGTACATGCAGCAAATAATTTCGAACAGTTGCAGTATTGTCAATTTATGACCAGGCACCAGAAAACCACCAAAAAGTTGCATGTTGTGTTTTTCAGTTTTAAGCCAAGGAAGGTGTATTAGGTCAGGATGGTCATTATTTGTTTTTTATCATTTCCTGAAAGAGTCTATTTTCTTCTACATAAATATTTTGGACCACCAAACACAACAAACGGGAGAGTGATCTGGGACTACTTCGCAATCCACCTACCCAACTGCCAATTTCAGATTCGCATAGATTTAGTGATGTCATTCTCATATTTTAAACATTCTTGGCTTTCTCATTATTGGTCCGATTTATTTCAAGCTTTCGCCATTCTTTTTCTCTGATTTTTCTTGTTTTCATTCAAGTGAACTTATTACGAACGAGGGCTGGATTGCCCTTGTAATAGACCGAAGACTGTATAAAGTCCTTTTTCTCTTAGATAACATATTTTGGTTTTGGATGTTCTCATTTCATTTGGTTTAGGAACATTTAATTGTGATGAGTTATACATCATTTCAACGCTCAGCATATCTGACAACTTTTTGGTGGTTGTGTAGTCTTGTTCTGGACCCTATTGATTTTTGTTATTTGCAGACTATAAGCGTTAAGCCGAGTGATGGCGCGATCCTTAGTGACGGTTTCTCGGGGATGGCGCCGTCACTCGGCTTAATGCTTATAGTCGGCGAATAACAAAAATCAATAGGGTCCAGAACTAGACTAGTGGTTGTGTGGTGCCGGGTCTCATTTGTATAATATCACATTCTTTCCATGATCAGTGCTATATATAAATGATTAACATGTTTATTCTATATTATATAACATCTAAGTAGATCCTTGTCATTTGATTGGAGGATTGTTGGTCACATGATATTCAATAAACAATCTATTGAACGACTACGTGCGTGCAGTTCTGGTTATATTTGCCATGCATTTTTGTTCTATCCAGCTTTATAGATGTTGTTTAAAACAAATAATGAATGTTATTTTATTTGTTCAATAGTGCTCAACTCATGAAAATAGTCACACTATTGAACTCATAAACATTCATTATTTGTATACTATTGATAGAAGGCACAATCCTACACTTTTTACTGACAGCTCTCAGATGCCATGTACATCAGTGTTATTTTATGTAAAGAAAAGCGGTCAACCAAATTGCATTTAATACTTTTACATGTACACATTTGACAGGATTTTTTTTTTTACATTGAGGACACTGAACATTTTTCTTTGGGATCATTTAACTTTATTTAATATCCTTATTTCCTATTTCATGGCTTATCGTCACATCCCAAGGATTTCAAAGAGCAATGATCCATCTTTCAGAGCTGCCAACCATTCCGTTTTTGCTGGAATTACTCTGTTTTTTCCTCCAAATTACGGTATTAGGTTTTATCTTCATGAAATACGAAATGCGATTTTTAATTTTTTTTTTTTTTTACATACCGCACTTCAAACAACTGCCCTAAAATGGTGATTTGATCACAAATTCAATAGAAAACTAATTTTAAAACATACTTGAGAAAAATATTCTCAAAAAAATGAAATGCCGATAATACCAAAATAACCACCAAAAAAATTACCTGCGTGAAAAAAACAGCATGATGAATGAACATTTCTGCATTGGTAGTGTGTCACGCGTGGTTGAAAGTTTTGTTTTTATGAATTCCTTTTTTTTGCCATCATGATTCCTTTTTTTGGTCACACAAGGTTGGCAGCTCTGATCTAAAGCCCACCGCAAAGTCTATGATCCACTTTAAATATACAATGTAAGTGAGAGAACAAAATATTTCAAATTATAAATATGATTAAAAAGAAGAAAACTGATTTCTGTTGGTACGTGAATAACCATCATATTTTTTCATATGGTATAATGTTTTTTTTATATGTGAATCATGAATATGATGAGAGAAAGAAATACTTGAATATTGTAAATGTAGAGATATATGTAGTCTATTGCACCTTTTGTATGCACCAAGCGGAATTAAGGACGATTTAAAGATAAAGTTGAGTTCTGGTCATGTGATAGCATTGTGAAAGAAATGGTGTGGAATCGATTAGAAAACATTGATCATGTAGCATATAAACATTGGTGTGTACTGCATACCGGTAGTTCTGTACGTCACACTCATGCCATTTTCATACAAGCAAACATCTCCAGTATTAAAGCCAATACTGCCCGAGACCACATCATTTGAAATAAGCATGTTTTAATACATGTATCATGAAACAATACATTATACTGAATTCTGTTCTGAACCATGTGGCAAAAGAAAACAAAATCGGAAGGGAGATAATTTTATACATGTATTATTACCAAAAATTACTTAATTTATAATGCATCTAAAGCGTTCTGGGTCGTATCTTTTAAAGCCCCACTGCACTAGTTTGGCCAGGAGGGATATGACCTCCCTACATGGTCACTGACGGGTGGATATCTCATCAAATCAGCTCTCAATTAACATAAAAAAAAGGGAATCCTGGGGGACCAATGGTCACCGATTAGGCTGTTTGCTACATAGAGGGCGCAAGTAGCTATAAGTAGTGCAGTGGGGCTTAAACATGTACATGTGTATTGATATTACATCATATTACATTTTTGCTGCAAACACGTCCATTTAAAGATCTTATCTACCGTATATAACATGACCACATGTATGTATCTACAACTGAAATATATTGTATATGGAACACAAATTACTTCATGAAGCAGTTGGAACATTTGGTGCCGCTTGAAATATTGCATCACAGGTTTACTTAATGGTACATGTAGTAGGAGTTTCTTACAATTTCTTACAATAAACTTTACAGTACATCTCTTCTAACCCACCTTTATGTGTACATTAATTATGATAAGGGAGATTTCAATCTTAAAATTCATACCATTTTCTATTTCTCAAACCCCCACCGAAAAAATAAAATCTTACCCTCCACCAAGAATGTTGTAAGAGACTGGAATGAAATAACTGTCAAGAAAACACTTTAAATCATATATTCTAAGAATCGAATGAAAGAAATTGTTAGCATCATGTATGTAAAGTGTGGAAGAGATATTCGATAGAAAGATTGAATTCAAATGGTACTGCTATTAATTTTTAAAAAAAATTACTTTTCATTTTTTTAATTTACTTTATATAGCACGATTCTGTTTAATGTGTCCCATACAACACAAGATATTTAATAAAATATTTCATCCACAAATAAAAAATCTCTTTATCTAAATTGACATGAATAACATGAGTGACACCAGAAAGCACCCTTATTCAATGGTCGTATAGAGAGGCTCTTAAAAAAATCTTTTGTCGTGAGATACATATTGCAGAGTTACATGTTTATATAGCATTGGGGGTTAATTAAATGAATTACAAAATATGACATCATTTAATCATCGAAACTGACTAGATAAGAAATATCAACAAATGTAACTATTTGTATTATGCCATATACTTTAAGTACATATTTCTTTTCCCCTCAAAAAGATTAAATTAAAAAAAAAATTAAGTATATGAACTATTAAAGATGATTAATAACGTCTATTAATATTCTAAATGTCTTCTTCTTCATCTTTTCTTTGGGTTATGCAGTCTATCATGAAGGTCTGTAGAAAGACTATCAGTTTGATGATAATAGCAACAATTCATGTACATCATTCCACATAAACATCACACATATTTGGTAAACATTATCACTGATATGTGATATGGCACAGCTGTATAAGTACACAATATCTGGCATGTTGTTTAAAATCTGTAACAAGTTAATTTGGCAGTGTCATCACCAAGAACCTGCATGCATTAAAGACACAGGACACTGCTGAAGACACTATGAACCTCCACTTATATTTAAAAGGCTAGCATTTTTTGCATAATCTAGAAGAAAATTAAAGAGTGGGTTATTCTTTTGAATTAATTTAGATACGATGAGTATGATACTCGATAATATGGTGATTTGGAATCAATAAACAACTTAGGTACATCATTTAATTGCTGACTAATGCAATTGAGTGCTGACTGAATTGCAACAGTGACTTTTCAATAAATTCAGCATTTTGAAGAAAATGGATTACTCAAATCTTCAGCTCTTACTTATGGCGATACTAAAGAATACAATATTCACAAAACCTCTTGTTAAGAATTCTTGACACATGATCTTCTACAAATTTCTGATCTGTTTCATACAATTAAAAAATTACAGCAAATAAGAATGGCCACAATTCTATAACAAAACTTCTCACAGCCAATCAGAAGCAGATATTTTAGTTGCTTCTTTCAATTTCTATAATTTTGTAATCAATGAAAAGTTTTCTGAACCAGGGTCTAGAGCTATAGGAAAAAGGCATGTCTCACCTGGGCTTAAAAACCCACACGACAGGGTACTTCAAACAATTTTCTACATTCAGGTATTACAGTGTACTTTAGCCACCCAAAGGTGTAAAAATAAAAGGGGGGATTTAGGGTTGGAACAGATACACATTCTTAATGTATAATATAAACATCAAGTTTCATTATTAAAGAATTTCAGGAGCAACGTGTGTTATTTATTACCACCCTGTTTTATAAGAAGTCTATTTGAGGGTTAAGTTTCCCAATGGCGGTACTGTATCTGCCCGAGGGTATTTTTTCAGTCTCTTCAGTGACAATTATGATTATATGACACCTGGCATTAAATACATGACACAGAAAGTGACCTGGAATACAAGAACTTATCTAAACCCAATTGCATCAAATATCCATTGATGTAACAGGTCAAAGGTTATGAGGTTGAAAGAGATTCAAACATCCTGATGGCTTCTGTTATAGTGTCAATCTCATTCACAGTCTGAGAAAGCTATAAAGACAGACAAAAACAAAATATTAAATTTGTTTAAATGGGATTAGAATATCAATTGTCTGACATTATTCAAGGTATGAAAGGGATGGTTAGTACTACAAAATAAAAGAATAACTTTTGATATAAATATATATTTATAAGATGATGACGTGGATCCTAATCAAATAATTGGTTGAGAGCGTACACATGACCAGGCATTAATTTGCCTAACACATAATGTTGATGTTATAAAACATCATTTTATTGAACAAACAAAACATAATCTTATAAAACAAATAATACACATCATTTTGTTCAAGCTTTAGTAAAATTACCCACACTTGGTACCTTCAAAACATCCTCGGCCATGTTTAGACTGTTCCAAAGGTACCTTGTATGGGTAATTCTTACTTCTGCCCTCACTGCTGTGTATTATTTGTATAATATATATATATATATATATATATATATATACCAGTTGCCTGATGATCGCTCGCAAGGCGTGAAACTCGGAGTTGCAACCATGTTCCATTAGTCTGCCTTATTCAATATATGTATATATATATGTATACTGAAGCTTCATCAAATAAAGATAAGGAGGAGAAGGAGAAGAAAGAGAAGAAGAAGAAGAAAAGAAAAAAAAGTGGACTAACCTTTTCTGAGTTGGACTCTTGGACCTTCTGTGGAACCTTGGTCAGGTAACCATCGACCTCCATGGCCTTCTGGAGACGGTCCTTCTGATTGGTCAGGTTAGTCTGCCGTTGCTTCAGCTTGGCAAGCTCTTTGCTAGGATCGACCAAACCCTACAGGCAGCGGAAACAAGAGCAGAATATATATACATGTCCAAGTGTGAAAAGAATAGTATTTTCATTGGTTGAGGTAATCATAACACGTAGTTTACGCTTCTACCAACCTAAACACCTTTCATCCACTCAAGTCAAGTGATTCTGCACACAGTTTTTCGCTGCCTGCTGCCTCAAGGTCATTGGAGTAAAGATAGGTGACGGTAAATGACCAGGGGGGGGGGTGTTTCACAAAGACTAAGATCAAATTTAAGCTGGACTTAACTATGGCGTTCATGCCACTGTTTGCTCCGGCCATTTACTGGCATTGGTCTCAAGATACAATGGATAGTCACAAATCTAAAGAATTTACATTTTATGATAATTCATTATTGAAGGAAAAAATATTATCTAAAGATCGTAATGGTGAGAGCAAACAGTGGCATGAACGGCCTGCCATAGTTAGGTCCAACTTAAAGTCGATCTTAGTCTTTGTGAAAAACTCCCCAGAGTCCCTATTCAGCCTCAAATACTTTAACACAGACTTACTGTAATGCCCTTCTGGCTCTGAACATATGATATCACTCACGTGAAATATCTGATTTTTAGACATGCCCTAGACAAGAGGGTCATGTAATTTGCTTATTCCCAGTTCACAATTCCTCGCAACTTATCATGTCCAATATTTTAGCGATCCGCAACATAGAGAATTAATTTATCATGCTATGTCGATGATAAAGTACACATCGAAGGCCAGCTTTCCCAATTTTTTGTGCATTGTTGGTGGGCAGAATAATGTTGGAATAACATCTTGAAACTAAACATTGGCTATGCCTACTCGGCTGTTTTTACCGACACATGTAATCTTGAGGCAAATGATGTATAGTGCATTGTACAGTTCCAAAAATCTTGTGTCAAAGTCGTCAGAGAAATAAACGAGGAATGATTCCTTGAAGACATACGCTCATAAAAAAAATTAAAAAAATAAAAAATGTAAAGACTAGGCAATCATACAGAAGAATGCAATCTGATTAATGCAAAAAAGAAAGGACAACAACAAGTCTGTACTAGAAAGTCACCTTGAGGAGCATGTGAACTTCACACTTGTCGGAGACGGTTGCCATGGCGCAACCAGCAGGAAGTGCATCTTTGACTTGGAGGATGACCTTGGAAGATGTTGTTAGTGTTTGGATGGTGTCAGTGTAAGGTGTCAGCAACGTGGCAATGTCTTGGTCGGAGCATTTCAGGTATACTGGAGAGGAAACACAACAGTAACAATACTAACAACAATACTACTACTAATAAAATTAACAATAATAATGACTGTTCCTTATATAGTTCCTTCGGAAGACATACTATGTATGATCGAATCTCTTTAAAGTTCCACTGTACTACTTATAGCTACTTGCGCCCTCTATATAGCGAACAATGCTAATCGGTGCCTGTTAATCAGTGCCTGTTGGTCCCCCATGATCGCCTTTTTCTTATGTTAATTGAGAGCCGATTTGATGAGATAACCACCCTTCAGTGACCTTGCAGGGAGGACCAATCCCCCCTGACCAAACCAGTGCAGACGGGCTTTGAGGGTAATAATCAGGAGTGCCAGGAGTGTCAAGTCTGACGGATACGAGCACTATACATTTTCACTGATCATTTCTTCCAGTTCATCTACGATCTTCATCATTTGACCAAACTTATTTTCTAACTCAGCCCAGTCCTAAAGGTATATATTAACTATAATATATTTATAAGGGAGAAAGTATTTGGGAGAGTTGCTTGTGACTACGTCACAACCCACTGACAAAACTACCAATTTTAAAAATTCATAAAGCTCTACTGATCTCATATTTCAAACATTCATAACTCTCTTATTACTGGTCCTATTCATTTCAAACCTTCGCCCCACCATTTCTCTTATCTTTCTGCTTGCGTACAAACAAACTCCTTACAAGGGTTGGATCGCCTTTTAAATCTCTGACAGGTCACTGCTTAATCACATCAAATGAACTTACATTCAGCCTTTTCTTTGTTGAGCTGATAGTCCGACCTCAATGACCTGGCTTTGTTGATGATGCTCTGAACAAACTCTACGTCCTTCTCAAGAGATTCACTGAACCAGGGATACTACGATAAAAACACACACAAAATAAATAATCATGAAATAAGAAGGAAAAAAAAGATAATTTCCTACATATTCCAACAAAACTTTCAGGCATTCGAGTGTTGATGACGTTGTTGCCACAGGTGAAGTTTACATTTTTACATTAAAAAAAAAATGATGACATTATTTTTTATGCACTTTGTTCTTTGAGCTTCCTCTTGTATTGTCTGATTTTGGCTTTCTGTTCATTCCGACGAGTGCAAGACGAACAGGGGGGTGTTTCACAAAGATCCTAAGTAGAACTTAACACTAAGTTGGACTTAAAAGTTATGGACAGCCATTGGAGCCTTAAAACGAGATATATTCAAAAGCAGAAATTCAAGTATTTTAGACTTTTTATAAATTCCACATCCATAACATGAACTCTCCTTGATGATAGAAAATATGAAGGATTTGAATCAACATGTTATGCCTTTCAAAATAACTTTTACAAAATATTTTCAAAGATGCTAATGGCTTTCCATAATTTTTAAGTCCAACTTAGAGATAAGTTCAACTTAGAATCTTTGTGAAACACCTCCCTGCTTTAGTATGTCTGTTTTCATTACTATTCTTCATATTTATTTCTCATATAACACAGACCTATTCCAATCCCCATAGGACCTTTGTTGCCTGCAGTTGCCATTCATTTACAGTCAAACCTGTCTATAGCGACCGCCCAAGGGAAACACAAAAACTGGCCTTTTTAGACAGGTGGTCTTTGTAGACAGGTTCCTTAAGTACATGTTCAATGAGAAACCATTTCAAGGGAAACAAAAAATGTGGTCCTTGTAGACAGGTGGTCTTTGTAGACAGGTGGTCACTAAAGCAGGTTTGACTGTACAAGTTAAAATAAAAGTTTTTTTGTTCGTTGGTCTTTTGTTGTTGCTGCGTTTAACTGTGTCATATCTGAAAGAGCCTCTAGAGGGGATTAAAAAGGGGTGCTAAAAAAGTGGGAAGGGGTACCAAAATAAGAGGTTGGTAAGGAAGGGGGGGGGGTAAAAGACTTACATCTTGGGCAAGAGGGTAGGGGGTAACACAGATGCTAGGGCGTTCATTGGAGGTCCTCCTGGGTAGCCTCTGGTAGAGCTCCTCCGAGATGAAGGGCATGATGGGACTGATGAGGCGGAGACCGGCATCCAGACAGGTGTAGAGGATCTGACGGACCACGCCCAGCTGGGGAGCATCAGGGGTCTGGAGTAGGGGCTTGGTATATTCCTTAAAAAAAAAAACAATTTGGGAATCTTACAGGCTTCGTTTAACAATGTTAAATCTGAAATGCATGGCCCTACCATTATTAGTGTCTGTGATATAGTGTAATATTGAAGTCCCCCAAAAAATTGTGCTTCAAAATGATCATGAAGTACCTCAAAAAAGTAAAAACTTTGAGTGACCAGTTTTACCACACTCATTTTCTCCAATAGACTGTAAACTTTGTGAAAAATCTTTTTAAAATTCACATTATTTTTATTACATAACTCATTTAGTGGCATAACTATGTATTGTTTATAAATATCTTGTATTTTAATGTTAGACTTTAATGATAAAATATAACATATGTCCTCAATAAAAGACCAGTTGAGTCAATACAATCAATCTAGCATACAAAATGGGACCTTCGAAGTTTCTTCAACCTATCAACAGATGTAAACAACTTTTTTCCTTTTCCAAAACCCCTCCCCCACCCCCCTCCCCCTTACAATATAATAATTTGGGCAATTTGATCTACCAACGTCAGTAAAAGGGTGTAGCTTACCAGGTAGACGTCACATAGATCATAAAGCCAGAAGGCATAGATTGCAGTGGTGATGGCAGGGAAGTCATACACTGGCCAGCCCTGCTCGCATACCTTAACAGCCGCCGATAGTCGACTCAAGAGCCACATGTCTACCGGAGTCTCGCTGCCACTCAGCTGGAGGATGAGATAAAGATGTATTCATTTCATAAAGCAGTACTCGGAATCAAAGAATAAACAAGGAGTTTGAACAGTACTACAGAATGGAGTGAAGGTTGATTTCGGGTGAAGGTGAAGAATAATTTTAGAGCTTGTTCATTCGTTGCAAGTCAAGTTAGGAAAATATTGTAGTAGAAATGTCCCCTAGGGATCAGGTAACTTTGTCTCAGATTCTGAAACAAAATCCTGGATTTATCTCATGCTGCAATGATAATTATAAACCTTTAGGTCAGTCAGGAACCCCATGACTTTTACAAGCCGATCGCCTGTCTAATTATCAAGATATTTATGATTGGAATTACAAATTTTGAAAACAGCTTGCCAAATGGTTTTCATAACACTAGTCTATTGGGTAAAACGAGTATGGTAAAACCGGTCACTCAATTTTTAATTTTTTTTTTGAGGCACTTCTTGATCGTTTTGAAGTGCAATTTTTTTAGGGCTTCAATATTACACCATATCACAGACAATGAAAACGCGTACGGCCGTTCATCTCAGATTTAACATTGGTAAACGATGCCTTTAACCCTATTTAGCCCGGGCTATTTTGAAACTGCATAGCCTGGGGGGGGGGGGGGTTTTAAGGCCCCCCCCCTATGATCTCCGCCGCGAAAATTTGCATACATGTCAAGTGAAGTGTATAGAATACTAAGGTCATTTCAATTTTTTGAAAAATTCACTCATTTGCATATTTATGGTAATTTATGCAAATAAGGTCATAAAATTCACATTTTTGTCCATAAATCAGACATTATTCCTATATATTATATATTATTCCTATATTTGTTAGACCATTTGGAATAATAATACAACACAACAAATTGAAAAACTAGGGTTATTCCTTATGTTATCTATTGTTTTGATAATTTCTTATGTATTTCTTTGTTTTTTTAACTTATGTATTTTATTGTTTTTGTTGTTTTATTTCATTTCCAACTATAATTCAACTATTTTGACCCCAAAATAAACACCTAAACTATAATCAAGACCAAATAACCAATGTTTTATCTCTTTATTTGAAAAATGAGACTTCCATATGTTTTGTACACAAATCACAAAATGAGCAATTTTCAGGCTGACATGCAAAGACAAAAGGACACGTGACTTTGTAATGGTAGGTCCGATTTTCGAAATATTTCTTTCAAAAGATGCGCAAGACTCGAAAGAAAAAAGTCACAAAATTTCAGTGCAAGATTTTCTTGCGTTAAAAAATTATCGCGAAAAATGTCGGGTTAAATGTCGGTTAATGTAGGGTTAAAGGGTTGCTCTTTTAAACGCCCTCTTATTTGAAATATGGCAAGGAAATACTGAAAGTTTGGACCAAACGTCCATGCCACATATGTGTGTGTGTGTGTGTACTCCAACATTTCTGTGTGTCATACATTTGATTTTCATTGAGATCAATCAAGTCAACTTCTTTTCATTTTGACGTTTTCCAAGACTTTGTAGTATACACCAAATCGTATGTACATTTTACTGACACATAATCAACTTTATCCAGTTGCTTCAAGTTTTTTTTTCATAATGTAATGGCAAGACCAGAACTCAATTTTTTTTTTATCTTTAAGACCTCTTTTAAGAACCCATTACTATAGCTCAGCAGACAATACAAAGTGCTCATCAAAAATGTCATCATTTAACAATGGGTAACCATGATATTCATCTAGGTACAGAAAGATAAGGAAGGCAAGTAGCCTTGTGCTAGGGACAAAACTACCGGGGCTAGAACCCTTGACCCTTGTTACATAATGTATGAAAATGCACCTCTTGATACCGGTAATACATTATTGCATAGGGAGCATTATGCCTCCCTACTCCTAACAATGTTAATATTTAATTCCATCTGTCACAAATTAACTTCTCTTTAACTTTCCAATTCAGCCAAAATTGTAACATTTTCAGAAGTTTTGCAGATGAATGCACCGCACAAAATTTGAAGCCGCAAAGGACAACGTTTCAATTAAAATTGCATTTGAACGTAAGATGAGTCCTTCAGATTGATATTGTTCTTAAGTCTTGAAAGGATGAAGTGAGCTAGATGCAAGTGTGTATGTCTCTGCCTACGATAGTTTGACAGTAAGTAAGTTGGTATGAATGGATAGGAATGTACAACCAATCTTCTTCAATTTACAGAAGAAAAAATTAGGCAGAAGCATTTGGAAGCATCTTAAAAAAGTAGGTGTTTCTGTACACACTTTACATGGTTTGCTAATCAATTTTTTGTTGTCGATGATTATTTTACCAGACTATTAAGAAAGCATGTATATGCTTGTAAGTAAATAACCAAGGGTCCGACGGCTTTAAAGTCCTCTCTGAGGTACTTGGTAATGAGGATTGATGCCTTACCACAGGGCACAAGCGCATTGCCTTTGAACCAAGGACCTCTCGATTACAAGGCCACTGCTCTACCACTGAGCCATCGCGCATCCTCCTCTTTAAAGCCCATCTACACGTTTGGCAAGCGGTATTAGACCTCCCTGCAAGGTCACTGACAGACGGTTATCTCATCAAATCAGCTCTCAATTAACATAAGAAAAAGGGGATCATGGAGGACCAACAGTCACCGATTCGGTATTGTTGGCTGTATAGAGGGCGCAAGTAGCTATAAGTAGTACAGTGAGGCTTTAAAACAAATGATAGAACAGTCATTATTCACCTGAAAGGCGGGGCTTGGGACAAAGTTATCTCCGAGTGCATTCATGGCAAACTTGGTAGCATTCCACATCTTGTTGCAGAAGAAACGATAGCCTTGTACACGCAGTACATCCAGGTTGATATCTCGACCTGTCACATAAAGAAAGAACAAACCTCTTAACCAAAGCTGTCACACTTCAAGAATAAAATAGAGGGTTGAGTTTCTGGTACAGATGAAAAATAATTTGTAAGCTGTCTCACTCTTTGTACGTCAGATGGTAAGGACAGCATAGTAGAAATTACTCCTGAAAAGAATTGCTCTTTAAAATGTCAAAAACCACCATGTTTAAGATACGATAAGAAAAAGCAAACATTTTTAGACCAAACTTTCATGCAACTTGGGGTGTGTAGTCCCATATAACCATTTCCGTGTGCAGTGCATGTGGTTTTCAGCAAAGAATGAGATTTCTGTTCATTTTGATCATGCAAAGACCTCACAGGATACAACCATTCTTCTGTGCTACATATGCAACCTTTCCAAATTGCTTCCAGGGGGGTTGTTTCACTAAGACCCAAAGTCAAACTTAACTCTAAGTTGGACTTAAACATTATGGCGAGCCATTTGTAGCCTTAAAATAAAATATATTCAAAAGCAAAAATTCAAGTATTTTAGACTTTTCATAATTCCATATCAAGAACATGAAATCTCCTTGATGATAGAAAATATGAATGATTTGAATCAACATTCAATGCCTTTAGAATAGCTTTTACAAAATATATTCAAAGATGCTAACGGCTTTCCATAATTGTTAAGTCCAGCTTAGAGATAAGTTCAACTTTGGATCTTTGTGAAACAGGGCCCAGGTCTGACATGGCATTACCTTGTGAGGTGTAGGCGCAGAGGGCAAACCTAAGAGCGTCTGTTCCACATTCAGGGATCCCGTTGGGATAGTCCTCCTTCTGGCCCTTCTTGGCTTTCTCCACCTCCTTGGGATCCAGGTTGCCCTGCTCCAAGATTTTGTGAAGCTCCTGCAGGAGAACAAACAAATATATCTCATTATTATCTCAAACTGCAAGGAAGATGATCTGTTAAAGGCAGTGTTTAACAATGTTAAATCTGAGATGCATGGCCCTACATGCATATCTGTGATATGGTGTAATATTGAAGCCCTAAAAAATTGCACTTGAAAATGATCATGAAGTACCATTCTTGTTTTCCCCTATTGACTGTAGTGTTATGAAAAATGAAATTTCCAAAGGACTTGCTACCATGAGCACTGTATACCATGGCATGCAACCCCCCCCCCCCCCCCCCCCCCCCCCCTCCACCATGGTGCCAACCATTCAATGTGAACCGTGGGAACTCACCTCAAGGGTAATCCCCTTGATGACATCGACCGGATCAATCACATTGCCAAGGGACTTGCTCATCTTCCTGCCATGAGCATCGCGTACCATGGCATGCAGGTAGACCTCTGTGAACGGGAGGACGTCGTTCAGTGTTAGACTCATCATCACCATCCTAGCGACCCAAAAGAATATGATGTCGTGGCCGGTCTCTAGGAGCGTACCGGGGTAGAAGGCCGCCAGGTCATCCGTCTGATGAGGAAACATTTACACCCACTTATATTTTTTATCTGGTAGGGTCATGCTTGCTTTTATTGCCATGCAATGTCACCTTTCTCTGATAATAGTGTATAATTCCACATTAATAATAAAAATAGACATTTCTATAGCGGCGTCTGTCTAGAAATTCTATTCCGAGGCGCACTTATTATTACCCAGGCATTAGCCTAGCTGCCATGATAGCGCTCCAGCATTTCAAGGAATGAATTCCTGTCAGGTACCCATTTACCTCACCTGGGTCGAGTGTGGCAAATGAAGATTAATGCCTTGCCAAAGGACATTAGTGCTGTGTCGGGGATCGAACCATGACCTTTGAATTTCAAGTCAAGTGCTTAAACCATTCGACTACGACACTTCTAACATTGTGTGCTCCACAAATTTGTGATGTTACATGTCTAAGAAATGTTCTGTTACTTTTGCTTTTGAATGGATTGATGAAAAACAACATCATCCGAGCTGCAACGACCAATTTTGATTGGCCTATTTAATTTGGGACTCTTACAGGGACTGCTGTTGTGACCAGTCGTTATTAATAATCTGTTGATGTCTGAAGTGGCTATCTTGAATTCCAACAGTGGAAAAGAATATTTAATACATTCATACTGGACTTACATAGAATGTCCAATATCACAACTGTTTTTATATGCCAAACAACTTTCAAGGAACAAAAAGGCTGAGTAAATTAGGAGCATCCTCAAGTACACAAGAACTATTTTAGAAATGATTATACTATTAAAAAGCAGGGGAGTGTTTCACAAAGACTAAGATCGACTTTAAGTTGAACGTAACTATGGCAGGCTGTTAATGCCACTATTTGCTCTCACCGTTTACTGCCATTGGTCTCTGGAGGGACGTACAAATCATAGTCACAAATGTACAGAATTTACATATTTTGATAATTCATTATTGAAGGAAAACATATGATCTAAAGATCATAATTGAGAGACCGATAGTGAGAGCAACCAGTGGCGTGAATGGCCTGTCATGGTTAAGTCCAACTTAAAGTCGATCTTAGTCTTTGTGAAACACTCCCCTGGTGTGTGTTTCACAAAGCCTTTTTTTCAATGACAAATGACTAGAGTCAGTGACAAATCTGCTGATGACCAATCAGAAGCAAGGATTTCAGTAGCTTATAACAAAAACTGTCATTTGTCACTGATGACAAGTTTTGTGAAACACTCCCCTGGTGTGTCATAATTTGAGACAAACCTGGTTTGGCCATCCGAAGATGGAGAATGGGAATATACCAGACGAGAACCAGGTATCCAAAACGTCTTCATCTACAAAAGGCAAAGATGGAGAAAAAAATAAGTATCACAAGTCAAAATTTATATGAAAGGACAGATACACGACTCTAGCTCCTGCGTAAGTTGCTTCATGGTAATTTTCTACACTTGCCAAAATTCCCAACGTACATCGTGGACCCAGTACTAAACCTAAACCTAACCTTAACTCTAGACCTAAGCCTAAACCATGGCAGCAAAGTTGATGAACTTTAATATAGGTCACAAAATATTCTTGTCAGGTGTTAGTCAATTGAGAGAGACTAAAAGGACAATTTGATCACGAAAATGTTTGTACAACTCGCAGACTTATTCCCTAGCATAAGCTTGCTTTGTCCACAGATCGTAGAATCTTTATACATGTATGGTGAACATGGATTAGTTCAGGTAAATGGATTTGTGCAAAGATGAACAATATAAAAATAAAATTGACACTTCTAACAAGCTTCACACCAAAGCGAAATCTAAAACCACATTTTCAACGACTACTATACTATTTTCCTGACCTTGTTCGAGAGAGATCTTGTCTTCTGTGACCTTGAAACGTTCTGCGGCTTTCCGCTTGGCTTCTTCCTGGCTCAGAGCGGAGATCCAATAGTTGTTATCCGTTTCCTGCGTAAAACAGGCAGAAAAAAAACTTCAAGAACATTCAAATGTATGTGCATAATTATATACATATATATATATATATATATATATATATATATATATATAGAAGAAAGTCTAGATTTCTGCTCGGAGTTCGAAAAAATACACCAAAATACATACAAGAAGTAATTATGTTCCATACAGAAGGGCTTAAGGCTTTGTCGAGTAATGATTGTTCTTTTTGTAAACATATATATATATATGTATATATATATTCTTCTTCAGTTGTTCCATGGACATAAAAGGATACAACCACATGTATGTATATAATTCATTTTTAGGGTTTAAATGTAAAAATGTTGGTGATGTACTTGTAAAAGCCCAGAACTTTAGTCGGAAATAAACTTTCAATATCTCATGAAAGCACTTACCTCTCCAGCAGGAACACTGGGATCGTTAATTGTCACAAAGTATGCTGGGATACGATGCCCCCACCATAGCTGTCTAGAGATGCACCAGTCTCTGTGAAGGGAAGAATAATGCAATCACTGTTATTTAAAGATACTATGTCCCTTTTGCAGCCAACATCAAATTCTGTAGAACTTTGCAGGAATTATGAATATGTCATGTATGTCCTATCTGGGAAATTTAAACATTAGCAGTGTCCTAGTATTCAAATTATGCAAGGAAACTTCTTTACCTTCACTGTCAGACACTATTGAGTGACTGACTGACATCTTTTTTTTCTTTGGTATAACCCACCCAATAACCCACTACTTGTAATGGCCAAAATTAAACTGATTGAATCTTTGTGCAGCACAAAACGTACGCCCATTCGGTAAAAGGGTCTGAAAATCAGACCATTACTTAGGTGATTGCAATCACTTTAGTAGATTCGACAACTAATGGTTGTTATTTTCCCACCCATAGCCATTTTCAAGCCCTTTCGTATTGAGGGAAGTTCTAAATTAGTATTGTCTTTCTAATTTAACCTTTTCATTTTTTTTTCGACAGGTGAAAATAAGAATTACTAACATTACACAAAGGTCTGTAATAATATAGTATTAATGACTGCTTTGAGAGAAATAGTTGTTTTTATACGCTCAAGGGAAGGTTAGAATTGTGCTATTACCCGAGGCGTGCTGAGGGGAATAGTCCAATTGTAACCTTCCCGAGAGCGTATAAAAACAACTATTTCTCGAATATTAAAGCAGTCATTAATACTTTTATATGCCGAAAAAAAATAGACTAAAAAATAAAAAATAAAAAATACTTTCTTTTTTGGTCGAAGATGAGATTCGAACTCTTGCGTACAAAAGGTGATGAATCTAAAGTCAGCGCCTCAGACCTCTCGGCCATCGCGCGCTATTAACATGCTTGGCAGTTTTGTACGATATATACATTAAAATGGATTGAAACCGGCTTCGCGTGTGATGAATGCTTCGCAAAAGCTCCATATACGGACTCTTCTTTTACTTTTGCAATGCATATTGGCACGAACTTAGATCAAGATCTATCGGCAGATGTTGTTTTTTTGTTTTTGGAAGTTTATTTTCGTCTTCATGTCAACAATGCAAGATAAAATTGTCGGTAAGATCGATCGAGATTCAATTGTATTGAAATTACCGACCAATTATTCGCACACATACGGTATCCTCCATCGCTCAAACCATTTTTTAACATGTAAACCTATGGGGTAACCATGGAGACTGACCTATTTTTTTAATAACCATGGTTATTAAAAATATTAAATGTTTTAAGCATGGTTACCGGGAATTTTACAGGAACAGTTGAAGTTTATGAATGCAATTTCGACCAATCAGATGGCTGGATTACTTAAGTGAGGTATATAAATAATGTTTTGGACACATTTTTTGAAGGGTTAATAATAATAATAGTAATAGGCATTTATATAGCGCTGTTTATCTGGAAAATTTTATTTCGAGGCGCACAAGAAAAATAGGAAGAATAAGAGATTTTGGATGAGTGTCATAGTGCCAGGTACATGTATTGTTAAAAAAGATGAGATTTCAGCTTGGATTTAAAGGTCTCTAAGGAAGTTATGATTCTCAAATTCAATGGTAAATTATTCCAAAGAGAAGGTGCTGCAGCTGTAAAGGCCCTTTCACCACAGGCAACTCGCGTCTTGGGGATATTAAGAAGATGCTGGTGTGATGATCTTAGACTACGAGCTGGTGTATAAGGCATAACAAGGTTTTGTAACTAGGTCAGTGCCAATCTATTTACAGCCTTCCACGTGAGGAGAAGGATTTTGAATTCTATGCGCTTGCGCATTGGCAACCACGGTTCTACTACACCAGATATGCCAACCTCTTGACACAAAAAACAGACTGAGTATCCTAAAAAAAACCGGGCCAGTAAAATGCAGAAAAATGTTTGCTCTTTTATTAAAATTTAATGAGAAAATAGTAAAAAATTTTGTTGGGGTGGCGGGGGTTTACTTGTACATGTTTCTATGCGATTCCGCTGTTTTTTATGTTTTTGTTTTTTTTGAGAAAAAAAGTTGAAAAATTGTATTTTAAGATTTTAAGATCGTATTTCACTCTCATTATCGTACTAAATACGATTTAATCGTACTGGTTGGTATCTCTGCTAAATTTTCTCCATACCTGCTGTTCCTGAGCCAAGAATACCAGGTCTTCTTGTGCATCTCAGGGATGATCTTCAGTGTACCGTCCTCTACTACTTCTACTGCCCTCCTGGCCATCTCACGACAGTCTACGAACCACTGAGACTTCAGCAGGGGCTCAACGATGTCCTTGGAACGACTGAGGAGAATGATAACGAAAGGTAGCCGAAAGATGGATTACTCCATCATCAAAGGCACATGGGTAGGGTTAGATTTGTGAGTGGGTTTTAGGATAGGTATAGGGACTTCCATTTAGGCTTCATGTTGGGTCCACGGTCGAGGTAAGAAATTTAAAGCCCCACTGCACTACTTGTAGCTACTTGCTCCCTCTATATAGAAAACAATGCCTAAGTGGTGCCTGTTGGTCCCCCATGATCCTCTTTTTCTTATGCTATTTGAGAGCTGAGCTGATAAGATAACCACCTGTCAGTGACCAGCAGGGTGGTCTGATCCCTCTTGGGAGTGGAGAATGTGCACACAGTGTGTGCGAGCAAGCACTGAATCCAATGACTGGGGTAATAGTATATTTGTAAAGCACTTAGAAACATTTGTATTAAGTGCTATGTAAAAATTAAATATTATTTATTATTATTATTTAAGTAGAGTAGGAAGTTGTCAAAAATAATTGTCACCAGATCACGTATCGTTGAACCAAATGATGTTGATTACTGGTCATGCAATTGCGAGCTAAAAAAAACATCCAGAGGTTATGCAATCAACAAACAACATGTATCACGACAGTTCAAATTCAGAAAAGGATCACCAACGGACTGAAAATTACAAACAATGGGTGGTACTAGACACAGAAAGGGTTACATGAAATACGGTTGTCTACAGAGTCTGAAGAACGCCGATGGGATAAGCCTTCAGATTAGGCCCGATGGCTCAGTGGTAGAGCAGTGGGATCATAACCCGGAGGTCGCTGGTTCAAAACTTATTTCATGCGCTAATGCTCTATGGTAAGGCCTTAAACCTCATTACAAAGTCCCTCGAAGACGTCTTAAATCCATCTGTCTCCTTGTTGCTTACTTACAAGCATACCTATGCTTTCTTAGCAGTCAGGTAAAACAAACAAACAAACAATTACCTGCAGGTCGGGACCACCATAGGATTTGGCTTTGTGCCCCTGTACAAATCTTTTTCCTTCAGTGCTTCTAGGACAGCTCGTCTTGCATCAAACCGCCTCATACCCTGAGAAAAATCAGATCAATAGTTATGCTAATTGCTAATGATGATGCTAATATTTTGTCATTGATAATTACAGAACTAACCCATGTCATGTATTTAAATTGAAGACACTTATTAGTTATGAGATAAAGAACAAATGCATGAGAACACAAATTAATCTGTGACGCACTCAGATTGTTGACACTACCACTCAGTGATTTTACTCAACATGAAAGACATCTACGATGTTCATGTGTACATTACCAATGTTACACATCTGATTAACTTTTATACCAGAGTTTCATGTATTATTTTTTTTCTTCTTCAGATCAGTAAAACATCAATATGATCATGGAGAGTTACCACTTGAAAAGAAGAATAAACGGGTAACTGAGTTATGTGTTTAATTGTTTGAAGAAATTCTTCTATAAGACTTTTCTGTTCAGATTTCATTCATAACACATTTATGATCCCACATTGAAGAATCAAATAGTATTACTTTGTATCATTAGTGTGGTAAAATTTATGTCTTTAAAATAGGATATTTAAAGGATTTTGTTTATAAAAAAAAACACCTTATAACCTTGAAAAAGAAACGATGACCATACCTTGAATTGTCCTCCAACTTCAGTGATGTTACCATCATCATCGATCACATTGAGAAACTCTAGATCGTGACGCTTGCCGACCAGGTAATCGGTGTGATCATGAGCTGGTGTAATCTTCACAGCACCTTGGATAAACATCAAGCGTCAAAATAAGGGAGAGTTTTTCATTTATATTTAGTAAACAATCATAGTTAGAGCATTATTTTATTGGTACATTTGATATGTATATATATATATTTTTAATTGGAAGAATACTTTGCCAAAGCTAAATAATGTCATTAGTACAATTAATGGTCAAAGATAACTCAGATGCATTAGATTTGAATTGAATATAATGTTTTTCAATTATCTGTTCCAAATCCTATCTCTATAGTATAGGTACAGATGACAGGCAATGCACATTATAGTCATCATCCTCATCATCATCTTTATCATCATCTTCATAATCATAATCATCCTCATCTTCATCTTCATCATCTTCATAATCCTAATAATGTTCATCATCATCAATATCATCCTTCCCCCCTCCTCTTCCTCTTAATCATCCTCATCATCCTCATCATCATCATCATCATCATCATTCTCATCTTCATCACCATCATCATCATCATCATCATAATCATCCTCTTCATCCTCCTCCTCACTCTCATCATCTCCATCATCAATATAATCACCATCATCATCAACATCAACATCATCATCACCATCATCATCATCTCCATCATCATCATCATCATCATCACCATCATCATCATCTCCATCATCTCCATCATCATCATCATCATCATCATCTCCATCATCATCATCATCATCATCCTCATCCTCATCATCCTCATCATCATCATCATCATCTCCATCATCTTCATCTCCATCCTAATAATAAACATCCTCTTCATCCTCCTCCTCACCCTCACTATCTCCACCATCATCAACACCATCATCAACACCACCATCACCACCATAGTTACCTGTTCCAAATCCCATTTCCACAAAGTCATCACAGAGGATTGGCAAGGAGCAGTTCCTAAATGGATGCACAACCCGCTTCCCATGGAGATGCTTGTAGCGGTCATCGTCGGGATGGACAGCGACGGCTGAATCACCCAGCATCGTCTCAATACGAGTGGTAGCAACAACCAGCTCCTCATCTAGCAACATAAAGACATTACCGGTACTGTTTCATAAACAAGGTTGTCATAGAAATATCAACGTCAAATTTAAAGTACGTACATCCCCCCCCCCTCCCCGAACAAGGAGACGCTTGTAGCAGTCAACGTCAGGATGGACAGCAACGGCTGAATCACCCAGCATCGTCTCAATACGAGTGGTAGCAACAACCAGCTCCTCATCTAGCAACATAAAGACATTACCGGTACTGTTTCATAAACAAGGTTGTCATAGAAATATCAACGTCAAATTTAAAGTACGTACATCCCCCCCCCCTCCCCGAACAAGGAGACGCTTGTAGCAGTCAACGTCAGGATGGACAGCAACGGCTGAATCACCCAGCATCGTCTCAATACGAGTGGTAGCAACAACCAGCTCCTCATCTATCAACATAAAGACATTACTGATTAACAAGGTTGTCATGGCTTCCAATAGAAAAGCGAATCACATACAAAATTCTCACAATGACCTACAAGTGCATCCATAAAATGGCTCCCTCCTATCTCCAAAACCTTCTCTCATTACATCAACCAGGAAGGCATGGTCTGAGATCTGGCAACGACCCAACCTTGCTCTTGGTTCCCAGGAGTCGTACACGCTTTGGGGATCGATCTTTTTCTGTTTCCGCACCACGTCTCTGGAACAATCTCCCTCAGGCTGTACGATCTTCTCCTTCTCTTGCTATCTTTCAACGTTCCTTGAAAACCTTTCTCTTTAATAGTTGAATTTATATATTTTTGTGTACGTAATTTTATTGTTTGCTATCAATGTCAATTAAGTAATGTAATGTTGTAAAGCACTGTGATACACATGTATGTCTGTAAGAGCGCTATATAAATGCCAATATTATTATTATTATTATGAAGCTGCATGGTGCAGCGCACAGCCATTCGGAGCCGTGACACATCGCGCAGCAGTTGCAAAGGCACCAGGGGCCCGTTTCATAAAACTTTGTATCTATAACAAATGCTAAATTTCTATGACAAATTTGCTCTCAGCCAATCACGTGCCATGATTTCAGTAGCTTATAACAGTAGCTTGTAACTTGTTATTGATATCAAGTTTTACGAAACAGGGCCCTACATGGGGGTTATAAGTTCTTCCTCAAGGATTGTTGCAGGTAAGGGGAAGTACGTTTATGAGGAACTTGCATGAGGGATCGTGAGAAGGAGTTGGCCTACATCCCGACCAAAGCTGCGGACACACACATGCAAAAGACGCATGACGAGTAGTGGTAAAGGCCTTAAAAGCAAAATGCAGAAGCAAAAGTAGTTATTCTTATAATCTCACCAGAACCCTCGACCTTGTAAGCAAAATCAACCAGGACTCCAAACTCTATCTTCTGTTCATAGCCAGGCACAGCGAGGTAGGTCCTCCCAGTCAATTCCTTCTTCTCGACCTGACCAAAAACACAGAGATGAGAACACGTCACAAATAAATGTATTGTACCATCACAACTGCCAACATTTTGTAGTTTGGCTCAACAAATCTTAGTTCAAAGCCCTGAAAATATACCAAATATATGAGCAGAAGGAGAAGAAATAAAATTGACTACATTATATCTTCACTAGGTGCCTCATCATAAGTAATATGACTCTAGCAATTTTCAAAATAAGCATTAAAATCAGTAAATTGGCAACAGAGTGTGAGTTCCAAAATGTTGTTCAAAGTTCAAACACACGATTGTTTTGATCAAATTTCTCCATAAATGTTGAGAAAGTTTAGTCATGGATGAAAACCCAAAATAACTTGAATTGAATGGAGTTGAATCGATTCTCTAACAGAGACCCTTTCCACTCACTTCAATATCTGAGATGGCGGACTTGAGGGTACAGGACCAGTTGATGAGACGGTTACTACGGTAGATGGTCCCGTTCTGATGCATTCGTACGAAGGCTTCCTGGACAGCGCTATAGAGCTTGGGATCCATGGTGAAGCATGCCCTGTCCCAGTCCATGGATGATCCTAGGGTTCGGAGCTGATCGTAGATCCTACCTCCTTTCCTGGGTAGGGACGGCACCAAAAAAGGTCAATGTTAAAGGCCCACTGTACTACTTGTAGCTACTTGCTCCCTCTATATAGCAGACAATACCTAATCGGTGATCATTGGTCCCCCATGATCCTCTTTTGATGAGATAATCACCTGCCAGTGACCTTGCAGGGAGGTCTAATCCCTCCATGCCAAACTAGTGCAGATGGGCTTTAAAGGGAATATTATACTGCCCAGGATGGTCCACATGGGCTTGAAACATGTAACAACAACATTTTTTAATTTTGATTGTACAGCTTTGGAAAATCAGCAACAGATAAACATTCATACTCAACAAAACTTATTTATGAAGTATTAATCATAAAATATATTTTTAAATGCTTCAAAATATGGAACGATTTGCACAAGAGTGCATCTAAGAACCTTAGAGCACTTCAGCAAGGGGCTTTGTGCTTCACATGCATCAATTCCAGTCATATCCTAAATATGAGGCATTTCAAGAGCAATCGTTTTGATGCAACATCACTAGTTGATATCCTTCCACATAGGAATAAAAATAATGAGAGGGCACAGGTCTCAACCTTTCCTTTAAAGATTAAATTGACTTCTGTCATACTATTGCATTGCGAAAGTAACAGTGTGGAAGAAATTGGAAAAGATTGATCATGTAGCTCAAGTATTGGCATATATACTTTGAGGTTTCAGAATCATCAAAATGATAAGAAATCGACTCAATGTTGTCTTAATGAAAGTCACATGCAGCACTGTACACACACACCAAATGTAACAATCTTTAGCTGTTACTTGTCATATTTTGATTAAGAGGGCATTTGAAGAGTCATCCTTTTCAAGGAAAATTTGTTTTTCTTTGATACTCTTTCACACTAATAAAAAGAATGAAAAATTTCACAAGTCTTTTGTTCACCTTCCCCAGGACTCAACCTTCTCTTTCAAATCGTACAACTAGATGGATTTGGGCTGACCTGGAGACAACTCGGCCCGCTGCAAAAATGGTCAGGTTTTGCAGGTTTAGGGTTAGGTTTAGGGTTAGGTTTAGGGTTAGGTTTACCGGTAGGTTAAGGTTTAGGGTTAGGGTTAGAGTTAGGGTTAAAAAAAATGACCGATACTTACTCATTTTTCCATTGCCAGACCTCCTCTATAAACTTGTCTCTGCCAAGATCATGTCTGGTGAGTTTCTTCTCTCTCCACAGCTTCTTCTCAACCACGACCTGAGTTGCAATGCCTGCATGATCGCACCCAGGGTTCCATAGACACGCCTTGCCTTTCATCCGGTTCCTGAGAGGGCAACGATAAAGAACAATTATCATTTCGTCCAACGATTTTAACGAAGTTCATATTCAGTTCAATGTAATACTCGGTAAGAACCAGGGACCCGTTTCACAAAGCCTTTTTTCAATGACAAATTACAAAAATCAATAACAAAGCTGCTGATAACCAATCAGAAGCAAGGATTTCAGTAGCTTATAACAAAAATTGTCATTTTTCACTGATGACAAGTTTTGTGAAACGCCCCCCAGAAGGGCATTAATCATGTGTGTTACAGTATACGGGTTAAAACCCTTAGAAAGACGATATTAACCAAGTTCATATTCAATTTAATACTCGGTGAGAAATAGTCTGTCTGTTCAGAGCCAGAAGGGCATTAATCCTGTGTGTTACAGTATACGGGTTAACACCCTTCTGGCTCCAGAAAGATGATATTGTATTCTATCCCGATTGAGCTTGATACAATAAAACAGAAATCCTCAAATGAGTAGAGACAGTATGCATTTCCCAGGGGGCGATGATAAAGAATAATTATTTCATACGACGATTACACTTGTTGATGACTGAGCACAGGGGGTGGCATTTAGTACAAAACAATACTTAACGGTAAAGACCAGTTTTGGAAACGCCCCCATCTCAAAAAATGAAACGGAAGGTCTTATTACCAATCATGTGAAAGAATATGTTTTGACTAATACGTAATGATACAACTTTTGCTGAGAAACCGCCTACTAATTGATATGTTTGGTAAAATATTATATCTATTTGGACCTGATAGACATAGCGCATGTGTCGTGTAGTCCCATATACATCTTTCTGTGTACAGTGCTTGTAACTTTACTAAGACTGGGCCAAATTTCTTATCATTTTGATGATTCCAGAACCTTGCAGTACACACCAATACTTATATGCTAGATGATCAACCTTTTCTGAGCAATTCCATGTTCCTTTCACAATTCAATCGCATGACCATAACTGGTCTTTATCTTTAAGTCAGAAATATCTTCTTCTTTTTTCACTCTATTGGACTTTCATAATAAACACCACCCTAAAATCAGTATTTACAGTATGTTTCATTCCATTTATTTCATTAAGTATGTACTTCCTTTCATCCAGCTATTGAGACAGGAAGGAGAGGGAACAGTTAACATTTTTTTAAAATCTTTTCTGCTTTTTAGTTTGTTTCTTTTTTTAATTTGACAATGCAACTGATTGTCTTGTTTTCTCAGGGTTGTCTCGTCAGTATAAATAGTGTTCTCCCCGACAGCCCTGCCCTCTTATCATCATCCAAGTCAAAATAAAATGACTGGACAGTACTTTATGTATTCATGAACTCCTGAAAAGTTACCGGTATATCAAACCGTGACACCAGTTTAATTAACCAAGAGAAATACACCGTCTTCTTTTAGAGACGCTCTTGCATTAATCACAGAAATGTTGGAGTCTATTTCCAATGCAGTACACTGTGACGAGCGATTTAATCATAACTAATCATTTAAGTCTCTAAATTAGCAATGCAATGTTAAATATCAAATGACTGTTTTCGTGTACAAGTTGGGAACTTTCTGATTGAATTTTGCAATTTTTTTTCTTTCACATTAGTTCATTTAGTAAACATTTTTTCTTCTTCTTCCAAACCAAGGAGGGAAACATAAGATCAATTGTTGCCAATTTGAGGAAGGAACACTGATTAATTAAAAAAACTCTGAACTGCTATGGGCACTCACCATCTGACCAGAGCATCTTCCACGGCGTTCGTCAGGGCGTGACCAAGATGCAAAGAGCCAGTTACATTGGGAGGTGGAATGCAGATCATGAAAAGCTCATCCTCCTTCAGATTCTTCAAATCTCTGCCCTGAAAAAGATAATCATCAAAGTAATCTAATGGTTATGACTTTATGAGAAGAACAATATCAGCTGTTCGGAGCCAGACGGGTGTTAACTTTTTGTAAGATGACATGCATAAATATCCTTCTGGCTCCAAACAGACAAAGAAGCATGAAAATAAAAAGAAAAAAAGTGTATCAAGTAGAATTAATGTCTAGTAAAAAAAAAAAAATTATAAAAATGTTTAAAGAGCAACATGGATTTAGATTGGGATAAAACTTGGAGAATCCAACAGACTCAGAGAAACATATAATAACCCTATTATCCCCTGTCCAAAGTTGATAGAAAAGCATTGTTTTCAGAGCTACATACAGCATAACGTCAGTAAATACATATTTACTGTTCGTAATGATGTTGGAGCACTAGCAGAGTCACGGTTTGACGGACAAGTGCGCTTTATAAGAGGCCATCATAATCATCATTATTTTCATAACTGTTCCTTAGTGATTAACTTTACAATTATACATGTACATAACACTGTACATGTTGATGCCGATATTTTGGAGACAATAGAATTTCATTAACTAAAAATCAATCAATCCATCCATCAATAAATAAATTTAAAAAATAAATACATTCATTCATTTCTTTATTAACTAATAAATAATAAATATCTAGATAAATGAATAAATAAATAAATACATGAATAAATAAATAAAATCCTGGGGGTGTTTCACAAAACTTGTCATCAGTGACAAATGACAGTTTTTGTTATAAGCTACTGAAATCCTTGCTTCCAATTGGTTAACAGCAGATTTGTCACTGATTTTTCTCATTTGTCATTGAAAAAAGGCTTTGTAAAACGGGTCCCAGTACTTCCTCAGCAAAACACCTTTCGTTTTGATGTACTACAATTAGAATGTACTTACTCCGTATTCCGGCTTGAAGAAGCCCTGTTTTTCCCACCATGAATACCAGGATGCTTCTACATAGGCAGGGCTGTAGGAATCAGGAAGGGCCCCACTCACATCTGAAATGTAATATTCATAACCCATTTCAATGGCAAGTACGCTTTTTGCATAAAACTATATCGAGGGCTCAGTGACACAAAGATGTAACTCTATATTTTGCCAAAATGAGTATTTGATATCAGGCTTTCCAGGAAACACAAAGACTTAACTCCACCCAACACCCCATTGAAGTCAATGGGTAGTGGAACATAGACTTAACTCCTTAAGGCCCAAGTGCTCAGTGACACATAAACCACTTTTTCTCAAAATGGCCAAAATTGAGTTACGTCTTTGAGTCACTGACCGTTCGAAATTATGTCAATTTTTTAGACTACTTGAACTACCCAAATATAGACTCGTATTGTCTAAAGCTTGCATTTCTTCTTAAAATTGAAATGAGATCAGAATATCATGAAAGAAATATAAAAACTTACAATAAAAAAATGTTGATATGATGGAAAATTTGTCTTTGGGGAATGTATTTTTTGTTGTATTCATTTGTAAACTTTGTGACATCATTAGGGATAATGCAGGCATGAATAATAAACTGACCTTTTTTCTCTCCAGGAGGGGTATTCTTGTCATACACGATTGCAACTTTTTCTACTTTCTTCTTCTTATCCTTCTTGCCCTGTTCAGAACAAAGAACAAAGATCATCTTGACATTCATGTTTTAAAAGGTTAGGCACAAGTTATTGCTAATAGCATCTGAGCTTAATTTTTAGCTATTTCTCAATAGAGAGAGAGAGAGAGAGAGAGAGAGAGAGAGAAAGAGAGAGAAAAGCAGAAATTAGTGGTCTGTTCGCTGAAAGGTAGAATAAAAACCGAGTTGTTCGGGAATCGGGATGCATGGAGTAGGTAAGAATATACCTTTTATTCAAACTAGCACTTTTAAAATTCTACTTAATTTTCCTTATCTGCTATAATAAGATTTTATTGTAGCACAAACCATGTATCTTTCCAGTAATTTGTCTGTTGAAAGGGCTCTTCCCCTGGCCCCCCCCCCCACTCAGTGTTATTTAGGGTACGCATATGCTCGTACCCTCTTTTTGAAAGCACCCCCTATCTGAGGACTGCCAACATTTCCGAACCCCCCTTTCGCGGGCTTTTCCTGCCTTGGAGACCCCCCTAAATCAGGAAAAATGCTCAATGTACCCCCCCTAAATTCGGAATAATTTCTCAGGAATCCAAAGAGATGAGAGAGAAAAAGAAAAACACCCCCTTTTTAAAGAAATCTCCGGGTGAAAAGTCAAATACACCCCTTTTTATACAAATCTCGGGCCGGACTTTGTCGCACGAAAAGTACCCCTTTACCAGACATTTTGACAACATGCATGCGGTCATTCCGACCTCTGAGTGGGGGGGCCGGGGCTCTTCCATAACTTTTTAGAGCTTAAATATTTTCCTGTTCCTGCATACATTTTCTTAAAAGGGCAATCCAACCCTCATAATAATTTCATTGGCATGGAAGCAAAAAAAATAGAGAAACAGAAAGGAGAAAGTTTGAAATAAATCGGGCAAAAAATGAGGGAGTTTGAATTTGAAACATGAGATCGCTCAATGAATGTGAATCTAGTATTGGCAATTTGGCCAGTGGATTGTGACATAGCCATGCGACTACTCTCCTATTGTTTTGAATACAAAATTATTAATTTTTCTTTTCATCCTAAGGCTACGTGCCTGCTCAAATGGGGCACTTATTACATTATTGATGGCACATCATTATAAGTCTTCTAAAAAAAGAAAAGACCCTCCTGAATCAAACATTGTGAAAATTAATATTTTAGTCATTTTTTGTGTTGGATCAATTTGGAAAGTAGTCTGGCACTTCATCACAGTGACATTACCTGTTCAGCCAATTAGGTAGGCCCATACATACAGTGATTAAAAATTTAAAAAGTCAAAACTTTCTGATTTTTTCCCCGATTCAATTCACATATTCACCAGTCTTTTTCTATAATTTTTCAGCTTTTAGAGTAGCTTGGTCGACTTTTCCTTTAACTAACCATTGGCGATACCATTAGTGATTAGTATTGAGTGCAAACCCTGTTACTAATTAAATATGAAAGTTGAATTAGAGTCCATGATGGCCGTGACCACTAGAATTAGGGTGCCTGAATTGTTTTTAGGCTGAAAACAGCAAACAAAAATGGAACACGTTTTTGATGTGCAAGTACTTTTTTCAACTTGCAAACAAAATGTGATCCATTTCAAACATTTGAGATAACTAGAGTAATAATAATAATAACTCTGGTATCATATGATAGGGGAATATAGGTAGGGGAATATATTTCCTAACTTTTCATGCTATTAAAGGAGGAGAACTTACCCCTTCATTATTAAAAACTGAAAAAAAGAACTTTATCTACGTTCTCTTCGATGTTGAATTGGCGATATACAACATGTTATTAATATGTGCTGCGACGCTACTGCATGCATACTTTCTCTTCGCCACGTTGAAAGAACGATATACAACATGGATCTGGATAAATTGGTTTAGGGCAAGGAATCCCCCTTTTCCCATCGAAGACATCTTCAAATTATAATTTCAAGTGGATTGACTCGATGCCCAGAACTTAAAAGAGTCGAAAAACATTTGTAAGTTAAAATTTGAATTAGACTACTACTTCTTTAGATTTTTCAAAAAATATGACCAAACTTGCTGTCTGAATCGTTTTCCTATGTTCCTAGAGTTATACAGCCAGCCTGCCTTTTTGTACGGGAAAATATTAACAAATTGGGTCTAATTTAGCATCTCATCTAGAGTAGAGTCTCCGGTTTGCGGCATAGCCCGGTTTGCGGCCAGGGGTATCACTTTTCAAAATAAAATCAAAATGACTCGATAATAATCATTGAAACCTACCGTGGATTCCCCGGTAAGTTCTGCGCTGCCGAAAACGTCCGTAGCAGATGCTCTTGTCGGTACGGAGTATCCGTCAGCGATGTCGGAAATCTACGGCACCAGTCGGCGATGAAAATTCCAGCAGGTGCTTACTTTTAAGTTAAGAGATCGAGGCATGACTAGATCAATATTGTAGCTCTATTTGTCAGATATTTGTCCGATTGGAGGTGAAATTTGATGTTTTTGTGGAAGTATGATGGCTGTGGTCTGTCTCCTATCGCAGATATTTTGATTGTGCCACCGCATGGCCAGTTGCATGGGGTGGCCGCAAACCGGCACGTAATTACGTGATTTTCTGGTTTGCGGCGGGGGGTGTTAATACACACATAACATGCGGGATCGTGTATGATGGTATGTGTGCTGATGTGTGTACCCGCTGTGACCCGATAGTTTCTAGTAGTACGTACCCCCGTATGGGATGATCCATTCAGTAAAAAGGTGAAATTGTTTAAAACTTGTAAAATTTACCGTAGCAACAGATAAACATGAGAATTTGGGTTACCCGTAGTAATTTGGTATATGCTTTGATCGTGACGTAGCGCATAAAGCTTTGTGACGTACGCGTGCCGCAAACCGGGTTACGCACGGCCGCAAACCGGGCAACTTTTACGTCTTCTAAAGTGGACAGTACTGACCACGCTGTGGGTCAGTTACGTTATTTGTGCCTTCTATTTAATTACTAAATATATGAACTCTCTTTTGACGGTATTGAAGTATTCTGTGAGTAATTGCATCAAAAATAAAATCGGCAATTCCCACTGGACGGCCGCACACCGGAGCCGCTACTCTAGTTTGATTTTGCCATTTAAAATTAAATCAATCAAGATCTTCACCTCTCCACTCTTATTCTCCTGTTGAGCTTGTTGAGCTTGCTTTTCTTGTTTTTGCTTGAACTTCTCCAACTTTGCCTGTCTTTGAGCTTCCTTCTTCGCTTCTTTCTTCAGCTGGGCTTCAGTTTTCTCTACGAGCTGTCCAGCCTCACCGGCCCCCGAAGTGGCGGGGTTGGTGACGTTCGCCGATCCCGATGGAGCAGGGGGATTAGCGTCGGCCAGATTGGGTGTTTCCTCATCCTTCCCAGCCATGTTTGGAACCTGTGTAAATGTCAAAATAATCGAAATGCAAAAGGGATGGCGTTTTATATATACTACCCGTAGGAGACATGCAAGATTGTGTAATAAATTTATGAAAAAACGTCTCCTTACTGATTGATTATCCACGCGTACAACTTGCTAGACTGAATTGAAGTGTATGCATCGGGTATTCATATCCGAAAAGTTGTTGCCAATCTAGCGATTCGTTCACGCTAGCATAATACATGCGGAGAAGCAAATAAATTTGAAGTAGCAGTAGAACACAGATTACGATATCCGATATAGTTCTACAAGAACACGTCTTTTCTGATGCAATACAGAGTGTAAAGGCCTAGACATGATGTTCGGTAATTCTACCATAAGAAAGTGAAGTTTTAATGATAACGGCATTGTAGGCCTACATGAAAGTATTGTAATTTGTTTCCCGAAATAGAACAGGACGAATTTTTCATTTAGTTATCTCAAATATAAAAATATAATTTACGTAGACTTAAGACCTATCTATTCAACACGAAGTAATTGTCCATCATCATACCGTATTTATAACCACATGTCCTATCTTCTTGTAATCTATTTATTGTCTAATGTACATAATTATTGCAGTTTCATTAATGATACTTAATTATTGTATTTACATTTTCATTTTTCATTATCATGTTATTGTTATACATTGTTAGTTAAGTAATTCGTCCAATTAAGCGCATTGTTCATTTCACGTTTATTGTTGATCCTTGTTACATATTTAGTTTAACCATACTTTTCATTTCACTTGTTTTGTAAAGCGCTTAGAAACTGTACTTGTATACCAGCGCTATATAAATCTTAAATATTATTATATTATATTATTATAATATAAACGATAATCCGCTCATCGGCATAAATGACTTTTCTCCGATATTAAGCTTATTATATTCACTGCACCGTGGGACATAATTTATAAAGGGTCACACTAAATCCTTTTCTCTCCGTAATTCTTTATTTCTATTTCATTCAATATCAAAGCAATCCAAACAATAATATTTGCAAGGCATCGTACGGACATAATTCAATCATAATGATAATAATTTGATAAATAAATTAAGTTTTTGAAAATAAGTGAAATTAGTTATTATATCATAAAACAAATCATACTAACCCCCTCCCTGACTACCCAACCCCAAACAAAATCATCTAGGCCTATACCGCCCCCCCCCCAAAGAAAATATATATGCGCGTTTTGACCAGCTATTTGCTGTCCGAGCTTGGCGCATAATAATATTCATCCGATCATCACTTAATGATATTGTAATTGGTTTCTTGTGATGCATCTTGGGGGGGGGGGGGTAGGGCAGGCGCGGATCCAGGGGGGGGCCGAGCGGGCCTTGGCCCCCCCCCCCCCGCAAAAAAAAAAAAAAAAAAAGAGAAGAAAGGAAAAGAAGGGAAAGGGAAAGAGGAGAGAAGGGAAAGAAAGATGAGGAAGAAAAAAAGAAAAGGGGGAAGAAGGAGATCGGGGGGGGGGCCGAAAGGGCCTTGCCTCCCAGGCTGTTGACCCCCCCCCCCCCCCCAATCAAAAAAATAAGCGAGAAGGAAGGAAAGGGAAAGAAAAGACATAATTTCCGAGATTTTTCCGCACTTTTTAGTAAATACGTTTGTATGTGTTTGTTCGAGAATGACAAATTACTAAATTTACAGCCAGGCAAGAATATGATTCTTGAGATTCCTACATGTCAGTTCCCGAGGTGGGGCGGGGATCGGGAGCCTCGAGGTCCCCCCCCCCCCCCCCACTTTTTTGAAAAAGTATATGAATGAGGCATCTAAATATGCTCATCTGACCGTGATTAAATGCCTAAAACCCCTAAGCTCCCGGGGGCTCTGCCCCTGGATTCCACCTAGGACCCTACGGCGGGCCCTTAGATGCTCATCTGACCGTAATTTAATGCCTAAAACCCCTAATTTTTTGGGGTTCCGCCCCCTGGAACCCACGCCAAATAGTGACCTGCCAGTGTCATAAAATAATGAGGTATAAAAAAAAATATGCTCATCTGACCTTAATTAAACGCCTAAAACCCCTGAGCTTCCGGGGCCGGCTCAGCCGCCTCGACCTCAACAGGGGCCCTAAGGCGGGCCCCTGAATGCTTATCTGACCGCAATTTATTGCCTTAAACCCCTGAGCTTGCGGGGTCGGACAAGGTATCAAAATGTGTTTATTTGACCGCAGGCGCGTAGCCAGGGGGGGGGTGGTGGTCCCCCCCCCCCGGTACAACGGTAGAACGGTACAACCAATCGTCTTCTTTCTCTCATAATCTTATGAAACTCAAAAGCTTCCGCGCTTCGCGCGGGAAGGGGGGGGACCTGAATTCAGACGAGGATTAAGAGTCGAGAGCTCTCCAAAGAATCGTAATAATTTAATAAATCTTAAAATTATCTTGTGAAACGTCAAAGCTTCCGCGCGAAGCGCGGCAGGGGGGCGGGGGGTAACCTGAATTCAGACGAGGATTCAGAGGCAAGAACGGTAATACGAATCTTTAATGATTTAATGTTACCTTCCGCGCTTCGCGCGGAATGTAGGGGGAACTAAACGGTATAACGAATCGTCTCCTTTCTCTAATGATTTAATGAATCGTAAAAGCTTCGCTCAGGAGGGGAGGGGGGGGGAATTGAATTCAGACAAGGATTAAGAATCGAGAACGGTACAGCGAATCGTCTTCTTTCTCTCTTAATCTTGTGAAACGTCAAAGCTTCCGCGGTAATACGAATCTTAATACGAATCTTAGAACGGTATACGAATCTTTAATGATTTAATGAAACATAAAAGCTTCCGCGCTTCGCGCCGGTTGGAGGGGAAACTAAATTCCGTCGACGATTATTTTCGAGAACGGTACAACCAATCTTCTTCTTTCTCTAATGATTTAATGAAAATTTAAAACTCCCGCGCTTCGCGCGGCAGGTGGGAAACAGCCGAGGATTAAGAGTTGAGAACTGTACAGCCAATCGTCTTCTTTCTCTCATAATCTTATGAAACTTAAAAGCTTCCGCGCTTCGCGCGGGAAGGGGGGGGGGGGGACCTGAATTCGGACGAGGATTAAGAGTCGAGAGCTCTCCAAAGAATCATAATAATTTTATAAATCTTAAAATTATCTTGTGAAACGTCAAAGCTTCCGCGCGAAGCGCGGGAGGGGGGCGGGGGGTAACCTGAATTCAGACGAGGATTCAGAGGCAAGAACGGTAATACGAATCTTTAATGATTTAATGTTACCTTCCGCGCTTCGCGCGGGATGTAGGGGGAACTAAACGGTATAACGAATCGTCTTCTTTCTCTAATGATTTAATGAATCGTAAAAGCTTCCAAGCTTCGCGCGGAAGGGGGAAAACTGATTTCAGACGAGGATTAGTGTCGAAAACGGTACAACGAATCGTCTTCTTTCTCTAATGATTAAAGGAAACTTAAAAAGCTTTCGCGCGAAGCGCGGGAGGGGGGGAACCTGAATTCAGACGAGGATTAAGAGTCGAGAACTCTCTAAAGAATCGTAATAATTGAATAAATCGTAAAATTTTCCGCGCTTCGCGCGGGAGGGGAAAAACTAAATTCAGACGAGAATTATTTTTGAGAACGGTACAACGAATCGTCTTTTTTCTCTAATAATTTAATGAAACATCAAAACTTCCGCGTTCGCGGAGGAGGGAGGGGGAAACTCGCCCATCCCTGCACCGACCCCCCACCCCCCGCATTACGTCACTGTTGGTCACCATTACGTACCAATATTTGGCTCGCATAATTTCAAATTTGGCCCCCCCCCCCCTAAGAAATCCTGGATCCGCGCCTGGGGTAGGGGAGATTTTTTAGAAATATTCCGTAACTTGTTTTCATTTCGATGATTTCAAGACCTCGTAACTATACAAAATTATAACTGTTTTTGTTATATATCAAGCTATTCTCAACAAATTCAACAATAATTCTCTCAAAGATCAAAGACGAGCCTCGGTTAAAACAAAGGGTAAGCGGCCTACTTGAAATACTGCGAAATACATTTAAAAGTTGCTTTGCTAACAATCATATGAAATCGACCGATGGTCGGAAAAGGACATATGTACTTTCGCTTTTGAAAAGTCCATCCACCTTTATTAATACGACTTTGATATCATTGATAAAGTCTACTGTTCGAGCATCTTATATAACGCCGCTTTTACTTTCATTTCTTTGCCGAATCATTTTACCCAAATTTGATCCTATAAAAGTATATACGATGAATGAAAGGGTTGATAAATTGTTTTCATAATGAATGCCTATCTTGAAAAGTTCTCATGCCGGGTGTAAAAATGAGACATAGTGATAATAACTCAAAACGTTACATAATATCGTATTTATCTGGGGAAAATACTTTACAGCGGCCCAGGCGCGGATCCAGGATTTCTTAGGGGGGGGGGGGGCCCAAATTTGAAATTATGCGAGCCAAATATTGGTACGTAACGATGACCAACAGTGACGTAATGCGGAGGGGGGGGGTCGGTGCAGAGAGGGGCGAGTTTTCCCCCACCCTCCGCCACGAAACGCGGAAGCTTTGACGTTTCATTAAATTATTAGAGAAAGAAGACGATTCGTTGTAGAGTTCTCGACTCTTAATCCTTGTCGTAATTCAGCCCCCCCCCCCCCCCGTCCTGCGCGAAGCGCGGAAGCTTTGACGCTTCATTAAACTATTAAAGAAAGAAGACGATTCGTTGTACCGTTCTCGACTCTTAATCCGCGTCTGAATTTAGTTTTTCCCCATCCCGCACAAAGCGCGGAAAATTTTACGTTTTATTAAATTATTAGAGAAAGAAGACGATTCGTTGTAGAGTTCTCGACTCCTAATCCTCGTCTGAATTCAGGTTCCCCCCTCACGAGCGAAGCGCGGAAGCTTTTACGTTTCATTAAATCATTAGAGAAAGAAGACGACTCGTTGTACCGTTCTCGACTCTTAATCCTCGTCTAAATTCAGCCCCCCTCCCCCTCCTGCGCGAAGCGCGGAAGCTTTGAAGTTTCATTAAAACTATTAAAGAAATAATACGATTCGTTGTAGAGTTCTCGACTCTTAATCCTCATCTGAATTCAGGTCCCCCCCCCCCAGCTTTTAAGTTTTATAAGATTATGAGAGAAAGAAGACGATTCGTTGTAGAGTTCTCGACTCTTAATCCCCGTCTGAATTCAAGTTCCCCCCTCACGAGCGAAGCGCGGAAGCTTTTACGTTTCATTAAATCATTAGAGAAAGAAGACGACTCGTTGTACCGTTCTCGACTCTTTATCCACGTCTAAATTCAGTCCCCCCCCCCCTCTCCTCCTGCGCGAAGCGCGGAAGCCTTGAAGTTTCATTAAAACTATTAAAGAAATAATACGATTCGTTGTACCGTTCTCGACTCTTAATCCTCGTCTGAGTTCAGGTCCCCCCCCCCCCTCCCGCGCGAAGCGGGGAAGCTTTTACGTTTCATAAGATTATGAGAGAAAGAAGACGATTGGCTGTACAGTTCTCGAATCTTAATCCTCGTCTGAATTCAGGTTCCCCCCGCGCGGAAGCTTTTAATTTTCATTAAATCAATAGAGAAAAAAGAAGATTCGTTGTACTGTTCTCGAAAATAATCCTCGTCGGAATTTAGTTCCCCCTCCAACCTCGCGCAAAACGCGGAAGCTTTTACGTTTCATTAAAGATTATTATTACCGTTCTCGCCTCTGAATCCTCGTCTGAATTCAGGTTCCCCCCTCCCGCGCAAAAGCTTTGACGTTTCATAAGATTACGAGAGAAAGAAGACGATTCACTGTACCGTTCTCGATTCTTAATCCTTGTCTGAATTCAGTCCCCCCCCCCCCTCCCCTCCTGCGCGAAGCTTTGACGTTTCATTAAATTATTAGAGAAAGAAGACGATACGTTGTACCGTTCTCTATACTCTTTATCCTTGTCTGAATTTCAAAGATTTTCTTTGTCTGCTCCTTTTACTTTCTACGTCCTCTTCCGATTTGGGGGGACCGCCCCCCCCCCCCCCCCCCCTGGCTGGCTACGCGCCTGCGGTCAGATAAACACATTTTGATAACTTGTCCGGCTCCGGAAGCTCAGGGGTTTTAGGCGTTTAATTAAGGTCAGATGATCATTTTTTTTTAATACCTATTATTTTGTGACACTGGCAGGTCACTATTTGGCGTGGGGTCCAGGGGGCGGATCCCCCCAAAAGCGGGGTTTTAGGCATTAAATTACCGTCAGATGAGCATCTAAGGGCCCGCCGTAGCGCCCTAGGTGGAATCCAGGGGGCAGAGCCCCGGAAGCTTAAGGGTTTTAGGCATTTAATCACGGTCAGATGAGCATATTTTGATGACTCATTTTTTAACACTGGCAGTTAACTATTCGTTCTTTCTTGCGCTCATTCTATTTTTTTTCTCTTTAATATACTTTTTCAAATAAAGTGGGGGGGGGGGGGGGAGCTCGAGGCTCCCGATCCCTGCCGTACCTCGGGCCCTGACATGTAGGAATCCGCAAGAATCATATTTCGTGCCTGGCTGTAAATTTAGGAATTTGTCATTTTCCAACAAACACATATACAAACGTATAATTTACTAAAAAGTGAGGACAAAATCTCGGAAATTATGTCATTTCAGCATTATTTGTAATCCACCGTTGTGGAATTATGAATAAACCACGTTTGAATTTGATTTCCCCAAAGCCCCCCCCCCCCATTAGTACGACAGTATCTCCTCTTTTCCTTTTTTCTTTCCCTTTCCTTCCTTCTCTCTTATTTTTTTTATTGGAGGGGGGGGGGGGGGTCAACAGCCTGGGAGGAAAGGCCCTTTCGGTCCCCCCGATCTCCTTCTTCCCCCTTTTCTTTTATTCTTCTTCTTCTTCTTCTTTCTTTCTTTCCCTTTCTCTCCTCTTTCCCTTTCCCTTCTTTTCCTTTCTTCTCTCTCTTTTTTTTTTTTTTTTTTTTTTGCGGGGGGGGGGGGGGGGGGCCAAGGCCCGCTCGGCCCCCCCCCCCTGGATCCGCGCCTGCAGCGGCCTACATTATTCGTTATCAGCTTATTGACATCACAATATAATATTCACTGTCATAATGCTGCAAATTTGCAATTGGAGTATCATTTTCCGACAATTTAAAGTCCAGGAAATTTGGATTTATCAGAAATAAATGTAGAATAGATGTTATGAAACTATAGCTGAGAATATCACACACAGTCAATCAGTAACCAAAATCAGTCGAACCTCGGTCAAACGATAATTTTTTTAAAATCTAAAGTAAACACAAAGTCAGTATATATAGCTAAAGTTCAGAGTCAGCTTAGGTAACATCTACTATACTACTATAGTTGAAGTCCTTTAGTGTTCTGGTTTATTTTTCTGTGCTACATGCTAATTGCATGCATACACAAAAAATAGAACATTAAATATTTTAATCGATCGAATAATATAATATGGACAATTCCAAAATACAATAGCATGCTGAGAGCCGTGCCTGAGAGATAGAGATCCGACAATGGAAGTAATTGAGAAGTGAGTATAATAAAGGAAATAATTAAATCCCTGGCAGATGAGTGTGTAACTGCAAGCAGGAATATATATCCTGAATAACGTACAAGGAGGGCTTGAGGTAATCAGGGTCAAGAACGTGGTGCCGCTGCCACCCTGCCATCCCAGAACTTTTTTAAGGTCTATATTTGCAGACTAATGGAACTTTATACTACAATCAGAGTCACAGATTATCATTCTTTTCAAACAAACGATGTGTTCGGTGTTTGCGGCGTTTCACAGATCAGAGTGCGACGACTGTGCAAATCAGCTGGGCAAATCTCTCTGGCCAGGGAAGTCTTGTTATATATTTCACGATCATCGTTGACTTGATATTAGCTCGAATGTGTTAGTGATATAGTTCAGGGATACGCGGTCGATCGAGCAAGCACACCGTCTGGTCTTGACACAGCCGAAACATTTCTCTACTTCAAATAGTTTCAGGTAGGTCATAAGACATTACGCTAGACAGAAATGACTTCATTGGTATGGGGAATTCTTTGATAAATCTGGCATTTTTCAACCCATGGACCTACTGGTCAACCAGGGAGGTGGGAGGACACAGTGGAGCCAGACCGTCACAGACGTAGTCGAGCCTCGGCGGAACGACCGTCGATATATACTTTTGGTCTAGGTCATGACGTCCCCTCTCTCTCTCTCTCTCTCTCTCTCTCTCTCATCATTCCTCCGCTCAGGTCGGAGATCGCTTTGTACAGTACGTGTGTATGTGGAAGATTGACAAATGTCAGTTTTACATTTATCAAAGAATTCCTCATACTAGACGGTAATTATTTATGTTTAATTGCAGATGAATGCTGCCTCTTTTATAAGATACAGAAATTGATATCATATATGTTATTGTGAATGTATGCAATTGGAGGTACCTTATAATATTATGTACTCTTCTTTTCATTGATATTTTATGTTTTTACAGTTTAAAGAGATGTGATTCATGTGAAATAAACTGAGTTGAGAAAAAGTGAACTGATTCTGAATAGACAAAGAACAAAGATCATGTGAGTTTGAAACCAGAGTATAATAAACAAGACACAGTGCAGATACTGTATATATATATATATAGTACCCAGGCGCGTACGCAGGAGTTTTTCAAGGGGGGGGGGGGGGGTTTAACATTTATAAATCGGGCCGAAAATTTCGCAACGACTCAGCCAGCCGCTGAATAAGGGTAAGAGGTCACTTTTTTCTTTTTTTTTGGGTCCCAAAAAAAAATCGCAACGACTCAGCCAACCGCTGAATAAGGGGGGGGGGGGGGGGGGTAAGAGGACACATTTTTTTTGGGGGGGGGGTCTCGACATTTGAAAATTTGACATTTTGCTCCGTTGGGGGGGGGGTAAGGTCAGCTTTTTTAGGTCAACCATGGGAATATTTTAGAGAAATTTAGGGGGGTTTACACACACAAAATTACCAAAGGGGGGGGGGGTTTAACCCCCCAAACCCCCCCCCCCTGTGTACGCGTCTGATAGTACCAGTATATTATATATATATATAACAAATATAATGTCTCTTTCTCTATCTTTCCCTCTCTTTCTCTCTCTCTCTCTCTCTGTCTCAATATTATATATATGTTAGAATATTTTTGTAATCTCTTTTCTTGAAATGATTGTGATATTATGACAGATAAAGTTAATATTCTCAAAACTTAAGTGATCCAATCTAAAGACTTGAGAGTCACAGAGATTGACCAAAGTTCTGAGAAGGGTTTTTAACTTTATATAACAAGAATAATGCATATAATGAAAAGAGGCAAGAAACATAATTCCAACTTTACAAACTGTATATATAGCTTCCAATGATTTCGCTTATAGGTCTAACGCTTTAGCATGTATAATAATTTTGTTTGCCTATTCCTACACCAACATTTATATATTATATACCTACATATATTTTTTTCTTTTCTTTTGTCAAAATCAGATCTGGGAACAATGCTCAACTCTACTTGGTTTGAGGTCCTCACAGTTCCTTGGGAAATAGAGACGCTCTTTGACCCATTACCATGGCAACAATGGATGCGGCGGGAAGGGATGATTTTATGGATTGCCTGCACCGCCATCTACCTCACCTTTATCTTTCAAGGTGCCAAATTTATGGAGACGCGACCAAAATTTGAGTTGCGCTTGCTCTTGGTCATTTGGAACTCAGTGCTGACAGTTTTCAGCATGCTTTCAGCGTGGCGACTCACGATTGCTGCATATGAGCTTGTGTCCAAAGCGGAGATGTGGAATTCACTGGTCTGTGGTCCCAACTACTATGCACCCGGAGGCGTCTCCGCGTTCTGGCTACTCCTCTTCGCTTTTAGCAAAGTGGCAGAGTACGGTGACACCGTCTTCATAGTCCTCCGGAAATCCAAGCTTATACTTCTCCACTGGTTCCATCACATCTTGACATTTCTGGTGGGATTTCACACCTTCGCCTACAGCAATCCCACCCTCTTCATCTCAGCTCTGATGAATGTCTACATTCACTCGCTCATGTACTTCTACTACGTTGTTCGTATTCTTGGGGTTCGGGTGCCAAAGCGTCTCTCGATGATCTTGACAACCATTCAAATCATCCAGCTCATCATTGGAACCTATGTCCAGTTCTACGCCGCGTGGATTTATTTCTTCGGAGGACACCCTTGTGAGCTGGACCTCTTTGGTGTTGTGGTGGGGTCATTTGGGTATGGCAGTGTTTGCCTTCTTTTCATTGACTTCTTTGTGAAGTCCTATATTATGAAAGGTAATCGACAAGAGCGATCTTCACTAAAAGTCGAAACTCATAAAGATCGGTAGTCCTACGACTAAATGTTTAGAGGACAAGAGATGTGCAAGAACCTGGCATATCGTTGGCCTTATGCCAAAAGGGCCTTAACTGCTTTTGGCCATTCCGAGATAATCGTATTCGTAAAGGGCCGTAATCTACTCAGCATTATGCCAAAAGGGGCGTAACCTACGCGGCGTTATGCCAAGAGGGCCTTAACCTGCCGTTATTGTACGCGTGCATAGTTAGCGCCCTTCTGGCATTATTATGTGGCATAAAGAAATTTTCTTGCTTCGCGACACCTTTGGTTTGTCAGAAAGCCCCTCCTACGGCTACTGGATCACGAAAACTGATAAAACTGATTAATTAAAATGTTAGAAAAAGTATTTTTGATATCTGAATATTTTTATTAATATAATGCAGCTTTCGGTAAAGTTAATTTTTAGAGATCGTACATTAAGGACACCTTTTTTGTTGATTATTTTCATCACAGTCCCATACGTTGACATCTGCGTATTTCAACGAGTCGGTCGCATTTCATGCATTCACACCTAATTTAAATCTCTCTCAGATTTCATGATCTAAATTCATGACATATACTTTCAGTGATTATTTTAATACATTGTGTCTATTGTGGACTAATCATTATTTTAATGGTGTTTCTACTGATATTTATCAAATTAAATGGAAATTACGAAATAATCTGTCATTGATAAAAGATTTGCCGTGTAGGTTAAGGCCCTTTTGGCGTAAGGAAAAAGATGAGATACGCTTTAAGGCCCTTTTGAAATTCATAATTATCTTCTTAAATAAATTGAATTTCAACAAGTGAAGCACATCATTTTAAAGAGAATGTTGAAATCTACAAGGTGATGTTAATAACTCAATAACCCCCAAAATCGGGTGAAGGCCCTTTTGGCATAAGGCCGACGATATCACACCTAGATCCGTCCAAAAAGTGTAAGAAGCAGTAAAGCTATGGTCACAAATCAGAACAGCGACCGACCGATCAGTAGCCTGCTCGGTCGCTGCTGGGATTAGGCATCACCCAGCGATTAGGTCGGTGCCCGGGCGGCGACCGCCCAGGCACCGAGCATATTTTGGGCGGCGAGTGAAAAGTGAGCAGGCGCCACCAAAATTTTAACTCCGCGCTAAAACTTCAGCGGCGACCGAGCGATGCCCTAAAAACGAGCGGTGCCTGGGCGGCCGCCGCTCGGTGCCCGGGCAGCCGCCTGGCAGAATTGGTTAAAAACTCGCCGCTCGGCCGCCGAGCAGTCTACTTTTGGTTAATGTGACCATAGCATAACAGTCATAATTCATCATCAAATGTTTTTTCTGAAGGAAATAAATTCCTCTTGAAATTAAATCGTTCTGTGTTTAGAATGTAGTTTTTATTTGAGTCAACATTGATTGATTCAGTCTCTACAGGACAGATTATAAAATGTCCCCTTCTGCATGATTTAAAATTTGTAATGTTGTATTCCATAAATAATAAAAAACAAGAGGATACATGCAAACGCAAAATGCATTAACAATTTCATGTTGAAAGACACCAGTTTTTATGCCACTCACACCAAAAAACAAATATGCCTTGCTGTATTCTCTACAAAATTTAGTTTTCCTTACTGGTTGTCATGGAATCTAGCCTACTAAAGTGAAGAGCATTGGAGAATCATTCCCTGTGGAGATATCCTATGAGAAAATACACTGTAGTTGCAAGTGCATTTCACAGATTTGTAGGCCTACTTACTAGAGTCAAGCCAAGGGTAGTGACTTCCAAGTTACACACATACCTATTTCTGGGGTAAATCGAGGGCTCACATGTATACATCAGTATTTAACAAGAAATTTTTCCATTCTGGACTATTTCTTCGTTTATGGACTGTAAAAAATACAGAAAATGCTATATAATCCTTTTTTTTATTAAACCCTTTTATTGTTATTGCATGCTCAAGGACACACGTTTGTAGGAATAAAACATCTCAAAGACGATATGGACATTTACTGCATTTACTGTTTAATTAATAAACAATTTAACTATAATATTATTATGTTATCATGGTAATTTAAGGACATTTACTGCATAACCGAGGACCTACTCTTTCTGTGCAAATAGAGAACCTAAATATACGTACCCCTCTACGAAAGGGCGTCAAATTTAACAATGTACAGGATTCTCGAACCGAGGATGTCCTTGTTTTGCAGTTGGTTGTCAAAGTGAAGGTACAGTTCTTATGAGCTAGTGTTCTCGGTACCTGCAGACCCCCCCCCCCCCCCCCCCACACACACGCACATGCACACACACTACTTTTCAAAAGCGATATTGAAGAGGAATAAAGTTGATTTGGCAAACAAATATTCAAACAAAAGGCAGTCTACTATTATTATGATCAGTTGTATTAGTTGATATTTAATAAACAAGATATTGCCAGACATCACAGAACTATTTTCAAGAATATGGCTTTTGAATCGATTGTGAACAATAATACTTTCATTACAAATCCACAAGTAATGAAACAAGTTTGATTTAAAATGAAAATGCAGTGTTTTTCAAAATTATGAATTTTGTATATAAACAAATATATGAATAAAAATAATATTCTTGGATGAAAGCCCAACTACAGGACCAACACCAATTTCATGGAGTACACTGTAGGTGACTGAGAATAAACACACAACCTTTCATCACTTGATGCAATATAATAATAATAATAATAATAAAAATATCAATATAGAGAATTTCTATAATGCCCTTTCATAATATAGACACAATAAAACATACTCATTATAAAATTCAGAAAACTTGGTTCTACCAACATACACATGTTTAGGTCACTATTTGCTTTAGCTTACTAAAAACATAAACACCTATATTTTCTCAATTTGACTTTTTCTGATACGGTATTCTTTTTACCATTTTAGGCACAATTTGCCAGACAATATCCTTTCCCAAAATCGTTCACAGTACGAGTGACCCTTTGATATGATAATTTGCAATATTTTCACCACGGTTAGGTAATTTAAAAAAAAGTCATTGCATATACGATTACATGTAAGTGTAAAAATGGCAAAAAATCATGGCATATACCGGTATAGCAATAACTGAACAAAGAAAATCATGACATATACATAAATACCTGAATATCATGATTTAAAAGGAATTAATTAATTTCATGCATGCAAGTACTATTGTAGAAGGCAAATGATTGCAAGATCTACTTTAATTAATTGAGTAAACGTAAGTAAATGTAGTTTTCCTTCCCTGTTTACTATTTAAGCTCAAGACTGGGAAATGATAAAGAATGCCATGAAAATATCACACTGTACACAAATGATTGCATTTTTATTTTTGACACAGACATGAAAAATAGGCAAGTTAATTTTCTTATCTGCATAAAATGTAAGAAAAACATCCAACTCTTAGAATTGTATACAACATCCATATTCATTTTCAATGAAATTACATTTGAATGATAAAAATTACTACTCATACTGTATTGAAATTGATCAGCACATTATAGATAAATATACAATAACTTGAGGTCTATACCTCAAAGGAGATCAGTACCATTGTCAGTCATCATCCCTATAGGATGGTTTTCTTGAAAAGCGGACTAACTTTAGTCCATGGTTTAATCCACCGACTAAGTTTGGAATGCAAAGTGTCCATATGAATATATTTTTGAATAAATTGATATGTCCCTAAATTACCATGATAACATAATTATATTTAGAAATATATTCATATGGACACTTGGCATTGCACACTTAGTCTGTGGATTAAACCATGGACTAAAGTTAATCCGCTTTTGAGAATACCACCCATAACCGGTATCTCTTTACATCTTTATGGAATTATTTAACATCATGTACTGTTTAAGCCAATGTATTTTGTGTAGAGATATTTTCCCAGATGTTAGGGACACCATATTTTTGCAACCTCTTGATTTCAGAATAATTAACACAGGCTACTTACTATACATGTTTGCACATGCATTGCTAGTCCAGAATCTGGCCATTTTAATTTTGATCTCCATCATACCACGATGCATTGCCAGCTAACTTTATAGTGTTGTTAAATTTGTGACACTTCAACATTTTGCAAAATGAAATCCTCATGAATAAGGGCTTCTACAGTATTTTAAACATTAATTAGAGCATTGACAGCAAATGGAGATCATTTGAGATGGTAGATGAAAATAAAACAATATTTCGTATTACCACTTCCAAAATGAACAAAACTCACCATGAAATAGAAAAATATATACTTGTACATTCTTTTTGTTACATTTGTACACAGATTTAAGCACAAAGTGAAACAATTACCAGTAGTGTTTTCTGGTTTCATCTCGAATCCCCTTCAAAATCTACTCTTGAAGGGGAACCTTTACTTGATAAAAACGAACAGCATTTTCCCCAAAGATAGCTCCCCTCTCCTCATCAGTGGTACAGTCCAGCAAGCATTCCATCAATGCATTGTAAACCTGCTTGTATGTGGCACCTACCACTTTGAAGACGGGGTAGTCACTTCCAAAGATACAGCGGTGAGCACCAAAGGACTTCACACAGTGCTGAAATACAAGAGGCAAAATGTACACAATACAAACTGAGGTATTTCGTTGTACCAGGCCCCTCTTTCATAAAACTTGTGAACAAAAACAAGTTACAATAACTGTTATAAGCTACTGAAATCGTGGCATTTGATTGGTTGAGAGCAAGTTTGTCATACAAATTTCAAATTTGTTATTGATAACAAGTTCTATGAAACAGGGCCCAGATTTATATTATGAATATCTTGTCATTTCTGGAATTTCTGGAACCAACTTAAAAGTCCTGTCAAAATGTCACCTACTTTGAACAGTTTTAAACACGCTCTAAAAGCCCTGTTATCTGTAGATAACGTGTAAGTGAACTTTTAGTGGTTTCGTGCAGAGGTAACCATTTTTTTTCCTATTTGCAAAATTATGAAATTTGGTTAACATGGTTATCGTTATATCATGTATTCATACATGTAATGTATCCATTTTCAGCTATCTTGTAAACAACCTAAGTGTATTAGTTAAAGAGCAATTGAATGTAAATATGTATATAACAATTTTGGTATCCCGTGCGTTAAGCTTTATCAGACTATTAAATGAACGTTTTTAAAAATTATATTTAATTTGAAAATTCCATTCACATATTTCTTGTAAATGATCAAGGATGATTCTTGAATGATCAGTTATTTCAAGGGGATACCAATTATTTTGTATTTTACCTGTTTATATGCATGTGTATATTTATCTATTTTGTTTTTGATGCTGTTATTTGTTTTTATTATTACCAAACAGGGCCTCATGGAAGACCACCAAATTGGTGATATGTGCCACCCTGTATGAATATCAGAAATAAATTAATTAATAAATAAATAAAGGAGATATAGTAAAAGAAAGTTTCTGTAGAGACATTTTGTATGCCCTCTTAACCTGCTAGATCTATTTCAATAACCATAATCTGAATATGCACTACGAGATGGAAATTATGCTAATTCTGACACCTATATAAAAAGTACAATGATCCCATCTCCTTAAATCTTAATTTTGTTAATGAATTTGATTAGAATATAATTTCAGAAAGTGTCTGAAAACTGGATCTGACACTTGGGTTGTAAGAGGGGTGTATTTCACAAACGTTACACCCGACCCTTTGGAATTAAGGCTTGAATATACACAAAAGAGTGTGTAACCTAAAGACGCAACGATCTAATGGAACAAAGTAAGCCAACTTAAACATTTTTTTTCAAACTGCCTTTAAAGGCACTATGTCCCATTAGTAGGCCAACAAAATGAAAAGGTTAAATTCCAACTGCATTTAAAAGATAATACTAATTTAGAACTTCTCGAAAAAAAAGAGGGCTTGAAAATGTTGGAAATATGTGGGAAATAACGACTACCGGGTATTAGTTTTCGAATCAACTTAAGTGCTACCAAGTCAGTAAGTTATAGTCTGATTTTCAGACCATTGTACCGAATGGTCGTACGTTTTGAGCTGCGCCAAGATTTAATCATTTTAATTTTGGCCGCTACAAGAAGTGGATTATTGATGTAGACAAATGATCATGTACCCTTTACAGCTCATTTTATGTACCGTATGTTATTACCAAAGAAGAAAAAAAGCCAGTCAGTCACTCAATAGTGTCTGACAGTGAAGTTTAGAAGGTAGACAGGTTTCCTTGCATAATTTGAATACTAGGACACTGCTAATGTTTAAATTTCACAGTTAGGACATACATGACATATTCATAATTCCTGAAAAGTTCTAGAGAATTTGATGTTGGCTGCAAAAGGGACATAGTTTCTTTAAATGAACATAATTTTCTTTTTAATTTGTTGGTTAAAAACTTGAAAACTAACCTGAACATAAGGCTTAAGATCACTCGGTTTCCAGCTCGTTGGATCTGCTTCAGTCACAATCCCAGACCTATACAAAGCAGATAATAAGATTTTTTTTGTTTAAGTATTTTTTTTCAAAAATAATAAGACCTATACCGTCCGAAGATACAGCAAATATACTTTGTGCAATATTAGAATCTTGTATTGAACTTTTTCCAACACAGATTATCCTCGTACTGTTCTAATTTGTTAAAAAATACTTTTATGTATATTTTATGTTTTCATGTACTGTATTATGTTATGCAATATGACTTTGATTGAATAGTTACATTGTCCTTTAAAGCTTATCTATACTAGTTTATAGGAGGGATTAGACCATCATGCAAGGTCACTGGACATGTGGTTTTCTCATCAACTCAGCTCTCAATTAACATAAGAAAAAGAGGATCATGGGGGACAAGTGGTCACCGATTAGGCATTGTTTTCTATATAGAGGGAGCAAGTAGCTACAAGTAGGACAGTGTGGCTTTAAAACATGTAACCTGGGCTACTGTTACATTTCCTTTTGGTTTTGCAAAACAAATGTGATTGATAATTGTCTAATAATGGATATGTCAATGCATTACTCAGGGATGCCAGTTAGAATTGATCAGAGGGCCTGAAAACCACCTAGAATTAGCTATTTAGTATACAAAAAAGCCTAAACTTATGGCCTGAAAATAAATCGCCAGGGCGTGAATTCAGGCTTTTGCCTGAAAATTGGCATCCCTGATTACCATCAACAACAAAAAATGCTTTGAATCCTCCCAAATCATCAATGGAATGCCCTAGGATCGTCTCTCACTCAATTTGGACCATGGGTCAACAAAATCCACCTACATGTAAGAAGCCTGCCTGTAACATCACTGATCTATGTCTATACTAGCTGTCCAAAGCTATACAATGTCAAATTAAACCAGTCAATACAGAGAAACAGGTAAATTAGACAATAAAGCCTGGGGGAGATACTCAGATTTGGTTTGGACGGGGGTATGCCGCTTAAGCCTCGGAACCCCTACCCATTGTTAGGGGTCATTTGGGGGCATTTTTCTCCTCCAAAAAATAGGAAATAAAGGCTTGTTCAGATATGGCGCGAAAAAACGCTGCAAAAAACCCACACACTTTTTTTGAACGTGTAAATGAAGGCAACTGAATGCCACAAAGGACTTGCTCATATTCACTCAGCACTGTGATACGGAAATGGGAAGTGTATTACACTTTATGTCGTCATTTAAAAAAAAAACTGTGCTTTTGCCAACTCACAATTTGACGTAGACATTAGGGCAGCTGGCCGCTCTGCTCATGTCCTTCGCCCAGCTGTCAAACTCTCCTTCTTTGATCTTCGGCTTGGCTATGTGATCTATGATGAGTCTTAGATCAGGGAACTCTTGGGCGATTTCGGTAGCATAGTGAAGACTGTGAGGCCTGAAGGTATGGAGTAAAACACCAAATTCTAGATGAGTGGATTTTTTAGAGGGGAGCTTTGGTGAGGCTCAAGCGCCCCCCCCCCCATTTTTCTGGATTATAATGTACACAGTGCACATTTAGAAGATGAGTGCAAGAATCCAATGCTCTCTTGGAATTAACATATAGCTCCACATAGTTTCTCAGAAGAAAAAAACAACATTTCTCTGTACCTGAGGAGTAGGTCATAGGTCAGATTTAGCTTCTCAAGTCTTCCCAGAGTTCTCTTGACTTCCTTCTTCTCAATCCAGCCAGGTTCTTCCAAGTCCAAGATGTGACGAAGTCCAAGAAAAAGAGGATTTTTTGACAGCCTCTCTAACTCCTGGTCAACCTGTAAAATCAAAATTACAAGCCAAGTAATGGAGGTACCATGGTAATGGTTCATTAAACTGACATTAAATGATAAGATTAAGGGTTTGAAATTTGAACCCCAGGGTTTGACACCTGCACAACGTCTTAACACCTACCTCAAACACAAACAAAATCACATAAGATGTATCCTTAATTACCTCATCATCTGACCCGCACATGTCTATCCAGCCAACAACTCCCACAATGCATTTGTGACGGGTAGCCATGTCTAAGGCCCAATCTGAGAATTAAAAAATATAAAAATCTAACAATAAACTAGACTTTAATTCGTCACTTAGACGAATTAGGTGATACGTATGATATTGGTTTACATAACGAAGAATGCATTAAACGATATCATATTATTTTATCAAGTGCTTCTCCCATGATGATATATCCATATGTCAAGTTTAAATTGTGTCGATCCCTTAATCATTATGGATCTAGGGAAGATATAGATTGAGACAATATATGACCATTGACTCTATGCAGTGACCAGTTAAACCTTTGACTCTAATTTACATCATGGAGAGCATATTTTGACGATTTTATCTTATTCAAAGAAATGAAAATGTAATTGATAAATGATTATCATCATTATGATAATGATGATCATGATGATAATGATGATGATCATGATCATGAGCTTGATCCTGATATCTTATTGAACAAATGAGGAATGATTTAGATAGCATATAGTCTCAGCTACAACATACTCAAAAAACAACAAAATCCAAGCAGGAATAACGGCGATATTGCTCACAATAGACAGGAATGTAGAATCCAGATTTGAGAAAAAAATCTCCCATAGGGATTACACGCAAAAAGTAATGGATCAAGTGAAAATAGGGTAATAATAAAGTAAATATGGTTTTTTATACATTATTTGCGAATCTACATGTATTAATAATCAAAGGAGATGGTACAGTGAAAGGTCAAAAAGAAAAAAAAAATGTGAAGAAAAAAAATTGTTGGAGACACTCGGACTCGAACCAGGGGTCTCGAGGTTGGAAGTCAAGTGCGTAATACCGATATACCAAAACATTTCTCATAGCGATTACACGTTAACGTGAAATAGAATGCTCAAATCCAACTTTGCAAGTGAAATATGAGCATAATCCTGGCATATGATCGAAAATAAAAAACTAGTTAGTGATAGCTTCTGGTCTCAGCTACAACTCAAAGCTCAGCGAAAACAAAGCTAAAACAACGGAGATTTTGCTCGCGAAAGACAGGAATGTAGAATCAAGTTTTGAGAAAAAGTCATGTCCCATAGAGAATACATGCAAAATGTGAAAAATTGACATGCCTCCTTTAATCGCAAAAATACGCCATGATATATTTGTCAAAATGAAAAATGATGAATAGTGCATTTAAAGAAAATTGTCTCAGCTAAAACATATTAAAATTTACAAGAAAAACGATCAATATCTACAGAGATACAATCAATTTTCGAAAAAAATGCTGACGTCATAATATGCAAATTTAAATTTTGAGTTTGGAGGCCATTATAATGACATTATAAGTTAATTGAGGGTCAAATGAGACATGAAATCATATTTCTATTTCATAATCTATCCACATATGAAAAAATATTGGGAGTTCCTATCTATTCTGAAGAGTTACAATGAATTTTGTATAGGCATGTTTTTGCCCATGTATTGTGGATAAAGATAAGGCAGATCCGCGCGTGCTGTCAACTTTGACGGACGATCATTGCGTTATTAAAAGGTGAACAAGTTATCAAAATGCTTGGAAAAGTGTGTCAAATATGATGACTGAGAAAATTCGGCCAATGTATGTTGCAAAATGCTAGTACGCGCAAAAAACGCGCGCGCATGCGCGTGTGCATGATTTTTTGCCAAATGCTCCATATGGCCTGAAACGTATGCAAAAAAAATTTGGGACGATTTGGAGCATTTTTAATTTTTGCGCGCGCGTAAACGCGCGGATGAACGCGCAGGTTTATTGACCTAAAATTAACCGGACGGATATTGATCTTAAACATGATAATTATAAATGAGAAATAACTTCCCGTAATGAAGATATGATCATAAGTTGATTTTCACAAAATGGCGCCTGGATGACGTCACGATGACGTTGAGTCTATGAAAAGTCACGCAGTTCTACGTTAGACTAAGATCTATCATCATGACAAGTTTTATGAAAATGGCTTTAGCCATTCTTGAGATATCCTGCGAACAAAATTGAGGAAGAATAATAATAATTTCTTCTATACAGACACAAAATAAATACTAGACTTTAATTCGTCACTTAGACGAATTAGGTGATACGTATGATAATGGTCTACATAACGAAAAATGCATTACATGATATATTATTTTGTAAAATGCTTCTCCCATTCATATGCTTCTCCCATATGATCTATTCATATGTCAAGATTAAATTGTGTCTCCTTGATCATCATGGATCTAGGGAAGATAGATTGAAACAATATATGACCTTTGACCCTGTGCAGTAACCAGTTACACATTTGACTCTAATTTACATCATGAAGAACACCTTTTGACGATTTTTATCTTATTCAAAGAAATGAAAATGTAATTGATAAATGATTATCATCATTATGATAATGATGATCATGATGATCATGATCATGATCATGAGCGCGATCATGACATCTTATTGAAAAAATGAGGGTTGATTTAGATAGCATTTAGTCTCAGCTACAACATACTCAAAAATCAACAAAATCCAAGCCGAAATAACGGCGATATTGCTCGCAAAAGACAGGAATGTAGACTCCAGATTTTAGAAAAAGTCATCTCCCATAGGGATTACACGCAAAAAGTAATGGATTAAGTGAAAATAGGGTAATAATAAAGTAAAAAGGGTTATTTATGACATTATTTGCGAATCTACGTGTTTAAATAATCAAAGGAGATGGTACAGTGAAGGTCAAAAGGAAAAAAAAGTGAAAAAAAAGTGTTGGAGACACCCGGACTCGAACCAGGGATCTCGAGGTTGGAAGTCAAGTGCGTTACCGATATACCAAAACATCTCCCATAGCGATTACACGTAAACGGGAAATGGAATTCAGAAATCCTACTTTGCAAGTGAAAAATGAGCATGATCCCGGCATCTAATCGAAAAATAAAAGGCACACTTTTGATAGCTCATTGTCTCAGCTACAACATATCCAAAGCTCAGCGAAAACAAAGCTAAAACAACGGAGATTTTGCTCGCGAAAGACAGGAGTGTAGAATCCAGTTTTGAGAAAAAGTCATGTCCCATAGAGAATACACGCAAAATGCGAAAAATTGACATGACTCCTTTAATCGCAAAAATACACCATGATACTTTTGTCAAAAATAAAAATTGTGAGTACTACATTTGTAGAAAATTGTCTCAGCTAGAACATATCAAAATTAAAAAGAAAATTGATCCATATTTACAGAGATACAATCAATTTTCCAAAAATATGCTGACGTCATAATATGCAAATTGAAATTTTGAGTTTGGAGGCCATTATGATGACGTCATGAGTTAATTGAGGATAAAATGAGACATGAAATCATATCTCCGACTCATAATCTATCCAAATATGAAAAAATATTGGGAGTTTCTATCTATTCTAAAGAGTTACAATGAATTTTATATAGGCATGTTTTTGCCCATGTATTGTGGATAAAGATAACGCAAATCCGCGCGTGCTGTCAACTTTGCGGACGCTCATTGCGTTAATGAAAGGTGAACAAATTATCAAAATGCTTGGAAAAATGTACCGAATATGATGACAGAAAAAAATCGGCGATTCTATGTTGCAAAATGCCAGTACGCGCGAAAACGCGCGCGCATGCGCGTGTGCGTAATTTTTTTATCAAATGCTCCATATGGCCTAAAACGTATGCAAAAAAAATTTGGGATGATTTGGAGCCTTTTAAATTTTTGCGCGCGCGTAAACGCGCGGACGAACGCGCATGCGCGCATTTGCGCACTTTTATTGACCTCAACTTGACTGGACGGATATTTATCTTAATCGTGATAATTATGAATGAGAAATACTTTTCCGTTATGAAGATATGATCATTAGTTGATTTTCACAAAATGGCGCCTGGATGACGTCACGATAATTTTGACTCTCTAAAAACTCACGCAGTTCTAAGTTAGACTAAGATCTATCATCATGGCAAGTTTCATGATAATGGCTTTATTCAGTCTTGAGATATCCTGCGAACAAATTCGAGGAAGAATAATAATTAAAAAAAAAAAAAATAATAATAAAGAAAAATCTTGACGAAATCAAAAGGTGATACGTCTACGTACGTATCACCTAAAAAATTAAAAATCAGACATTGTTATTGTCAATACAAATGCATCATTACGATACATGCACATTCAACAGTGCATCATCTGTCTGGACCGTGTAGGCCGGGAAGTTAAGGTGTTTATAATTCCTATCTGACTGGCTCCAAACAGAAAATATCAGTTATGAATCCCACATTTTATCATTTAGCAGAAATGGTTTTGCAAGTATTTGAATGAGAATGAACTATTCATTAATATAGAATATTTACGAGCGTTTAAAACATTAAGTACCATATAGCGCTTACAAATACAAATATATGACTAGAAAATTTAATTCGTCATGGGGACGAATTAGGTGGTCTGTCTTCACTGATTATGATAGATTTGGGAATGGGAGAAGTTATATAGACATGTAAACAATGATGATCATGATGAACATGATGATGATCATGATAGTAATGGTGATCATGATGTTTCACTTTGTACGAGTCAGGGGGGTATGAAATCATATCTCCAACTCATGCTTTTTCCAACCATGATATAAAAAATGGGGGTCAACGGACTATCTGAAGAGCTATTTCGATTTTTAAAATGGCATGTTTTTGATCAAATTTGCATTATATTGCACAAATCTTTTTAGCCCATTACAGATGTCATTTGAAATGCAAACTAAACAACAAAATAATGCAATGAACAACATATCACTTAATCTAAAAATAAAATTGTTTCCCATCAAGAGCAACAACATATAATTTCAATCAAATTTAATATTGAACACTTGGTGCCTAGTGGGGAATTAAACGCCATTCTGAAAAAGAAACCTGATTCATTTTTTATTCCCTAGCTGCTATGAATTTAGAATAAAAACCCCTGAAATTATTAATATTGAACACTTGGTGCTTAGTGGTGTATAAAACGCCAGTCTCAAAAAAGAAACCAAATTCATTTTTTTCATTCCCTGTGACAATGAATTTATAATAAAAAAAACCTGAAATTACCAGTTTCTGCAACTGTGTTGTTAACAACTTGTACAAAGATGCCATTTCTGACAGGGCAGCCACTCTCTACCAGAGCCTTCTCGTAGCCGCAGGGATAAAAATTGTCAAAAAGCGGCCCATCTTCCTCCGTTGGCCACTCATACTTGAACTTTTGAAGGTCCCAGAAGTCTAAGATTTCATAAGAAAAATGAAAAGTTAATTCATAAATACAGTAATAATAGCCAATAGTAATATCAACCAGTAATATATATAAATGATATAGAATTTTTTGTAGTTTCTACATCACAAGGTTGACAAAGTGACATAACATAAACATAATGATATTTAGCACCAGCCGATGACTTAGGTGATCCTCAGGCATTGGCATTGAAATAAAATAAATAAATATTAATTTGTTAAAACTTATGTGCTCTCATTTCATTTTATTTGTCATGGTTAATATTGCTCAAGGTTTACTTTTCATTTATATTTGTATTCATTTTATGTCCATACTAATAGAAGCTAGGTCTACATCACACTCAGGCCTATAGATTTTTTATAAATATTTCAGCACTCATAAATATATCATTATCATTCTGGACATTGTTGCTTTAATATACCGAGGGTGGCTCTAAATTAACTTCCTCTCCTGATCCTGTGCAGTGCAGTGTTGAACTGCCTCAGATTTGCATGCTTCCCAAGCTCAGGGGTTTATTTGCATTAATTTCTATATTAATTACATGATGTAGGCTAGTGAAGGTCTATCTAGGCCTACATTTGTATCACAACTGCAAACAATGAGTATTCAAATAACAGAGCTTGTAAATGAAAGGAGGTAGGCCTACGTGAATAAGCATAGATCTCGATCTTTATAGATTATAGACCCTATGATTATGAGCTGCTATATTGATATGAATATTGAATGAGGCCGAAGGGCTTAACTGAACATGACAGGAGGAACAACAGAAACTGGACGGGGGCGGAGCCCGAGGCCGAACGCGTACGTTATATGCACATGCATCTTATTCTAATTAACAAGATCAAGACAGTTGTTAATTCTGAATTATTTAGACTTGAAATTTGCACTTAAACGTGTCAAGATGCATGCATATCACATTAGTATATGATAATTGTATTGTTAACTTACGAACGTGGGCATCAATGCTAACCGGCCTTGGCCTAGCCATTGTTTCTCCACCGGATCGTGTGTACAGTTTAGGCCAACATACAGCCAGGGAATCCACCCCGCCCGCGCCCGGGTCCGTCCGAGTAAGCCCGGATCGTGTTACACGTTAAGACCATGTTACAGTTTAAGACCTCAACATCCGTACACTGCATGCGTGCTATGCTCGCATGCATGCTGCAGGCAGAAGTGAAGTGCAGTGCGTACACTGTGTACGCATGACTAGACTCTGTTTAGGATAGTTTAGTCGTGGGACCGGACAATCAGGAGAGAGGTAGATATTGCTTAAAATGTAAGTTTTACTGGGCAAGATAACATATGATAACAAAGTTAGCGTGGATGTGTCTGAAAAGGATATTTTGCTGACCAAACCATACAGCTACAGAAATGAAGTAGCCTTCGAGTTCGACCTTCTCGAGAAATCATGAGGGATAATGATCATGAGCCACTGCACTGGCGCTGGCCCCGGCCATAGCTCTGGGGGCGGAGTTCCTTGGAGTTAGCGCTGCCCCAATCGAGCGCGAGCTCAGCGAGTTACGTGTAAAGTCTATGGCTATGGTAGACCGAAAGCTTCAGTCTCTATATCGTCGGTTGTTCCACTGAGACTACGTCTGGCTCCACTAGACCTCCGGATATAGTCTAGTGGAGCCAGACGTAGTCTCAGTGGAACACCGACGATATAGAGACTGAAGCTTTCGGTCTATGGCTATATGGGTGAAATCCCATTACCGGTAGGCCTATCAGTATCACACGCAAAGAGTCGCTAGCCATGTAAATTTCACATTTTTGATTTTTTGAAATGTAGGCCTAGACTATATCTTTATAATGCAAAAATCTCACAAGTATAGGCCAATATAGGCCTAGTCTACTCGGAATTCTGTAGGCACCCATAGACAGTCTGACTGTAGACTAGTTGTAAATGCTGTTATTTTCGCGTGATTTATTTTTCGTGCCCATCGAACACAAAACATAATCGCTGGTTGAACCCTCTCCAGCAAAGCATAGATAGAGAGTCAATGCTAATGCGTATTGACCTCTAGCACTGCACTACGTGTTAATAGGCAGCATTTGAATACATGAATAGTACAACAAACAAATGTACATAATCATGCCGATGCGGCTGATCTGCAAGTTTGACAGTAGTCTAGACTTACAATTTGAATTTTTGATTTATTCTTTCTAACATCGGTAAGTTAAAAAAAATGTGTTTTAATGTTTTTTCTCAGCACTATACATCCTGACTTATGGATCCTGCTGAGTATCGTCTTAGAAATATAAGTAGAAGTATAGGTATCATCAATTGTCACTAAAGTACCGACTTTGAGTGAAATCAGTTTAGTTTTGTACACTTGTTTTTGAAATGTTGAGAATCAATAGCACAGCTTTTAATACACAGCCAGGATAGTAATGCAGCTATGTGTGGTTGAACCTGGTTCTTATCTTTGCGTTGCACGCATTTCAGCCTGTTCAAACACACAGAAATAAGAAGTCATGCTTCCATATTTTCGCGAGTTGTAAAATTCGCGCTTGCCGATCTTAGCGCAAAATCCGTGAAAATTAATGTACTGCAAATATTTCTACTTTTACAGTAACCAACTCACCAAGCTCTAAGTCTAGTTAGACCAGGTTCTGTTAATGTTATTTGTTAATAATGTTATGATAGAAAACTAGAACGAACTACATGTAGAAGAGGCTCCTTTTAAAAAAATTGAATAGACCCTAGCCTATTTAAATTCTACAAAAAATACAAATGATTTCCTGCAGAGTCCGAAACATTCTTAGCCAGAATCCACACATAGTTGCCAAATTCTATTTACTAAACAAACTAAATTAGTAAATATGGATTGCTGCAGATTTTGAGCCCTAGGAAATCAACTACATCAACATGTACTTACTTACTGCCCATTATGCCTCCTGGCACATAGGGCAGCAACAAAAGTCTTCCACTCTTTCCGATCCTGGGCCAGTCTTTGGATTGTATCCCATGTGTGGTTCAGGTCTTTAATCTCTCCTTCCACAGTTCTTCGCCAAGTGGTTTTAGGACGTCCCCTCTTTCTTTTGCCTTCTGGTGTCCAGTGGAGGGCTGTTCGTGTGATGTCATCTCTGTCCTTTCTCATTACATGCCCGATCCATCTCCACCTTCTTCTCGTGATGATGCTCTCCATGCTGTCTTGATGGCATTGGGCATACAGTGCTTCATTTGAGATGGTGTTTGGCCAGAAAGTGCGGCATATTCTTCTAAGACTCTTTGTGTGGAAGACTGATAGCTTGCTGAGGTCGTTTTTAGTCATTCTCCAACATTCAGAGCCGTACAGGAGAGTGGAAAGGACACAGCTCTGGTACAATGGTACATCAACATGTAGATCTACCATTAAATTTCAGGACCAATCATTTGCAGGTGTTGTTGGAGCTAGTTTATTTGAACATGATGGATTCCCCCCGCCCCCTTGAGATTTTTGTGTACCAAACACTTTACTAACTAATAAAGCATTGCAACCTCTAATAAACAAAATGTATTCACTAAGTTTTATTAAAAATACAATGGTTTTTTTTATTACCAGAACTCTTCCTGACCTGTAAACAATTAAATTCAAGATGTCACTAGGTCAAGCTGGTCAGCAACAGAGGGCGCTCACTCAAAGCAAAGACACTCAACTCAAGTCATACAAGCGAAGACTCAAAGAGGACGTATCATCCATACTCGACAACTTCACAGAGGTCCTGAAGCTGGCAAAGGTAAAGTACTGGTAGATTTAGGGACTATTTTTGTTTGTTTTGATTCTTGATTGTTGAAACTCTTATATTACATACCGGTAGATAAAACTGTGGAAAAGGTAACGGTCCATATATTCTGTGGTTTCCAACGGGACACTGGGCTGCGTCTCACGAAACCGTCATAAGTACAAGTTGAGCGACATCCTATTGAAACCTGTGTTAAACTTAATACATGCATTTCAATGGGATGTTGCTCAACTTGTACTTATGATGGTTTTGTGAGACACAGCTCTGGTTCTTCTGAAATGGCTCCATTCCGGTTACTCCATTTAATTGTTTTTGTTTTTAAAAGTTATGAACTCTAAGTGAATACAATTTGTGGAAAATCTGTTCCTAAAGGGAAATCTAACCTTTAATAATAGAAGTTTGCTCTGAAGGAAAGCAGGAAATTGAAATAAGGAGAAAGGTGAAGTTTTAGCAATTACATCGGACAAACTATAAGTAAGTTATAATGTTTTTTTTTTAATGTTGTAATCACTATATGGTATACATGTACATGTACATAATTATAATATATCTGTAATCTTTCCTGACCATTCACTCCTTTCTTTCTATCATTTAATATCATTTTATCCATCCAAAACTACTTTTCTTCCTCTATCCTTCTTCTCCTCGATCTAACCTGTTAGTGCCAGATTCTCCAAACCTTCTTAATGAAACAATGTCCCAAGAATCTCATCTGCCTGACCTTTTGGTCACAAAGTAGTTTATGTTACCTCACTAAACAGTCTTCACTTCAGCTCTTTTCAAGTAAACATCTCCCTTATTACAAAAGTAATATTTGAAGGTGGATGTTTTATGAACATACAATACCCAAGACACAAAGAGCGAAGGAAGTTATCCTGTGTTCAAACTACCAACATTTATTGTATAGCTATACGATAAGTAAATTACATTTTTTACTAGTCCGAATGTCACTCAAAGAAACTGGAAAAAAAAATCACATATCGAAATGCCCATTTCATCGTTCAAATGAAAACTCGATAAAAAATCAGGGTTACCCTGCAGTCTGAACATTGTATTGTACGAAAATTAGATAACTGGGCGGGGTATTGAGACTTGAGAGCGCACACTATTGATAAGCCAACTTTCATGTATTCATCAAAATTGGTCTGTTTACATCATATCGTTTCTTCATAAGATGTTTTTTTCTAGTCTGTGCGCTCCTTTCTTTATAAAATGGTTGTTTATAATGATAGGCCAGCTTTCATGTCAACTGAATTGTCAAAATTGGTCTGTTTACATCTTGACGTTTCTTCATAAGATGTTTTTTTCTAGTCTGTGCACTCCTTTGGTTATATACAATGGTTGTTTATAAAACGTTTCTTTAAACAAGTTTTGTATAAATCTCCTGTAGTCTGACTCTGAATAGGCAGTTTGTGATTGGTTCTTTTAAAGTGACTCGGTAACATTGCGTCGGATTCTGAAACAAAATCCTGGATTAAGCTCATGCTGCAATGATAAATATAAACCTTTAGGTCAGTCAGGAACCCCATGATTTTTACAAGCCGATTGCCTGTTTGATTGTCAAGATATATTTGATTGGAAATTGAAACCACATTTTTTGTGTTCATAACAGTAACACTACAGTCTATTGAATAAAAATGGGTATGGAGAAACCGGTCACGCAAAAAATGTTACTTTTTTTTAGGCACTTCATGATCATTTTGAAGCCCAATTTTGTTAGGGCTTCAATATTACACCATACACAGACTCTGATAACACGTAGGACCATGCATATCAGATTTAACATTGTTAAACGATGCCTTTAAGATTTTCTCTTGATAAGTTGATATTGCTTCGATCATAACATGTAATTCAACGATTATCATTGTTCTGTAGGTGGAGGATGAAACTCAAGTGGCTAGACAAGCTCAAGGAGAACAGGACCAAACAGAAATGCAAGTCAGAGCAGGAAATATTGTGAGTCTAATTACAATTTCATTTCTTAGCAGATAAGAAATTATTGCCAATATTGTTCAGATATGTCTTAACCTTGAAAAACATGTTCATTTACCTTCATAAACGTTTTAATGACCAGTATATCGAGAGCAGCGGTATGAGGTGCAATCTTCAAAATGAATTGATATTTTAGTGTAATCTTGAGTCCAGGGGGGTGTTTCACAAAGTTCCTAAATTGAACTTATCTCTAAGTTGAACTTGACAATTATGGAAAGCCGTTAGCATCTTTGACAATATTTTTTAAAAGTTGTTTTCAAGGCATGAAATGTTGATTCAAATCATTCATATTTTCTATTATCAAGAAGATTTTGTCTTCTTGATCTGGAAATTATGAAAAGTCTAAAATTCTTTATTTTTTATTTTTTATTTTGAACATATTTTATTTTAAGGCTACAAATGGCTCTCCATAGTTGTGAACCCCCAGGTGATGAAAATGCAATTTGAAGTGTGGAAATGTCATTTGTGTTTTTCAGTAAATACAATTTCATGCAAAGTTTCCTACATCTGTGTCCATTTGCCATTTAAAAGAAGATGTATAGCCAGTCAGGATTACTTGATGTCTGTCGGCTTTTCTTGAATTTGCATATCCAGGGGGGTGTTTCACAAAACTTTTCATCAGTGACAAATGACAGTTTTTGTTATAAGCTACTGAAATCTTTGCTTCTGATTGGTTATCAGCAGTTTTGTCACTGATTTTTGTAATTTGTCATTGAAAAAAGGCTTTGTGAAACAGGTCGCAGAACTCCTTGTCAGCTTTACTAGAGGAAATAGTACCTTAATTTTGTTTGTATTAGAAGTGTTAATAGTTTTTGTGTAACAAAAAATGTTCACTATTATCATGTTTAAAAAAAAGTCATATTGTGTTTACATTAAAAGTTTGCTTCTGAAATGTTGAATTATGAATTGTTGATGGCCAAGTCAGGCTAACTTGGCACTAAGACAAATTCAGCATCGCTTGTAGAATATTACCTCTTTGAAGTTTTCAACATTACCTTTTTTGTTAACTATGTTACATCATACTGTCCAATAATGCAATAAATGTGAAATTCTGCCAAGCACTTGCAGTGCATCCAGCTCTCCTGGACGAATTGGCCATGATTATTCTGCCGAGTACAAGTTAACCCTAGTGCCATGTTAGTCCTGGTTGGTGTTTCACAAAACTTGTTATTAGTGACAAATGACAGTCTTTGTTATAAGCTACCAAAATCCTTGCTTCTGATTGGTTATCAGCAGATTTGTCACTGATAATTGTCATTTGTCATTGAAAAAAGGCTTTGTGAAACGGGCCCTGATCCGTCTCTGGATACCTACTTGATATTTGTAATCAAAAGTTTGTTGTGTTATGATTTTTTGTTTTTACTAGGTTCGAGCAGGAGAGTCTCTCATATCCTTGGTAGCAGACATCAAACAGTTCCTGATCTTGAACGACTTTCCTTTGGCCAATGAGAACATTGAAAAGAGGGCTCGTTTCTTGGGCAACGTCCAGAACAATGTGGACTCGAAGATAGTGCAGCTGCGTGACGAACTCTCCAATGATCTTTACGAGATAGAGGAAGAGTACTACTCATCGAGATATAAATGATATTGAGTGACGATGATGATGGGACTCCAAAGACAATGTTAACTTTATATAATGGACTGATGTTTATCAGCCATCCTTAGTAATATTATGGCTGAGACCCAAGGTCCAAGGACCCCAATACCGAAAGAGGAAAACTTCAAATTAAAATCCATTCTTGAAGTTTTGTGGGTTGAGAAAGAGACAGAGGCATTGAAATAAAACAGTCTTGACTACCGGTAAATATCACTGTCTGCCCTGCACACACATTCGTCGTAGTCATGGTCGTATGCGTCATGTCTGACCCTTTGAGATGATGGTTACTGCAGAGTGACAGACCTGTTAAAGGTAAAGACCAGTTTTGGAAACGCCCCCCTCTCTAAATTTGAAATGGAAGCTCTTATTACCAATCATATGAAAGAATATGTTTTGACTGATACGGGATGACACAAATTTTGCTGGGGAACCATCATATCTATCCGGTCTGTGAAGATATCGCGTTGTCCCATATACATCTTTATGTGTACAGTGCTTGTAACTCTACCAAGACTGGGCCAAATTTTTTATCATTTTGATGATTCTTGATACACACCAATACTTATATGCTAGAAGATCAACCTTTTCTGATCGATTCCACACCGTTTCTTTCACAATGCAATCGCATGACTAGAACTGGTCTTTACCATCAAGTTCTTCAATTTGTTACATTCAATCATTACCTTGCTGTACTGATCATTGTAAGGCCTCTTCGTATTTTTTTTCGTAACGTCAAGTGTAAAACACTTAACATTTCTGACTCTTACAACAGTGCCTAGTGAATGCTAGTCGAGCGAATTGCCTGCAATTATAATATGTCTTGTGTACCCAGGCTAGCATCATCAGTATTACCGGTAATACTGTTCCCCCAAGGGCCCTGCAATCTTATCTTACCTGAAGAAAAAAATGTTGAATTTTCAAATCAAAGTCGGTCATACAATGTAAGGGCCTTATTTTATAAGCAAAATAAATAATGATCATCAGATGTTTCACCCTTCCCTTCTTTATATTGTATTGACATTTCACAACTTGTAGAAAAGAAGGATTCAGACACAGAAGTTAGTTGATTTTGTGATTTATTAATCGCTTTCCATACAAGACACGACATGTTCTCTGCATCTGTGATGTGGTTAAATAAATCTGTGGACAAATGTAGAACATGTTTTTAGCGTTTGCTTTATTTCTTTTGGTTGTACGTGTATTTAACAACATTCTCAAATATATTATCTGTAGATGCTCAAATAAAATTCATATTATGCAGTTGAAATTTTTTTCTCTCATGGTTTTAGCCGTATTCATAAACAATCATATAAGAATGGTAAATAGTATGCTTAAAGGTTATAGTTTCAGTAACATCAGCACTCGACTAATATACTGTAGCAGTATAATCTTATTTAACATTGACATTTACCTAGAATTTTGTTCTCAATAAACGATAGGATATAAAATCATACTTCATTAGTTTTGGATGTGTTTTGAAGAGAAAATTAACGAGGCTATCATGTTCACTCTTTGAAATTAAGTTCAGCTAACTTTTTTATTTCATAACTAGTCCAGAATTTGGCAGGTTTTATCTCAATAATATTCCCTACACTCACTTCAAGCGGCCATAGATGGCGATATCTACGCTCAGTAGAAATGTTAGGGATCACGTCATATTCGGCTAGCAGCAAGTAGGGGGAGATTGCGGTGGGGGAGATCATTAAAAATTAAATCGGCCAGATTCAGGACTACTTCAAAACATGCAATGTAAGGAATCTTGAAATATAACCCAATGATGCATGTACCCTTTCAACACTCGTCTTAGAAGAATTTAATTCAAAATGTGAGTCCATGTACGTGTGTGTTTTTTTCTTAGTTTGAACCCATTGCAGATCAAAATGTTGGGACAGCAGAATCTAACGCAATACACCCTCAATAAGAAAAGAAAAAAATCTTTACAGAAAATAAAGGTATATATCGTATTTCGTAAACGATACAAAAAATAAAATAAATGTGATGAATGGACTTTCACATTTAACAGCATTCCTGTAATAATTGCACAAAATGACATGTACCGTAGTAAACAAATAGCACCACTCCCATAACTCGTACAAAAACTGGCTGCTCTTTTGAACCTGGTATCAAACGAGGTACCATACCGTATAATTGTGAGAAATATATAGATTGAATGAAGTGCACATAATGATGATAATGATTAGTTTTCCCTGCTGAAGTGTAATGATCCAAAAATGAAATATGACAGTGAAATCTCGCACTGGAATATACACCTGGCCCTTTTAACACAAAGTTTAGCAATTTATCGTATCGCAAGGAGAACTGGGCCAAGAAAAGGAAATCCTTATTTCTTGCTCCCAATTCTTCCTTTCAAAATGTATAAGTACACAACAAATCTGTAAATTCTCAATTTATAATGATGCCACATAGTAATATACACCAATACAGTGCTATTTTGCACATGTATTACAAACTGACCAAACCACAAGCACTTATCTTCATCATCATCATCAATTATCAAAGTCAGCATTTTTCTCGTTATGAGGGGTTACTGACTTTCGCACCATGGTGACACTCCCTCCCTCCACTTTTTCTTGTCTCGGGCATCCTCTTCATTTAGACCAACCTTACTGCTTTCTAAATAAAGGGGAAACTTGAGCCATGAAGAGTGGAGAGAGGAAGTGTCATCGTTTTACTAAAGTCATGTAACCCCTCATAAGAGATAGACTTGGGGAGGGGGGAGGGGGGAGTTTCCTTTAATTTCAAACATCCATTACTCCCAACGACGCCCCTAGGAAACATCTTTATTTGGCCTCAACAAGGCAGTTACCTGCATACATGTTATCTTCATCTTCAAAATGATTTTTGTACAACCATAGACTTTTACCACATGAAATTTAAATTTGTTAAGGACTAATTATTTTCACAGGATTTTCTTTCCTGGATTGCAAATATTCAATGTTTATGTCACTTGTGATCCAGTGTCACCGCATGGAATTTTCCTGGATCCATCTGCAGCACTTGCAAAGTTTGCAGACATTGCATGCACAATTCTTCTTTACAGTAATTTTGTTAAAATGTCATATTCACACATGTAGTCATGCATAAATGATGTTAGTTTATTATCAAATACACATTGATAATAAAACTATCCATGAATATATTTGAAAATGTCTATACATGGATGTTCCCGTTCCAAACTAGACTTTGGATTCATTCATGCATGGCGTACAGTTATGCACTGCTGTGGTCAATGTTTTTTTAAACAGATAATTCCACTAGATTATGAAAAAGAAGCCTGACAGTGCATGATTGACTTTTATCAATGAATGCATTTCTGTTAAAATTTGGGCAATGTTTAATCATTAACAGCTGTATCCAGAAAATGAAAAAAATTGAGCAAAACTACTGGTATGTTTATTCCCTTGTAACTTTCACTAATACCGTTAATCACAATACACTCTTTTTAATTGGGCAGTACACAAACATTCTCACATATCATGCGTGCCTCTACAGCTACAGTGTACTAATGGCAAAAGGAAAAGCTTGCCTGATATAGCAACTTGTGTATGAAATGTACATTCAGTGATCTAAAAAACATTCTTGATAGACCACAAGGTGGAAAAAACTGTAATTTCAATATGCAAAGAAATAAAAGTGCTGTGTTCTTTGACAAAAATAACAAATGTGCAAGATGTCCATTATTTGCTATGAATATAAACAAAATGAATTCCGAAGGTATCTAGTTAACTTCTATTGCTCTCCTTGCAACGAGGATAACGATGTTAAAATCACATTTTACTTAAAATATCATCTGGTAAATTCCATCTAATTTTTTAACATGGTCAAATTTCCTACAATTTTTTTTTCTGACATCATTTCATTGATTAAATTTGCATGACAAAGGAGACATCATAGCCTGCTACGGTAGATGCAGGGCATAAAATGAATCGGAATTTATTTGAACCGAAAAATGTACATGAACCTACTTTCAGACCCCCCCCCCCCCTTTCCCCTTCATTTCCAATTTTTAAATCTGCATGCAAAGTTGCAAACTAATTAACTCCATTATTCTCATTTATTTTTTCTACAATTCTACACCACAGAATACAAATACCATATAGTTTTAGCACACAATGGAGATACATTTGGCTCAGTTGCAGATTTAAAAACTTGCTAAAACTTTGATTGAATTGCCTTCAGAAAGAGCTTGCCAACAAACATGAGGGCCCTATTTCATTAAAAAAAACGTTATTAGCAACAATGCAATGATTTATTTATCCTGCAAAAATCATGAAATTCGATTGGTTGTGAGAACATTTGTGGGGGAAAAAAACAAAAACATGGCAGCTGTCGAAAGGCTCGTTCACATTTCCTGTGGTTTCACCGCCACAGGTATTTTTTTGTACTAAATGAATGGGGAGTGGGGATGGAAAAAGTAGCTGCTTGCATTAGAAGTCCTAAGCATGTGAAGCACTGTACTTGAGAACCCTGGCACCATATGTGAACAGGGCTTAGTGAAGGCTGATTTGATATCAAACTCAGCTTGAGTTTGACATGATCTATCCTAACTCTATGTAGTGAATGGGTGATTGTTAACTTGAGATTGATTAAAGGCATCATTTAACTGTTGAATCTGAGATGCATGGCCCTACCTGTTATCAGTGTTTGTGATATGGTGCTTTATTGAAGCCCTAAAGAAATTGTGCTTCAAAATGATCATGAAGTGCCTCAAAAAGTAAAAATCTTTGGGTGACCGGTTTCACCATACTCATTTCTCCAACAGACTGTAGTGTTATAAAAACCGTTAGGAAAACAGATTTTGACATTTCAATTTCTAATCATAAATATCTTGATAATCAGACAGGCGATCGGCATGTAAAAGTCATGGGATTCCTGACTTGGTTATAATTACGATTGCAGCATGAGCTAAATCCAGGATTTTGTTTCAGAATCTGAGGCAAAGATGCCCGATCCCTTTAAAGGACTGGCTGGTCTCCTTGTGGCCCTATGCCCAACGTATCCCGACTTCGATAGGGTGTGAAAAGCAAATCTCGCTGCAAATATGGAAAACAATACGCATCATGCACATGCAAATGTGGTCATCACATCAATGCTACATGTAATTTAGATACAGGTGCCTTTTGCGTGATTAAGTCAATGAAATATCTTCAGGTTTATTCTGTCACCAGTGAGATAATCCATGCTCTTCCCCACTTGCATCTAATTCCAAGTGCGATGCTATACCCTGGCTACCAATTCCACATCCTATATCATCAACAATGGCAGTTCTCTCTGGAATCGCTTTCCTTTCTTCTGAACTCGAGGGGCTCTCCCTGTCTTCTTCAATGCCCTTTGAAGGCTGTACAAGGGGACCACCAGCCAGACTTCCTGCAGAATTCTGTGATAATTTGTCAAATTCTGGACATGAATGACAACTGTTAGAGGCTGCAGCTGATGCACCATCTTTGACGTGGCTTTCATCTGGTAAGTTCCCTTTAGATGCATTGGAAGCTAAGTTTGAGGGGGCACTGGACCCCGAGTGCACTCGCTGGAAAGGAGAAGCTTCGCTGAATCTTAGCGCGGAACTCTGCACCTTGTTCGTTTTAACATTTAAAGATCCTTCTCTGGACCGAGACTTTGCAGCAACGGCTGCGGCAGATCCTTGAGCTAAGAACTCTCCTGCACGTGGACTAGGTGCCTTTGACCTCTCCTGTCTTGTCTGTAGAGCACGTTTAGAAGTAGGAGTGGTATTCTGCACCCCAGGTGACGTTCTTAAATTTGTGGGTGCCGTAGCTTCCCCCTCAACTCCTAATGGAGTCCGTCTCTCGGCCGGATCGGGCCTGCTCTTCTGCGAGCCTGTACTGCCACTGCGATTAAATGTCTTCTGCGGACTGTTGGATCTGCTGCGAGAAATCCCGGAGCTGGAAGTAGAATCGTCCAGCTGAGCTCCGTCTGGATTTGAGCGTTGCCGGGCGTGGCCACGGTGACGGGAGGTGCTCTGTTTGGTGAGTTTGAGAATATCGCCCTCTAGACGTTGGTTGACCTTCTTCAATGAGTTGTACTTTGATTCCATTGCCTGGAACACAATGAGAGATCAAGAAACGCATAAACAACAAAGAAATGTCGAACGTTTCATCCACTTTTTTTTTTCTTCATAAAACTACAAATATTTAGTCTTTCATTTTGAAGTTCTATATATTGTTGGATGTAACGCTATTTTTGTTATTATGTTTTATAATTTTTATAATTGTGTACATTGTTTGTTATACCAGTGAGCAATTAGTTTCCATTTTTTAGTGGACAATAAATAAATTTGATTCAATTCACTCTCCTCTCCTGCTTTTGCATTTTTTTTTTTACCAAGCTGTACTTTACATACCATCTTCATGTTGTTGAAATTTCTAAAATGTCTCCCTCATTCTGTAATATAAGAGCTACATTGGTTACCATCATGCAGTTGACGTTCAAACTCCTGCTCAAAATGTAACAGAAAATTTAATTTGCAGATCTTCAGAATATGTCCTTGTTCCTAACAATATGTAAAGATCTCTGTATCATATTCAAAATCCAAAGCTTAACTTTGAAATAACCTTTATCAACTCATACTGCGGGTAACCCAGAAGTGATCCATTTAATTTCCAATCCTGCTTGACCTGTTCAGTTCATGAACACGTAATGACTTGGAACATCAATATTGCGAGTCAGAAAAGATGACACTTTTATAATTGTCATTTGTTTCAAGAATGAATGGTTAATATGGACATATGTGTTATGTTTTTTGTAGAGTATCGTGCCCCGCTTCTTTTGATATTTCATGGTTGACTGCACAAAGGTCAATGTAGGTAACCTGGTCAAAACCCATTTGCACTATTAACTGGGGTGAGTAGGAAGTTAAACAAAAGGCAAAAAAGAGTGTGTTTGTCATTTGTCTATCAAATGAATATCATATAAAAAAGGAGGATTAATAAATAATTTTCTATCCATATTTACAAATGCCTCTAAAAACAAAACAAAGGATCAAGCCTTTTTCTGACACACACTGTAGTTGAGACCAGACAGAAACTTACCTCAACCTTTCCATTTGAAAGACTTTTCACACTCTCCAGGTATCTCTTCTGCTCTGCTATCGATCGATCCTACAAAAGTAAATTCCGATAAAAGCAACATCTCAGATGAATAAGAAAAGCTCATGTTGAAAGATATTACAAATACAAGTGAAATTTACACTAACTATAAGAACTTGTAAATATATAAGATCCAAAATGTTTGAACAGAAGCATAAAAGTATGAGAACGAAGGTAATATATTATACCAGTGTTATTACCAATTATACTGTATGTTCTCCCACATGTGCATATTTATGTTAGTGTTTTATTTGATGTTAAGGCTCGTCCAGACATGACGCAGAAAAACCGCAGCATTTTTTTTAAAGATGACCTAGTGTAATATTTAAAGCATCAAATTTTTGTATGTAATAACACAGAGTTCAGTGAATAGGCTTGAGTCCTTTGTTGCGCACATTTAACATTTATTTACACGTGAATAAAAAAAACTGCTGCTTTTTGGGGGGCAGTTTACCATGACATATCTGAACAAGCCTTTATTCAGGTAACGATATACTGCAAAGTGCTTTGATGAGATACTCGTAACTGGAAAAAATTGCTATAAAAATGGACAGTTCAATAAATAAATATGAATTCAGAAAAGGCTGAAATACATTTTAGACAACTTCTCCTAAAATCAGGGGTGATTTTTTTTTTCCCCTTCTTTCCCCCCCCCCCCCCTTGACTAATAAAAAAAAAAAAAAAGCTTTTGAATAAGAAAACTGGAGAAAAAATAGAGAAAATAGGGGTAAAATCAGGAAGATTTTCTTTTTTTTTTTTTTTTTTTTTAATCGGGAAACTAATTTAAATCAGGTATTTGTCAGGCCTGTAAATTGCAGTTTCATTACAAGACTTGAAGATGAACTCCTCATCAGCGCTATGATGATTATTAATCACATACCCTTTGAGTTAGGAGAGCATCGATGTCGATTATCCTTGCTTTGGCAGCATCAAGCTGTATGCTCTTTTGCTTCACAGCATCATGACAATCTAGGCAGAAAGTTATTAAAAAAGGAAAAAATAAGAAAAGAGCATTGCCTACTTTGAAAACAAGAGTCAACAGAGCAAGAGTGTTTCTGATTGCACTGTCCATCATTGTATGTATGTCACTGATACTGATAACAAGTATTACCCAATACTTTAAAAAATCTGTATACTCTTTTGCTTCACAGCATCATGACAATCTAGGCAAAAAGTTATTAGTTAAAAGGAAAAAATAAGAAAAGAGCATTGCCTACTTTGAAAATAAGAGTGACCAACTGCATTGTACTTTAATATAAGTGTAACCCAACACTTCAACAACAACAAAGGGTTGCAGAGTTGGCATGAAATAATAATCTTTAAACATAAAATACTGAAAATGTTGTTCTTTAAAGAAATATTCACTCTGTGACCATATTGTGGAATACCAAATCCGTAGCTTTTTAAATTTTTGTTTACTTATCATATATGTTTTCACCTGGTATTGCTAAACTAAAGATGTTAAGGTGATGGCCATGATCAGCACAAGAATTATCAATTGAAAATCCCACTTTCGCCTATCTACAAACATTCCCTCACCTTAAAGCACCAATGATTCAAACAAAATCAACATATTTTCACTGAAGTAAAAGAAAATGGTTATAAACAAAGTTGGAAATATTACAATCTTGTACCCCATGCCCACTGGGGAAAAAAATAGGAAAAAAATGGTAATAATAATAATAATAATCATTGTGGTACATTTATTTTTTTGCATATTTCAGTTCATAGAGTGAAAAAATTCTCACCAGCTAATTCTTTCTTGAGGCTTTGTCTCCTCTTGTCTTCTTCCTCTACCAAGGCCTTGCTTAGCTTACTTTCCTCTAGCTTCTCCTTGTACTTGATATTTGTCTCCCCCAGTAGCAAGATTTCCTTATTAAGACGTTTGATCTGCAAGAGACAATGCACATGCACAATAGTCTAGTTTACTAATGTATTCAAATTTATGGATGATTCTTTCCTGGGGTCCTAGTGGTGAGTTATTCCATTAAAGGCCCACTGCACTACTAATAGCTACTTGCACCCTCTATATAACAAACAATGCCTAATCGGTGACCATTGGTCCCCCAGGATCCTCTTTTCCTTATGTTAATTGAGAGCTGAGTTGATGAGATAACCGCCTGTCCAGTGACCTTGCAGGGTGGTCTAATTACTCCTGTACACTAGTACAGATGGACTTTAACCTATTATTAATGAATGAACTACAACACTTGGAATCCGGTATGCAAACACAACTTGATGTGATGTCGGGCAAACCTCAGGCAAGCTTTCTGGTTTTCAAGAACAACCTTTGTTTAAAAGGTATGCATAAAATTTGAATATGTTAGTAAACGATCATTAACTCACAGCAGTTTGGTGTTACCCATAGTGACGTTTTGACAATATCTTTTGATCCAGAATGCTATGACTTAAAATAATAAATGAGCAGAAATATTGGAAACACTTCTGATGCAGTACCTTCTGAAATTCATTTAAAAAAAGATTTTATTTGAAATGATAATCATTTAAGTCTCTAAATTGGCAATTCAAAGTGGAAATCAAATCAATATTCTCATGTAATGTTTTTATTTTTTGTCCACTGTTTTGTCTTAAAAAATGACCTAAAGTGAAGACAAAATGGGATGAAAATCGTAGAATATGATCTCACCTTGTACCAATCTACATGCCAAATATCTTTATATTTTCTGGCCGTCATTTTAAACACAACATAGTGTAAATGTCTCACAAAGAAACTTGATCTGAAAGAATGCACCAGCACAGTTTCAAATGAAAGCCTTTTCGCATATTGCAACATTTGCCATTTCACAAAGCTCTGGCTGGGGAAGAAAACTCTGGGATAAACTTGTTGGGTATGGTCTCATATCATTCCATGTTTACAAAGCTGTCTAAGTGCTGAATATCCTCAATCGTTTCACTCAAGAAGTTCATCTAATTGGTGATGTAACAACTAAATCTTCATACTTCCCAGACCTGCCAACCTCTGGAGTTCAACAGTGGTTTAGGTGTCACTGAGCACTTGGGCCTAAAGGAGTTAAGTCTATGTTTCACTATCCAAATCTGTGTTTCCTGGAAAGCCCACATTTTTTGGAACATTTTGATATCAAATACTCATTTAGGCAAAATATGGAGTTATGTCTTTGTGTCACTGAACCCTCGATTTGGTCTTCAAAACCACCTGAGCTGCTACCAGGCCACGTTTTCACTCAATGTGGACCAACGGCCGACAAACTCATGAATGATGAATCTGACGACTCTTACAGCACTTACCTCATCTTTGAGATGTTTATTGGTCGCTATATCGGCTCTAGTACTGGCTAAATCTTGCTCAATGTCGAAAAGGGATGAATTTGAAATCTTGAGATCCTGTAACACACAAACGAAAATAGGAAATTACACAAGCTCTTTGTTTCTCCTGGTCGATTTTTTGATGCAAAAATAGAAATATAAGGCTGAGCATCTGTTTCTTTGTCATTGTTTGTATTTGTTTTTGTTTGTTGAAAAATCAAAACATACTTTTTGGAAAGCAAATCATGCTACACCTGTGCTTGCCACCTCTAAATAAATCATAATTTTGCATTACCAAAATGATGAATCAATTATAGTACATGCACTTCTATTTTCTACAATTAAACTGTGAATGTCTATGAATGATTCTATTATCTTCTCAAAAGTAATTCTTTTGGTGTTTTCAAAACAAATAAGTGAGGTCTGGTTATGTTGTGTGGTACGAATTTGAACGGCTGATGCGTTAAAAATACTTAATCGATAAACATACTATACTTAATTGCAAAGTCACATAATTTGAGTTGATATATTATACGATGTTAAATTCATAAGCATACTTTACTTAATTGATAAGCATAGTATATTTAATGAGCATACTAAACTAAAATCCATAAGCATACTATATTTAAATTGATAAGCTTAGCATACTGAACTCAATTGATAAGCATACTATACTCAAATTAATAAGCATAGTATACTGAACTAGATTAATAATGCACTTAAAAAAGTTGAATAATATTGAAGCTTTCTGTTTTTGTTTTCTCGATAAATACAATGTGGCACAGGGAGATGATTTATGTGGCATATAAAGAGTTAACCGATAAAGCATACTATACTTTGAGAGAAGATTGAGTTCTGGGAAGAGGTGAAAAAAAAATTGTGAGCGTTATCATTGTATTATGCAAGTGTGGAAGAAAATCAGATAAAAAATGTGCCTTGAAAAGCATGGGTCTTCAAATGCCTGAATAACAGCATAAAAGTCGGGACAGAATTGTATGTCACATGTTCGTGTAGATCCAAATACATATTTCTGTGTACAGTGCTTGTAACTTTACCAAGACTGGGCCAAATTTCTTATCATTTTGATGATTCCAGGACCTTGCAGCACACACCAATACTTATTACGCTAGATGATCAACCTTTTGAGTTTTCTGATCGATTCCACAACGTTTCTTTCTCAATGCAATGACCAGAACTCAACTTTATCTTTAAATTGATAAAAGTGGAATACGCACCTTTTTAACTTTCTCCACCTCCAGTCTGTGAGTGACTAACAGTTTGTTCAGTTCTTCTTTGCATTCCATCAAGTGTACCTTTTCAGATTCCAATTTTCTTTTGTGAAAAATGTACAAGAAAACAAAGACATGTAAATCTGCATGCATTATACTTACAGTCAACCTCGCAGAAGCCGACATCACATGTTGAATAATCTCTTAAGGTGATGAAAATTTAAAGTCACAGTTTTTTCTCCATAGACTTACGTGTGTCAATCCTCTATTAAGTAAATATTCTTACGTCAAATAGTCGCCCAAGTCAATCAAATTTCAAGAACAGTTCCAAAGAAAAGGCACTGACTTCACATCACAAAAGTCAAACGAGACTGTAATGTATAATTAATCATTGTCAAAGCACATCAAGCAGACTTGCCAACCTCTGGAGTTCAAAAACTGTATTCTTCAATCCCAAAAGTTGTATTCTTAAAAAATAAACACGGAATGTTACGCGGATCAATGCCTCTTACCGTTCCTACATACAGGAAGAAAATTTTCAATGGACCATTGGTTGAATATGCATGATTTTGTCATGACTGGTGTGTCCGATGAACCAATGAAGATCCCCAAATTGCCGATGTGAGATGCTTGTAGGATACTTTACAGGACAGAATGGGCATTTTGCCATTGAAAATGGCGCATACACACACAAAATTTATTCTTAAAAAAAAAAAAAAATTGAAAATCGTATTTTATTGAGGAAAATTGTACTGTCGTATTGCTTCTAAAAATCGTACGAAATATGACTAAATCGTACTGGTTTGCAGGTCTGCATGTGCCACATACCAATTTTTTTTTACACAATACACCCCTGTACTTCACATTTGCTAACGCGTGCTCCTCTTTCTTCCTCTCCCTCTAGTACCTGCCTCTCTAACCACTCATCCCCTGTTCCTAAGATGCGAATATAACACAAATAAACTTGATTCATATACAAACAGCACCTAACACATTTTTCAGAAATTACACCAATATACTCACTGTACATCCTGCTGGTAAGTTTTGTCCTTATGATGGCATTCTATACTGAGTTGTCTATTCTCTTGCCTGACCTGGTTGATCTCTGCAGACAACCTCACAATCTCATTCTCCTGGAGCCGAAGTTGATCCTTCATGGCGCTGTTCAGCTCCTCGTATGCTTTAGCCTGTCGCAAAAGAAAGAGAATGGTACTGAGATTCTTCCAATACCCAAGGCACAGACTGAACCGTGAAGGAGCTACACTGTACTTGAGTACCAATTTGATTACCTCTGGCAGGTCATAACCAACAATCATACTTGATTACACTTTTTATGTAATGCACTGGCAATAAACCTTGCAAGCATGACCACTTGAAATTAATAAACAACGCAGCACTAATGTCCTTTGGCAAGACATTGATCTACATTTGCCACACTCAACCCAGGTGAGGTAAATGGGTACCTGGTAGGATTATTCCTTGAAATACTCTCCGCTCTGATAACGGCTGCCGGAGTTTAAGCTAGGGTAATAATCAGCTCTTTGGAAGCGCATAGAGATGTTATTTCATAAAGTATTATGCGCTATACAAGAACTGAATATTATCATTATTCCTATAGAAATGTATCATACCTTGTGTGTTTTGCCAAGAAGTCTCCTATTCCTGCCTGCATGGACCTCTCTTTTATGCCTCTCATAGAGCAGCTGGTTGTGAAGGAGTTGGAGCTGTCCCTTCAGGAGGTTGATCTCATCGGCAGGAGGGGAACCCCCATAGTGGGTCCAGTTGACGGACTTCTGACTTGTAAGAGGTAGCCTGCAGATTGAAAGGGGATTTCCCAAATTACCAACTTCACAACTTCATAAAATGACTAAAAGAAGCTTTAGAGAATCGGGGAGTTGTTTCACAAAGATCCTAAGTTGAACTTATCTCTAAGTTGGACTTAACAATTATGGAAATTTGTTAGCATCTATGAAAATATTTTGTAAAAATTATTTTAAAAGGCATAAAATGTTGATTCAAATCATTCATATTTTCTATTATCAAAGATATATTTTATTTTAAGGCTACAAACGGCTCTCCATAATTTTTAAGTCCAACTTAGAGTTAAGTTTGACTGATAGGATCTTTGTGAAACACCCCCTGGAGTTGACAAGAAAGATCAATGGAAAGAGAGGAAGAGCAATGTGCTAAAACACATTGGCTGGTCCTCTAGAATTCAATTTCTATTATTAAAACTCCAACCAAAGAAAAAACTCTTTTGAAAATATAATTCTTCAGAAGCTTACCTACTGAGTTCTTTATCATGAACCTCATCACTCATACTGATGTGTCTGTCCAACATCTCTGCGGGTGAAAACACAGCATGAAGGGGTCCACTTCGGCTCAAATCCAAGGACGCAAGGGATATTTCATCCCCCCTTTCCTGTGACGGGGGTGCAGGAGTCCCAATGTTCGGAGGGTACATGTAATAAGGCAAGGCCTGTCGGAGCATGTGATCGATTGAAATGTACGCCTGCTGGGACGCAGTGCTCATTTCAGAAGGGTATGGTGACTCCATGCTGTCTACGGAGTAATCACGTATTGGCGTGAAACCCTGATTCCCTCTATGCTGCCTTGGGAGGGCACTATCCATGTTTTTATCCAATACCTCACAGTTTTCTTTCATCTCTCCCTCTTTGGTAGCACCCTCTCTCCTCGCAATATCTTCTTCTCGATGAGCAATTCCATTAGTTGTTCCTTCTCCGAAGAGATTATGGCTGACCTTCTGGAAGTCTTTCTGGGACGGACTGGTCTCTTCTTCAAGGTTCAGGTCACGAAACGACGCGCCAGCCTCACCGGAATTTGACGCGCTATCCACACCAGCCACGCCCGTTTCTTCCGCTCCTCTCACATCATTCTCCATCTCACCTCCCTTCATCTCAGCGCAGGGTCCTTCCATAGACATGGTGATATCGTCGGCACCTTCTGCAGTGCCACGGACCACCTGACCGCTCTGTTTCTCCACATCGTACTTTGGAGTGCTGTTCATGACATGGTGGCCAGAGTCACCAATGCCCTCCTTGTGATGATGCAGCCCCGCTATGACCTTTGACATGAATTCGCCTACATTTCGCTGAGGACTGTTCACGATGGAAGACACCTCTGCGTTAGTTGCATCATCTATAGAAAAAAATGCACCAGCAAAAATATTCAACAATTTTCTTTCAAAGCAACTATTCATCTTCTTGAAAGACCAGGTTGGCATTTCACAAAACAAAAGACAGGTTTTGTTATAAGCTACTGAAATACTTCCTTCTGATTGGTTATCAGCAGGTTTGTCACTGATTTTTGTCATTTGTCATTGAAAAAAGGCTTTGTAAAATGGGTCACTGAAGGAAAATTCCAAATAAATTATAATCTTCACTTTTTAATAACATCACATTTACAACTGCGAAGCCCGTATAGCACTAATTAACTATAGTAAAACCAGATGCTGAGAATGTCTCCATTTCCAGGGGTGATAGTGAGCACTAAAAAAAAAATAGGTTTTTTGTTTTCCCCTCAACCACGCCCCCCTTGAGTAAAAAAAAAAAAAGGCGATTCGCGGGGAAAAAACGGCATCTAACAACATTCCTCCCTTTCGAGTAAGAAAATTGGGAGAAAAAAATAGGGCAAAATAGGGAAGAATAGAGAAAATAAGGGGGGAATCAGGAAAATCAGGATAAAAAAGGGAAGAAAAAAAAAATCTGGTAAAAAAAAAAAAAAAAAAAAAAAAAAAAAATTTTTTTGTTTTTTTGTTTTTTTTAAATCGGGAAGAAAAAAAAAATCGGGAAAAAATCGGGAAAAATCAAAAAAATCGGGAAACCGATTTAAATCGGGTTTTTATCAGGCCTGCATTTCAGTCATGTTAATTAAAAGGATAAAATGGAATAAACAATCAAATTTATACTCTAGAAACTTAAACTTAGACTTAGAACTTCCTTCATTCAGCTTGACTTTAAGAAACTTTAATTCCAGTAGAATACGGCCAGAAAAATTTAATATGGTTACTGCTAAAAAAAAACATTTTTCTAGCTTTGTAGCCTGCAAAATTTTTTTTCTTTGGCATTGATGCTCATTAATATTTTAATCCCCAATGCTCTTCAAAAATTGTGTTTAAGATGATGCTATTAAGATTGCACATCTTCATTTTTCAGCTCATTACATTTTGCTTAATTCTGAAATATTTACATACATGTAATGCACAAAATGCAATACATTTTATCATTTGGAAATCTTGTATTTAAAAAATGAATTCATATAGAATCAGTGCTACTTTTTACAGATGCATTCAGATGCATTTACATATCGAGGGGTCAGTGACACAAAGACGTAACTCTATTTTGAGAAAAAGTGTTTTATGTGTCACTGAGCACTTGGGCCTTAAGGAGTTAAGTCTATGTTTCACTAGCCATTGACTTCAATGGGGTGTTGGGTGGAGTTAAGTCTTTGTGTTTCCTGGAAAGCCCACATTTTTCTGAACATTTTGATATCAAATACTCATTTTGGCAAAATATGGAGATACGTCTTTGTGTCACTGACCCCCTGATATGTGCAATTTTTACAAATCATCCATAAGGAAGTTCTTACCTGATCGCAGATGGCCATCAGAGAGATGTCTGATCAAGCTTGGAAGATCTTTGAGAGACACCGAGGAGGACTCTTGATCTTCAGAGTTGTCCTCCTGTCTCGGTTTAGGACATTTGATCTGGCCATCCTTCTCTTCCTCCTCGATGGAATCCTCCAGGACCGATTCCTCTATCCCTGACCCTTTCCCAGAAGACCGTCTTGATCTTGGTGCTGACGTCTTGCCTGCATTGTCCGAGGGTTTTGATGTTTGGTGCTGCGCCGATGCCCTGCTGCCAAAATTGAAGATAGTCCGATCTGCGCTGTATTTGCGGATGGGGGATGCCGGAAGCCACTGTGAGCTGGCATCGTACCCTGGAGTAGATGGTGCAGAGGTCGTACGCTGGAGGATGTTTGGAGGGTATCTTGGCAAGGCACCGGGGCCTTTCCCCCTGGATTTGCGGCCCGACTTGTTGGGCGTGCTGCCATCGCTGATGTTCAGGATGCGATGGGGCTGTTCCTCCCCGAGGGTGGAGTGGGGCGAGTCTCGGGGAGTGGTGAGGGAACTCGAGGGGTCACCGTACCCCATCTGGAGGGAGGAGGTGAGGCTAAGGTCCATCATGCTACCTCCCGGTGAGGGGGGGTGGGATGTGGGCGGGGTCGTGAGGCCGCAGTCTACCGCTGGACTCCACATGGCAGAGAGGATGGCTTGTGATGAGATCAGATTGGATGTGGGGTCAGGTTTCTTGGTGAGGTTTGAAGGAGTAGTTTGCTTACTGGTTGGAAGGATCTGGGCATCATTGGAAGGTGGTATTGCTAAGACATAAAAAGGAATGAGAAATTTTGAAAGAAATGCTATGAAATTGATTTTGAACATAGAATTATCAGCCAGTGCAATACATTATACCCCAAAAAAGGGCCTAGTAGATACAGTGGTGTTAGCAAAAGACACTGTTCATAGTTTCAGTCCTGCAGTTGAGCATAAACCATAAAAGTTTGAAAATAGCAAGAGAGTGCTGCAAGCAGTATGTCAGGCACTCAGCAGGTCTACAGCTGAGCTCTACTAACCTACTAGATCTATTCTTCATACTTGTACTACAAATTTTCAAGCTTTGAAAACATCCAGACTGAAACGAAGAAATTCCATGGATTCTCACTTGCAGGGGATGACATCTTGCACGATGAGGAAACGTTGCTCCTCGTTGCCATGTTGTATGCCACAAAACACAAAAGCTCTACTAACCTACTAAATTCTATTCTTCATACTTGTACTCCAAAAAAATTATCTTTGTACTACATATTTTCATGCTTTGAAAACATCCAGACTGGAACAAAGAAATTCCATGGATACTCACTTGCAGGGGATGACATCTTGCACGATGAGGATACGTTGCTCCTCGTCGCCATGTTGTATGCTGCGCTGAACCCAGACTCGGACAGTGAGAGACCACAGGTTGACCGGTCATCTCGAGTGGACTCGGTGGTGTCCAGACACACCCTGGCACATTCTGTGAGGATGTCATGAACCTCCATCTTTCTCCATCTGTGTCAAAACAGTAGTTAATGATCAAAGATAATGCTTACTATTCATAAAGCTGCACTTAGTTTAGAATGCTTGTAAAAAGTCCACTGATTTGAAGATCGCCACATGTCAATCTCTTCATGTCATCTAAATTAAGGGTAATTCTCTTATAAAATGTAAACATTGAAAAAATTCAAGTTTTCATAAAATGAAAATGAGAAATCCATTGCAGTATTAAGCCTCAATCAGGTATGCCGCAGCACCGTGACTGAGGCATAATTTTAAGAGATAAAGAGTAATGCGTTTCACATTTCCTGTCTCATTACACAGAGCTTAGTGAATACGCATAAGGCCTTTGTTGTCATTCATTTACAAGTAAAAAAAAGTGGGGGGGGGGGGAGGGGTTGGGGGTTAGCACGGTTTGGAGTGGTTGATCCTCGGTGCTCCAAAAATAAGTGGAATATTACCCATTTTCACCTGGACTTAATGAACACTGTGATGATTACCAGCCGAGGTGTTTTAGAAAATTGCTTCATTGATTGTACTATTGTGTCTAACGGACATAAAATGCAATATCTATGTTTTTTGGTTGTATTAACAGAGCTTTCACTCACCTTGATAATTCTGTTTCCTTGGATTTCTGGCCTACAATCAACTGTGGGTGCATTCTCACTCTCTCCAACATAGGCTGAGGGATCAAACAAGACAGGTTGATTTCATAATCGCTTCTATGTTTACTTACAAAGTTAATAGAGCCCTTACGCAAACATGATGGAAGCAAAGACGGCGGGAGAATTACGGCAATACCGCTCTTCTGTCGTGTTTAGGGAACGAACGCTATCATATGTAGTAAGTCAGTGGTTTATAGTTTTTTTTACAGATCAAAACAGAGAATAGCGATAAATACAGACATACATACATCGTCTTGCACTCATCAAGAGTAATCGAAAGAATGAACAGAAAGCGCAAATCAAGCAATATAAGTAGAAGGTGAAGGAACAAAGCACATGAAATCTAAACAGTGGACTTCACGGTCTCAGTTGTCACTCAATCATACATGATGAGACTCAACCCAGCATTAGGTATAACATATTTAACAGATTACGAATCAACTGCCTATAAATGGTTATATCAGCCTGCTTTGACTAGTCGCTTTCGAAAAGAAGTTTTTCACCATCAGTAACCAAATAAAAAATAGATAAATCCACAAAAAAGATTCTCTACTACACTCCCATTTATATTCTTCTGGGGAATACAAAAAATAGTTTAAATTTCCAATATATATGATTTGCTTCAGTGATCATTACAAATGAAGACCATTAATCCATGAATACATACAACCTTTAGACACTCCTTAGAGAATTATTCCTCCTAGACAGTAGCACCTAAGTTAATTCGATTTCCAATAAACTATTGTTAAAAAACGGGCATTTCTAAACCAACATTAGGTGATAGGCATCACACAAAAAAATGATTCATTGCCATTCAGGTTACTGTAACTTTTGTTTCAGTCTGTTGTCTTGGTCTAGTATCAGTCTCGTTGTTGTAGCTGAGGTATTAACATCAAACCATTGTCAAAACTCCTACACCCTGGGGGTGTTTCACAAAACTTGTCATCAGTGACAGATGACAGTTTTTGTTATAAGCTACTGAAATCCTTGCTTCTGATTGGTTATCAGCAGATTTGTCACTGATTTTTGTCATCTGTCATTGAAAAAAGGGTTTGTGAAACACCACCCATGTCTTCCTACTCACCAAGATTGCCACTTCAAACTCCTTCTCCTTGTTGGCAAAGTGACTCTGGAGGAACTCCAGGAAGTTCCAAGGGTACATGCCATACAGTCTGTGGAAGAGGGCATACACCGCCGCTTGCAGGTGGAGCTGGTGCACATCATGCACTTCCCCTGCACACAAGTAAGGGGAAATAAAAGCATTGGTGATTTAGAGCTGAGCTCTAGTTGCTGTTTTATATGCAGCAATGCATCATTAGTTTTTTTTACAATTAATTATTTTCATGTATCGGGCATAAATGTTCATTTCTATTCTGCCATATCTTTATTTCCTTCTTTTCTAAGTGCATAGGGACTTTCTTTGTGTTAGTTATTATTATTATTAGCAATATTAATTAACATATGTATAATTTAAATGTTCAAGTCCTTCAAAAAAATATGAAACAAATATCAGAATTAGGGCCTTTGTTGAATGCCTTTAGAGGTTTGCTTTAATATGTCACATTCTCAAGAAACATACGTCAGGACAAGTCAATTTTTTCACACATATAAAAAATGACAAAACTTGGTAAGGATATGAATAATTAAGTTGTTAATTGTAAGCATATAGTCCATCGTTATCGTTGTCAGTGGGGTCTGACCTGGCCATTATCAAAGTAGTGAAATTTTGCAAGAGAACATGCCCATAGCTGTACCTGGTTTGTTAACACTCCAAGAGGCAAGGCGCGCAAAGATTTCACAGATGTCGTGGAGGAACGGCCCGACCTTGCTTGGAATCATGGGAAGGAGCGTGGTAATCGTCAGGATGCCACACATCAGTACTGGGATATCAGTATCGGCCTGAAGAGAATAATATTGAATGGTGGTTATTTTACCTTACTGCTAAGAAAGCAGTCATGGAATCATGGGAAGGAGCGTGGTAATCGTCAGGATGCCACACATCAGTACTGGGATATCAGTATCGGCCTGAAGAGAATAATATTGAATGGTGGTTATTTTACCTTACTGCTAAGAAAGCATAAATGCTTGTAAATAAGCAGCCAGACGGCCAACTGCTTTAGGTCCTCTCCAAGGGACCTGGTAATGAGGATTAATGCCTTACCAAATGGCACTAGCGCATCGCCTTGGTTTCGAACCTGGGTCACCGGATTACGAGACCACTGCTCTACCGACTGAGCTATCACGCCTCCTCTAAAATAACAGAATACAATCTTTCAAAGATCCACATGTATCTGTTTGAATTTAATGTCGCAATTTTCTTACTCTGCAGAGATATTTAATATAATAATAATTTTGTTACCCAGGGAAGCCTCGTCAGCCCCTGCAATTATTATCATCCTAAAATGTGTAAAGTGAAAAAATATCACTTTACATTAAAACATAGACGAACAGGACCTGAGTTCAGACAAAAACCTGAAAAACGATACCCCTAACCTATGTCAGTGTGAATTCACCCTTGGTATTTCTCTATTGTAGTAATCTTTAAGAGGAGGTCGAGTTCTGGGAGGAGGTGAAAAATAATTTGTGAGCGTTACCATTGTATTATGCAAGTGTGGAAGAACATCAGATTAAAAATGTTCCCTGAAAGGCATGGCTCTTCAAATGCTTAAACATTCTAAATATGGCATGTAACATCATAAAAAAAACGGGTCTGATTTCTATACCACATATTTGTGTAGTCCAATATAAATTTTTCTGTGTACAGGGCTCGTAACTTTCCCAAGACTGGGGCATATTTCTTATTATTTTGATGATTCCAGAAACTTGCATTATAAACCATTTTCCTGATCGATTTTCTGATCGATTCCACAACGTTTCTTTCACAATGTAATCGCATGCCAAGAACTCAACTTTATCTTTTTGCTTTGTATGTTCACCAAATAACTTTACACGCTGGGATGAAACCCTCTCTTTTGTAGAGTATTTGGAGGATTACCTTCAGACAGTGAATCATGGAGGTGAAGAGTGGAACCTGAACAATCTTGTGTAGCCAGGAGGGCTGGTGTCTCACGATGTGACTGACGAGGATCAGGGCTGGAAGACGGCTATGACGGTACTTCATGCACTCATTAAGCTTGTCCATCAAAGGCTATAGAGATAAAAACACGGTAAGATAAGACTGTAATTGGAACCGCATCATTGAAGGAACTTTGCAATTTGCATATATATAGTCAAACCTGTCTATTAAGGCCACCCAAGGGAAGCACAAAAAGGGGCCACTGTAGTAAGTGACCATTATAGACAGGTTCTTCTACACATGTTTTCTTCTAGAGGAGGCAACAGAGGTGACCACTACAGACAGGAGGCCTTTATATATCTAGAGGTGGTTGCAAAGACAGTTTTGATTGTATCTTCTGTTTGGAGCAAGAATGGCATTACCTCTGTTTTAAAGTATATGAGTTAACGCCCTCTTGGCTCTAAACACACAATAGGGACTTTTAGATTTGCGTCGACTGATACGTGTGACGTCCATTCAAGGCAGTGCATTAAAAGGACGTCGATCGTAGCAATCCACGTTGTCGTTGTGCAAATCTAAAAGTCCCTATTATCATCTGTTGAGAACCAGAAGGCTTGTTTAACACTGTATTGCATGATAGTCAACACCTACTTGGCTCACGGTTAATGGTATTAACCTCGTCTAGTAGCAGCTGCCAATAAACTATGGCGTGATCATGAGTGGGTCATATGATGAAACCAGTAGCTTTGAAATCATCTCTACCAGAGTAACAATGATACAGGCAAACTGATTTAGCGACCATCTGTGTAGAAGGACCACCTGTCTATAAGGACCACACTCTTTGTTTTCCCTTGAATACAGATTCGCATTGAAACCTGTACTAAAGGAACCTGTACATAAAGACGGACCACCTGTCTATAAAGACCACACTCTTTTTTTTCCCTTGAATACAGATTCGCATTGAAACCTGTACTAAAGGAACCTGTACATAAAGACCACCTGCCTGTAAAGACCACTTTCCATGTCTCCCTTTAGCAGTCTTTATATACAAGTTTCTTCTGTAGCACTGGTATCCGCCAGATAAGACGCACAAGGCTCTTGCTCCAAAATAAATACACAACCAGTTAAATTTTGTAGGTGCACTGCCCATGGTATAGAGTACCGAAGCTGTGACGTCATAAAAATCTATTTTTGAAATTTCTTAATTTTTTCTTCATATTCCGAAAGAACATCAAAAATAATTTCCAAATGTCGACAACCAATTGAATATGTTAAGTATTGGCTGAGATATGACCATCTGAATGAATATACTCCCCATAGGAACTCAGTGTTATATGCTCTGGCTCCTAATGGTTAGTTCCCATAGGACATATATTCATTCAGATGGTCATATCTCAACCAATACTTAACATATTCGATTGGTTGTCGACATTTGGAAATTATTTTTGATGACGTCACACTTCACCACTCTATATACATTATAATATCAAATAGTTTAAGAAGAAACTTCCATTACGTGTACATCAGAATGGCGAGGATTTAAAATTAAAGAGATGTGTCTTTGGCGCTTTTTTTGTAAGAATTGCATGGTAAGAGCTGCTTGGATAAAGCATGAAAGGCCATTCCAAACCTTGTAGCAGCCACTGGGAATGAATGCTCTCCCCATGAGTTATGTGCTCAATATTGTACAAAAAGAATTTTGTCAGCAGAGCAAAGGTTTTCTCTCGTCAGGATATTATAAAGATAAATCATGATAAAGTTAAAAGTTCTTCTCACAATCTTATAGACAAACAGTTCCCTTGAGAATATAGTTTTTCCAATAGTTTGAAATTGAACTTTGTACATTTTGAACATACTTTAAAATTCCTAGGTAATTTTAAAGCCATGTTGGAAATTAAAAGCTTCCCTCAATTTCCCCTCAACTAATGGACTAAATAAATGTATGTCTGTGTGTTTGTGTTTGTATAATAAAAGTGTCACCATGTTACTCAAAACATTGTAAGCTTTAAAGCCCCACTAAACTACTTAAAGCTACTTGCTCCCTCTATATAGAAAACAATGCCTAATCGGTGCCTGTTGGTCCCCCATGGTCCTCTTTTTCTTATGTTAATTGAGAGCTGAGTTGATGAGATAGCCACCTGTCAGTGATCACGCTGTGTGGTCTAATCCCTCCTGGCCAAACTAGTACAGACAGTCTTTAATTACTTCATTGAAAGAATACCTTGTCTAGAGGTTCTCTGAGTCCAGATAGGATATCCAGGGCTTGGGGGGAGTTGGTCGAGATGTAGAAGTCTACCAGTGCATTCAAGAAGGAAGGCTCACGAGCTGCAAAGTACAACAGAACCACAGTTTCTTTTGCATTATATGATGTTAGATTAATAGCATTACGTTAGGCATTATTAGAACTGGGACGATGGTTCACACACACACACACACATAAAAACAAAATTGTATGTAATGGAAAAATCAGGTTTCTTTCAGATTAACAGCAAATTCATAAGACCTCAAGGAATTATCAGTATTGGGGTAATAGTTCCCTTATGGTGTAAAGATAATGATACAACAAAATAGTTACAGTTAGAGGAATAGGGCTTAGGGATCAAAGTATAAACTGGGTTTTCACACCTGGGTACCATTACATTTCTGTGGGGATAAAGTGGTAGGAGCAGAATATTTCCTTTGAATATTGATGACATGATGAAAAATTATGAATATTGATAACATGATGAAAAATTATGAATATTGATGACATGATGAAAATTCATGAATATTGATGACATGATGAAAATTCATGAATATTGATGACATGATGAAAGTTCATGAATATTGATGACATGATGAAAAATTATGAATATTGATGACATGATGATAAATTATGAATATTGATAACATTATGAAAATCATGAATATTGATGACATTATGAATATTGATGACATAATGAATATTGATGACATGATATTGATGACATGATACATATTGACGACATATTGATAAGATAAATATGGATGCCATGATAAATATTCATGAACTCTGACCTGATGTGAGGTTATCCTGGATCAAAGCCTTGAACTCTTTCACAGTGTGAAGGTCATTAGACTCGAGATGGGGAAAGAGAGCTGTGGGCTCTGTCATGTGTTGAAGGTGCGCCATCTTTGTTCACTATCTAGAGCACGAGATTTATGAGTGGCGATCTTCCAGCAAACACAAAGGGTATTGGATCCAAGCTCTTGTGGAAATTATTTTACACATTAATGCATCAAAATCCTGGCTTCCATTCCTGTACAAAAGAAAAGGATAAAAATAGTATGATTATCAGAACTGTCACTCAAATCTCAACCACTGTAGTTCTGGGGTTATGTTCGAAAATAATTTTCCCAATTATTACCGGTATGATAATATAAGAGGAGACTTTACCCCCCCCCCCCCCCCCCCCCCACTGGGTTGGTAAGACTAAGAGGAATTTATATTTTTGTTGTTGGGTGACATATCAAAGCTCAAAAGTGTAGAGATTTAGGTCAGTGTAGTAGTTTATGCCCCCACCCGTCTCATGTCCCCCACCCACCGCGGATGACCATCCAATCAAAAGCTGTCATCACCGATGACTGGTGCATTTGACAGTATGATATTGGAATGAAAACTTCACTTACCGTATACAATTCCCCAGGGAAAGGTTCAGAATTTTAGGCAAATTAAACATGTTAAGTGCCACTGTCATGACAAGGTCGAAGTGCTTGGCAGGAATGTAATCGACTCATCAATCTCAAAGACAGACAAAGCCAACGTTTAGGCTTAATTTAATCTTAAAGTTAAAACTTGAAAGGGCAATCCAACCCTTATAATAAGTTTATTTGAAAGAAAGCAGAAAAATCACAAAAACAGAGTGAAAGTTTTGTTTAAATCAGACAAATAATAACAAAGTTTTGAATGTCTGAAATATGAGATCACTAAATTGGATAAAATATCAGCGTGAAATTTAATTTTGAAATACCCGAACTTGAATATTTAAACCTGGCTTTTCGGCGTGACGGTCAGGGACCGAGCGGGGAACCATTTTGACTCGGGCCTAATTTGGTGAGTGGATTATGATTGTGACGTCGTCGCGGACAACTCTCCCTTTTGTTAATTGTGTACAAAAACATTTTCTCCCAAATGCCTTCACCCTTTGGGCATTATTCAAAATATATTATGGAGTGTTATCAAAGGTCCTCTTAAAAGAGAAACCATCCATGATCCAAAGTCATACATTTTGAACAAAACTTACATTTTTTAGTCATTTTGTGTGTACGTATGTTGGAACAAATTATGGGAGAGTAGTCTGGCACTAAATCACAGTGACATTACCGATTAGGCCTGAGTCAGGTCGGGATTTTCATAAACCGGGTCCCGACGGCCTTGCACCGGTCGGGACCCGGTGTCCCGAAATCAGCTCGCAGGATTTGTCACTTGCCTCTATAAAAAGCGCATATCATCAGTATGTCCCTTAAAAGTGACATTTTTATCAGTCAAATAAATCAACACATGCATACCTGCATTATAGCTAACAAGGAGCACTGCGCATTTTTCCGAGACTAGTCTGAACTTGCATTGCAACAGCTATCCATATCGAAACTTCTTGTGATTACCAAGTCATTTTCAGCTTTTAAAAGAAGCATGCGGTGTTCAAAATCAAAGAAAAAATATATATTTTGTCTTTTAACAATTATTCGATCGGTATGTTGTAAAGAAGTACTTTTTAGAAAGTCGTTTTATTATTCAAACATTAATGTTTCTTTCAACCTGAATTATTAATTCTGCCGAGAGACCCGGCCAGTACAGTAGCTAGCTAGCAGCTGGCAACAACAACCCCATGGGGCGAACTGCTTTGCAACCCATATTTATATCAGCAGTTCGGATTGATTCTGGATGAGCTAGAATACGATTGGTAACAATTAAATACTTAAGTTTTAGGGTGGATTGATTTTAGTGGTGTGCAAATCTGCAATTTCTTACATATTTCATTATTTTTTTCGGAGCGCCGGTTCTCAAAAAACGAAACCGGGACCCGACGGCAACGGTCGGGTCCCGGTGTGATCGACCGTACCGACTCAAGCCTATTACCGATTCAGCCAATTTGAAGCTCCCGTAATAGTGATTACAACTGTTCAAAATGTTTTACTTTCTAATTTTTAGTTAGATTTCATTCAAAACTTTTAACGGTCTGCTTCTCCGCTTTCTTCCACTGTTGCATGTTGTTTGCAATTAAATTTTCAACTTTTATTTTAGATCTAGATGATAGATCTAGACCTCTAGATTTCCTTTTAATTTAAAGCTCATATAAATTTGAATGGATAGAGAAGATCATGATTATTTTCAACTTTCAATACAGAAGTGTGACTGGACCGAATTAAGTGACTTCAATAAAGTTTAAGCCAAACCGAGGCCGAGTCACTAGAAGGTATCGCTTGCTCAAGAGTTAGCGCCTCGCCGTGCCAAGGGCCGTCTTACTGCCCGAAGTGTTGGGCAGCAGACAGAACAGAATACCCCCAGAGCTAAGGCGACAGACACACGTACACATCACTTGCATCACTGTCACTGTATACCGATCAAGTTTCACGTACTAATTAAAGTTCAATTTTAATATCTAGGCATATATTAATATCAATGAAATTATAACAGCGAATAAATCCCACCTACACAATTACAAATATTTCAATATCATTGAGAAAAACATACCACAATTCGGTAACAACGGGTCGGTTTACCTTCGTTAGCCTGTCTGAGAATGCACCCATGCAAGTCGCCATTGTAAATCATGTGACATCGTCAGCCTAGCGATCGATATTTTGGTGCAGCACATGCATCGGTATCGTCGAAGGTGTTTTTTCAGGGGGGGGGGGGGGGGGTGCACATATTTACGCCACCCCTCCCCAACCCTAATGTCACTTAAAAAAGTATTTTCCCACAAGCATAATCAAAATCATATTCATAATATTTGGTAACTCTTTTATTTGGCCTCGATCTCTTATTCATTTCTGTCTCATTATATTTTGAGAAAGAATTATATTGATTGTATATGCCTGAACTATATGGCTATATAGCGTATAGCTATAATTCACAAATATTTTCATTTGAACATTAATTCCTCAAATCTCTCATTCATCACCCCCCCCCCCCCCCCGCATCTCTCCTCTATCTCTCTCTCTCTTCTTCTTCTTCCAGTATTCTCACACCTGTCTCTCTTTCTCCCTTTCGGTGTGCGTGTGTGTGTGCGTTACCAAAATAAAAACAAATCACCACAAAATAAAGGGTTCAATTTGAAGCAATTTTATAGGGCATGCTCACAAAAAAACAAAAATGTCATAATTTTTCATGATGAAAACAAAACTTGAAGATGTGAAAGATAAAAATACAAATAATGAAACAACATGAATAAGGGATTATCAATTCAGATAGTGGGGAACCTAAGAGAATTCCTAAACTTATTTAGTGCTAAAAAAGAACTAACTTGGTTAATTCTATTAAAGGTAATACAAAGTTTTGGGAAATTTTGAAAATTGGGTGGATAGTGAATCTTTACAATTTTGATATATTTGGATGCCCCTGTGGATATATTATAAGCACTAAAAAAATTAACCCCTAAAACACTTCTGTATTCGAGAAAAATGAATATGAAAATTTACTGATGCTCCCGGTAAATTTTGATAAATTTCAAACAGCGCCTACGGCCGTACAATGGTAGCTGCGATCATAAAAATCTCAGAATATGTAGTTGTGATATATAATTTCCAAACGGGAATAGCTAATCGGTCAAATTTAGTCAAGAAACATCGTTTCATAGCTAAATTGGTATCTTGACCTTGAGAGGGAGCTATACAACATAAAGGGTTTATTGTTCATAATTTCATAACTTTAGACTCGATTTCAAACGAGACAACGATCAATGAATATTGTAGGAATGCATATGCTTCCAATATGTTAATATGAACCAAATTCATGACCCCATACCAAAACTTTGTAGTACCTTTAAACTCACGTCTAAATTATATTCATGTCCCAAAAATAGCCAACAACTATCCTTAGAAAATGGTTTTTATGATTTTTTCAATTTATTTGAGAACAAAGAAAAGTAAGAAAGTAAAAACTTTCAGCTCATAAATCATTTAGCATAAAATACTTTCGAGTGAAAATGATGACAGAAACAAAATCGAATTTCATAGAATGAGTAACTATGTCTTTTTTGTGGTTATCATGATTAACGTGTTCATCATACCTGTATATTACAAATGTTCTCCCTATATGTTTCTTTGTATTTAAAATATATTTTACCCAATTCAAAACGCGTCACAAAATGCAAGATTTTTAAAGAGAATTTAGTTCAGAATTATACTACCTGAAAAGATGAAATGAACCCCTTCTCCTGCGTATAATTTTGCACAAAAGCCTGGACCCCAGACTAAAACAGCAATTCATTGTTTCACTTTCATAAAATCTAAGAAAACAAAACAGCAATAAAAAACAAAGGACAAGACATGTATTACATGCAAAGTTACATTTGGATACATGATTCAATGCAAATGCAACACTCAATCAACCTTTAAAGGGGCCTTGGAGTCCACCATTTTTTCTTAAAAATGGTGGATTTAATTGACATTAGCATGCTGGATGCATCCTTTATTGTCTAAATTCAACAAGAAATTCAAGAAATCAAAAAGATTCCAATACCCATTTTTTGTATTGCCCATATAAATCGTGTTCGGATTACCGGTACATAATACCATGCGTCACTGAACCGTTTGCATATTTCAATCAATGATACAGTAGGCTATTTTATATTTCTTGAAAGTTTTTGTGATCATGTTTGAGAAAAACATGCTGTCAATCCTGAGCCTTTATACAACATTGACTCAACACACTGGTTTTTAGAGTGAATGTCACTAATGATAGGTCAAAGGTCAAAGTTCAAAGGTGAGATTCTTGAACAGGTCTGCTGTAGACGCAGCATGCAGTTCCTTCAGTGCGGCTTGTGTCATAGTCATAGAAACACACGCAGGATGTACCAGAACCTAACAGACATGTACAAACAAACAAACAAACAGACAAACATGGACTATAAATACAGCATTGAATAGAGAAAAGAACAAATCTGCAAATAAGACTTATAAAAAAATTACAAACTTGTACTATCAGTGCATCCCTAAATTCCTTTAGAAATCTTTCCACTGATGAAGAAATAAACACATTGATATTTCTCTTGATAGATTAAAGAGTCTAGCATCGGTAAAAAATGCTTTAGAATTGTGGTTTTATGCAAAACTGTTTGCTGACCTATGCCAAGGTCTTATAAAATACATGCATTTATATGACTGATTTGTACATAAATCAATTTTCATTTAAATCATGAATTAAGTGTCTGAAATGTGAGTGAAATGTAAATCAACATGAACCAACAAAACAAAAATCACAAAAACACCTAAACAAAATATAACTCGCAGGTGAAATTTAACAGAGACACAAAAGACACAAAACAAAGGAAAGTCAAGTGCAAGCACATAAAAACAACAATTAAGATGATCAAACAACATTGGATATACTCAGGAGGGATGACATCACACACAGACAACGACATAACAAAATACGTGTTTAATTTGTAGAAACAGATACAGTAGGCATGTAGTTGGCCTCTTGCATGAAAAAATTGCTTCTTCTCCTCCACTATTGAAGAAATCAAAGCATATTGATTTGAATAATACAATGCAATGATTTGTTTTTAATTAGTTGCAATTTTTGATGCATGAGGCCCCAATAAACATCAAGAAGTCAAAAGGACACAATAGTTCATTGAAAATCAATCATTTCAAATGGTTTTTATTGTTACGATTCTACAGTTAGATATCAGAGAATGTTCATCCTCTTTGTTATACTAATAGAGAGTGATCTTGATTTATATTAAAGCAGTACATTTATAATAAATACAGGTAATCTATTGTGAAGTAACAATTCTCTTTCCATGTGCATTGTGCACAGAAGGTGAAATACAAGATACGTTCAATTTTTCCTTTGAAGAGGAGGGTTAGAGTAACACCCAAAAGAAGACATACAGTCCAATCTATTTACATACATGTATGGTCATCTTGAAGTTGTAATAAAAACACACAGTTCCGTACAAAGATTAAATTGTGAGTATCCATTATGGTTTGGTTATGACTGATGCCTATTCACATCAATATAAAGGGATCAGGATACAGTGGGCAATAGCAGAAGTGAAGCAAATGTGGGGAATAAAGAGAGAGAGAAAGAGAGAGAGAGAGAGAGAAAGAGGAAAACACAATGAAAGAGAGTCTACAAAAGGCAGGTAGAACAAGAAACAAAGAGAGGTAGATTGATAGATAGATATATAAATTGATAGAAAGAACAAGAGGGTGGAGAGATAGAGAGAGAGAGAGGGGGGGAGGAGAAAAGACAGAAAAGGACAGGCAGTAGGCCTACAAGAGACAAAGAGAGGTAGATCAAAAGAAAGCTAGAGAGAGAAAGAGAGAGAGAGAAAGATGGATACAGACAAACTATAGGGACAGAGATTATAATGGAGAAAGAAAAAGGGAAGGGAAGGATTTCTACTGATTAAAAAAAAAATCAGAGAGTGAGAGAGAGAGGAATCATGGGACAGGAAAAGAAAAAGAAATCCCTTTTGAGTCCACTACAAAAAAAAAAGTAAATTTAAAGTGATTGGAGACCAATCCTCATTCTGAGCAGAAATGCCAATTCAACCTTTTCCAAATCAAATCTTCTTTAAAATGTGACCCAATGGAAAGAGAACACTTTGCACTGAAGCAGATGGTACAGAAAAGTGCATAGGTAAAACAACAAAGATTGAAGCAAATTTTGTTCCATGACAAAACATACAGTTGAGAACACGACCTCTAACTGGAAAATGCCTCAAACTGCAAGGAATAATACCTAAAAGTGTTCTATTAGTCTATTACAATTCATTTCATTTCTTTTTTATGTCCATCAAAAGCTCCTTTGTATTCGTTATTCAGACTATATATATGACCTCTATCAAGTTTGTGCACAAGATAGTTTTACTCAACAGTAAACTGTTGATTCTTAACCAACAACCACTTTTTAATAATTTTGCAAGTTATCGTAAAATGTCACACCACCAGCTGCTAAAAAGTACATACAGAGTCTTCTGTGATATTTTAATGCTCTAGAAATTAGATTTTTATTTACTCTGGTGAGAAAAAAATCTAGCGTGCCATTCAGGTACAATTTCAATCTACACATGATATATATTAAATGTATTTCATTTAGCTGTTACCAAAACTACATACCGGTAACTAATGAAATGAGGACTCAAATATTTATTTTAAAAATGAAACCTCCCCCGCTTCAAATACACACTTTAAATCACTACCTCATGACTAAAAAATAACATTGCAATTCAGAAATTCTCAAAAAATTCTCACCAATACATTGTCAAAATATGATACACACAATTGTTTTGGAAGCCTGTGTCGTTGATTGTACGAAGAGACTCAGAGACTCTCACACTTGCGAGCAAACAATTATTGTTGATAATAATATTGACATGATTAAAAAACAAAAACGATACAAGGTGATCTTGAGTTGTGGTTGTGAGAAAACGTTTTTTTGCAGTATCCAAAAGGATGAAAACTGCATTTTTTAAAATAAATTACTTGACTTTAAGATATCAGCCAAGTGCATATTTTGATCATAAATGTATATAAGAGCAGATTAAGTAACTTCTGAAATTTGATACAGTAAAATCTGCTTTAGTGACCACCTGTATAGAAAGATCACCTGTCTACAAAGGCCATTTTTTTTTTGTTCCCTTGAAGTTGATTTCTCATTTAAATATTTCCTGATGGAACCTGTACATAAAGACCACTTATCTATAAAACACCGTTTGCATCCCTTGAATGGTCTTAATAGACAGTTTCCACTGCATTACATAACACTGTTTTGTATGTATTTGTGATTGTGCATTTCAGCAGGGCTTGTACTCTAGAACCTGTCTATAACAAACATTCAAGGGAGGCAAACATAGTGGTCTTTATAGGCAGGTGGTCTTTATGAACAGGTTCCCTCAGTACATGTTTCGATGAGAAATCATGTTCTAGGGAACTAAACTGATCTTTATAAACAGGTGATCTCTCTATACAGGTAGTCACTAAAGCAGGTCGAATGTACCGGTAGTTAATTTCAGAATTGGTCATCCTAACAACCCCATTTCACACGATTCTAATTTATGACATGATCAATCATTCACAAAAGATGAATTGATCGACTTGTTCACATTTTCCACTTCTATTGGGAAACAGTTTTCCCCACCGCAACTCAAGATTACCTTTAATTCATGAATGCATTGTAAGGCCATGTATATCAATAGCTATTACATACAAAATATATCGAAGGTGAGTGAAGTAGAATTAGGTGGTCATCTATAAATGTTCATATTTAGAAAGTTCACACAATAACACATTTCTTCAACAGGCATTACAAACATTGACCATATACAAGAACACTGCATCGTTACTTATATTAGATTTTGTATTTTGATGATTACAAAACAGTCTGCCTTTTGTTTCACACAAATTAATCAAATTTTAAAGCCCCACTGCACTACTTATAATAGCTACTTGCCCCCTCTATATAGCAAACAATGCCGAAACGGTGACCATTGGTTACCCATGATCCCATTTTTCTTATGTTGATTGAGAGCTAACTTAATGAGATAACCAGCTGTCAGTGACCATGCAGGGTGGTCTCTAATCCTTCCTGGCTAAACTAGTGCGGTGGGGCTTTAACATATATCCCCTGGAACTGGTTTCATTACAAATACAACAAAAGTATTCTCAAACCCTTAGTAAAATGGCTATGGTACAGTGGAACCTGTCTATAAAGACCATTCAATGGAGACGAACAAGGTGGGTTTTATAGGCAAGTAGTCTTCATGTACAAGTTCCTTTAGGACATATTTATATTGAGAAAATCATGTACAAAGGGGGAAAATATGGTCTTTAAAAACAGGTGATCAGGTGGTAACTAAAGCTGGTTTTATGGTTATGGTATAGAGAAAGCTGCTGCTTTATTCTTTAACCAGTCTGTGTACGAGTTGTATCCAAGAGGCCCATGTTAAGCTAACAAGGCAAAACATGTATTTCTTCACAAATTGAAAGCAATGCAACAAAGACCTAAAGCATTTACAGAGAATTTCTTCTGTAAATAGCATAACATATTCTGGCTACAACTCAGGCTTTAGATATTTTTTTTTTAAGGACTTCCACATTGAAATGGAGTAGATCACAATGCATTTCTGAAATTTCTTTAAATGGTCATTGTATACAAATGTATTCATAAGCCTGTGCGTTGAACACAATTTATAAGTCGATTGGTCCACTCTACTTGGTCTTTCACACAGACTGTTGCTGCTAGCTTTGGTCATCACAATAAACAGACTCATTAAACAGATTCAACTTGGATCGAAAGTCTGAGCCCTGTCTTTAAAAAGAATTGCAATTAAGCCACTTCGGAAATAATCTCTGCACATGGACAGATAAAGGTCATTTGCACAAAAACAGTAGGTCTTATCAAGATCACAGCTGGACTTGTGTTTTCCATTTTCTTTGAGCAGTGAAAGTGTTTCTCGTCGCTATTGGACAGTCGATACATCGATTTGACTGCGTTAAATGGCAGTGTGTTTCAATTGAGCTCGAGTTGAAATTTCATCTATTTATTCAATATCTAAGTGCTTAACACAAGTCTTGCACATTGGCTTCATGTATTTGTGATAGTTCCCTACCCCAAAATTGTTGACAATTCCACCATAAATCCTGTAGAATCTCAAAAAAATGCAACCCATCTTTAACCCTAGTTTTAGAACCCTTGAGTTAGTACTAATCCAAATGCCAGTGACTTTTATATGTGTACATCAAATATCTGTCTGCGGTAAATACATGGTGAAGTTATCAACCTGAGCAAAATTTGCATCCTTTTTAATAACATAGACAATCTCAAAATATTTTGTTTGTTGGAAAAGAGGCATTGGACAGAATTTGTCACCTGAATTATTTCCTAAAAACATCATCTGCACAGTTGATTAAATAAAGGTAATACACAGTGTTGGTCGTGGGAAAGGATTTAATGAGAATATGTTTTTATTGGGGCAGCTACCTTTGCTGGTGACCAAATTGATAATAACATTTTTATCAATTATCTTTGAAACTTCAAAAAGGAGAGTTGAAGTTGGGGTATACAGCTAATCAAACAGACTTTTGACTTTTTATACGGTTCACCTTTGGGAATTCCAATTTCTGTTGTTATTTTGAGATTTATCATCACGAGAAGAACCAAAATTGTAATTTGTTCATGAGGCAAACACTCTAAGCTATGATATCTTCACATCCAAGTGAATAAAATACATCAAAATTACCAGTGATTGATAAATCATCAAAATTGCAAGTGTTTGAGAACAAACAATTGAAAGGCTGTCTTTCTCCCCTAAACGGGTGTATGAAAGAGAATCTTTGAAAACAAAGAAAACACATTTTTTTGACGTCTTTCAATTTTACCAACATTGTATACTACCATTAACATAAAGGCTTCAATAACTTTCATATAAATTAATCAATATAGCACTAAAACCTTCCAAAAAATTCAAAACAAGGCTTTACCAAAAAGCAGCATAAAATTTGAGCGCATTAAATATAAAATAACAGTCTTAGGCATGGATCATATGTAGTAATTTCACAAGTTCATACAAATTGCTAAATATTTTTTATTCTAAACCACACTGTACAATTATAATACAGACACACATATATACAAATAGCGATACAATTGCCTCTAAAACTACACAGCAAGTAGGCTCATTTTACACACACTATATACACATATAAACCATAGTAAGAAATATAAAGTGGGTGTGATCGGTTTCTCAATTTGCTCACAGAAATAATATTATTTAATTCATCAACAACATTTTTCAACTCAATTAATTTCATACATGTTCAATATAAAATGTTTACACATAATAATCATCAGTTGGGGGGGGGGGGGGAGAATAATGAGCTGTAAATACTGGGCAGATGATTTAAAAGCAAGGCATGTGACAGAAAATATATCTTAAATACACTCTACAAATGAAAGCAACAGTGAAAGAAATCACAGTTCATAATGATGTCAAGTTTAATTTGATTTAAAAGAGGTCCATTTCTTCAGACATCGGAATGATTGTGAGCACGAGTGTAATATCTGACTTAAACACTTCTGTGTTGGTCCCAATTTTCACTTAGAGTTTAAAACGTTAAATGCGGGAAGAAAACAATCTGTGTGTGTTTTTAGGAAGGTCACTAACATAAAGGGGAAAAATGTGCTAAAAGCGCATTATTAAAGTCCTTTTTTTAAATAAAAAATAAAGTTGAGCTGCAAATTCCCCTTTGCAACAACAAAATATCATCACTAGCAGCATATTGCAAGGCAAAAAAATTAAACAAATATTTATTTATTTTAATGAAGAAAAAAATAAAAAATGAAAATTTTGCAAGGAATGATACATTGTAAGAGGTATCCATAAAACGGGGGTAAAATTCCTAATTAATCTTTCTATACTCCATAACTCAGTGCTTTCAGTGGTGACGATTCACAAGGCTTTAAAAAATACTATGAACATAAGTTCCACTTTGTGAGATAATAAGATAATAAACTCCTGTTTGTCATTAGATCAATGATTTATTGAACCTTTTTCAATGATTTCACATTGCTTTTCAATTGAAAATTGATGATTCATAGTCATATCAATTCAAATTTTGATTGCAGCATTTCAAGTGTCTTTTCTGTCGGTTGGGAGCAAGATTAGGTAGCTTGGAGAAACGAAATGGCCCGAAAAGATGCACCCGGAGTTCAAAATGCATATTTATTGAAAAATAATATTTTCATGCCATTGAGGTAGTAGATGTAGAACCACATATTAGGACACAGAGCGAGTAATTATCTTTACTTCCTGGATCAAACTTGATATCATCAACAAAAATTATGAAGTCATATCAAATTACAAGTTTTTATTCACCGATGGCATTAACTACTAAGCCTTCTGTGATCCGGACGCATCATTATTATATATTGTAGGCCTACATACAGCAAAATGCTTGCCGGTAAGGGGTCCAAAGTTTGCCCAACTTATTCAGATCTACGTTCCTCCTCTTCTTCATAACTCTGATCTCAAGAGTCTCTTTTTCATTTCACTATACTGCATGCAAACCAACATGTGCAGGGATGCCAGTTAGAATTGATCAGAGGGCCTAAAAATCACCTAGAATGAGCACAAAAAACCTAAACTGGGGTCTGAAAATAACTCGACAGGGCCTGAATTCAGGCTATTGCCTGAATACTGGCATCCCTGTTTGTGATAAGAAAAAAAAAGAACAAAAATCTCCAGATATTTCCATGATTGATTTTTTGAAATTCTAAGATCATGAAAGGGGGCATTTACACACTAAAAACCACGATTTCTTGGCATTCAGAGGATACACTGTTCTGACACATGACAAAACATGTACAGTGAATAGCTAATAACTTTGTAGGCTAATGAAATTCCCTGATTTTTCTCTGATTTCAGTGATTTTTCTCAAAACACTGGAACAAAAGGAAACCCATTTTCATTTTTTTCCCCTGATGTCAAGGATGGTTGGAAACCCTTATGCATACATTGTAAAGTGAAAATGAGGTTGAAAGTTGAAACAAATATGAGAGAACTACAGGATACTGTTGCATCTCAGCTCTAAACCTAAACACTTAATCTTCTGTCATGGTCCAGGATGACAAATCACCAAGAAAAAGTTTTTTGGGGGACTGCAGAAGAATTCTAAGCGAGGTAAATATTTGGTCTACAATACTGGACGGTAACGAGTACAGCCTCTGTTATCTTTGCTCCAACGTACGCATTGCATGTCCAAGTATCAGCAGTTTATTCAACATTATCAACTTTTAATATTTAAACACACTTTTCTCTATAGATGGGCCTGCACACATCAGACTGCTGTCAAAACCATGTACATTGTAAATATGAATTCAATCTGGTTGCTTACTAACAAGCATTTATGCTTTCTTAGCAGTCAGGTTAAATAACCACCACTACCACTATAAAAAAAATGTCATCTTAAAGCACAATACCGGTACAAACAAAATGATATTAAATGCTACTCACATGTGAAGACAATAACCCCAACAAACCATGTATTTAAGAGAGAGGTGCAGATTAATGTATGAATGTGAATGGCACGTGCAAAGTGACTATTCATTATCTAATTCTCTTCTCTTCCTGCTTATCTTCTACAGTCTGTGTATATGCATGACTGTTAAAACGACTATGTTTGACCACCAGAGTTAAATTCTTACTGCTCTTACATTGTTTTGTTGCATGGCAAGGGGACTGCTTAAATTAAAATCGCTTCAGTTTTAAAACATTTACTATTCATTATCATGTTATTGTTAATCTACATCAATATAGTAAGATTGTCATTGGTGAAATGATCTACAATTGATTTTAAAAGTGAACATTTATGGTGCGAGAGAAAAACCTTCTGAGGGTTTCAAATTTTCTTTGTTTTCACAGAAGCTAGTAAGACCGATATTTCTTCAACCGCTGACAAGTGCACACACACACACAAACACACATACACATACACACAAATGGACTAATTAATCATGGGTTCCAACAGACCAGATTCCCTCTATCACCATTGAGATTGACATTAAAAGTATGGATTAGGCCCCATTCACACTCGATGTAGTAAAGCACCAAACACAACTATCATTGATGATTTGGCATTGCCAGGGACCGGGAGGGGGGGGGGGGCAACCTTCGTCACTGTGACCCTAGTGTCTACCCCCTCCTCGGTGAGACTGATCGGGATGTGCAGGTGTATCCCCTGCCACCGCTAAAGCGTAGCGCACTTCACGGCCATCTTGGTAGCATGAAGCTACATTTTGCTGCACCCCCCACTTGCCATTCTACATGTAAAATGTATCACTGTATCACTGTATTTTTTTGTTAAAGGTGGTTTACACGTCAGGTGTGAAAGGGGCTTTGATGATGGACGTGCTACACAACAAGATGTCTATTTATCGTCACAATCTTCTGCACCCTTTTCCCACGGTGCTATGGATCGCTGCTCTTCGATGCGCTTGGACTGGATGCGCTGGATCAGACTGAAGAAGTCCTCATCCGGGACGGTAGGGGCTGGGGCCTGTATAGGTAATGTGCTACGTTGGTCTTCTATCCGTGCCCCCTGGAGGAATAAGCAAAAAAGATGGGCGAAAGATAGAAGTAATTAATCAAATGAAATTCAATCATATACAAACAATGACCGTATCCCCAGTACAATTTTGATCATAACATCAATCATCAACTTGTAATTAAAATCATCAAACTTTGCCTGCCCATCACTACCTATAATTGTTTACATTGCTGCCAACAGAACATTCATATTGTCACCACAATTGTCATCATCATCATCATCATCATCATCATCATCATCATCCAGCCTCGGCTATTGCCTCAGGCATGTTAGCATACCTGCCAACCACTCCGATTTAGGCGGAGTTACTCCGCTTTTTTCATACCCACTCCGAATTCCGATTGCATGCCTCAAAACTCCGATTTTTTTTAATTTTAAAATATTTTTAAAACAAACGACTGTTGCATAAGACTTAAGCATAACACAGCACTGATAACCAGATCACGCCTTACGGGGAAACGATAAACAAAAGTACTTTATATAGCGAATGCCGCCTTATCACATAGCCTCCGCACACAGCGCTGCATATCGCACGCATTCACTCATAGCTTCACTGAATTTGACTACACTGGATAGGTACTTTCGCGCACATGGTCCGTCCGCCGCCATCTTGTTTAATTCCAAAACAACATGGCCGCTACGTATGCTACGTGCGTTCGAGCCTTTTGAGGGGAGCATGGGGGTAGATGATCGTGCGAATGGCGCCCGCAATATAGTAGCGAAGACTTCGGTGATTCAGTGGGCGCATTGCAAGTGCAGTGCGGTATACGGTGTGTTGTTGTTCATGAACGCCGGGCCTAGCGGCCTGGGCTGGTGTGTCTGTGGTACTGGTGAGTGTACGTGTGCGTGTGTAGAATACGAGTTCTGCCATTTGACTGTGGATTCGAATTTGCCATTCGACGCTTGAACGAGGTGTTTTCTTTCTGAATATTATCATGAATTCACTCAAAAGAGCGAGTACCCGAGAAGGAGATCCTTTGACTGGAAACAGATTTTTAAAAACGTTTTTATGCACATCTTTATTTTGGACTTGAATATGGTAGGTTCGAAATGCAGTAAGAGTGATTGGGTGTTTGTGTACGTTTTGCGCGAAAATTATGCTGCGGTGTCTTGCGTTACGGAAAGACCCCCATTTACTGACAGCCATCCTATAGGGTTGGCATCTCTGCCCCCCCCCCCCCAATCTACGGGCTACTACCCCAATCCTTCGGTGGTTCGCGACCTCGTAGTCCATCCAGAAAAATTTACTCCTAATTTCTCTTGTCTCAGGTTGGCAGGTATGTGTTAGACTGTTCCAAAGGTAACTTGTGTGGGTAATTCTTACTAATGCCCTCACTGCTGTGTATTATTTGTATATTATTTGTATATTATTTGCATATTAAAAATCCTAATCCACATTATCACCATCTGGTCCTATCATACCTGGCATCTGATGATCATCTCAAAGAAATCATCGTCTGGCTCAGCTCGTTCTCCTTTGGCTAACAGCTTCCCTACAACGTCTTCATTGGCCCTGAGACCGGGTAGCCCTGGCAACCGTTTAACAGAGAATGCCCTCTGCTCATTGAGACGGCTGCCCTGAAGCTTGGCTATTTCATCTAAGAGTTCTTCCTTCTCTGGTAATCCTGTTTGAAACGGACAATATATTGAAGTCAAGTTAAATATGAATGTTATACAGTCAAACCTGTTAATACAAAACTTTCTCATCATTATACAGTCAAACTTGCTTTAGTGACCACCTGTCTACAAAGACCACATTTTTCTTTCCTTTGAAAACAGTTTCTCATTGAAACATGTACTAAAGGAACCTGTCTACAAAGACCACTATTTGTGTTTCCCTAAGGCGGTCACTATAGACAGGTTTGACTGTATCATCATCATCATGTGAGGGCAGCAGCCAAGGAATTCACTCTTTGACGCTACTCGCTCTTTTACATTACGATCTCAGGAATGTCTTCTCTATATCTCAATATTATGATTACGTGCAATTATGTCCATGAAATTGTGGGGGGGGGGGGGTCTTGGCCCCTGTTTGGGCAAGGCAGGCTCTAGCAGATGACACCTGACACAACTTGGTCTTAATCTACATAATCAATGACCAGCGAGTCGGCTCTGCATTGAGCATAGTGAGTGAAACTGGTGATCAAATAAAACATGTGAAGGTGGTTATTGAAGACAGATGGTCTTTTGGGCAGGTGGTGCATAAACACAGGTTCCATTCCACACAGGTTTCAATAAGAAACGCAGTCAAAGGGTTACCCAATTTTAGTTCCCTTAAAAAAAAAGGAAGATTGTCGAAGAGTTTTTCTGTTTCTGGTAATCTCTTTTAAGACAAATGGATGTTATCAGCCATGTCAAAAAGTGAAACCTGCTTACCTATAGATAGAGACCACTTGTCTATAAAGACCCCCTCCCCCGCTTTCTTTGCATCACTATAGCAACGCTCACCACTGAAACCTCAATTTACACTAAATTTTGTGCACAAGAACCATACAGCTGAATAGAATCGAAAGCTCATCCCACAGATTTCAGGAAATCTTAACAAATTTCTATGGGTTGCCTTACACGCCAATCAATCACATAGAATCTGATGACCGGCAAACGGCAAGACAATCCTAGATTCAATGTAGCATCCATCCCTTGATGGACTAACCAATCAAAATGGTCGCCCAATTACACATAGGATGCTAATTTTACAGGAAAGTAAGCCATTACAAGTCTAATTTTCATTTAAAGGTAAGCATCAATCACTTGCGAGGATACACCAAAATGAGAACTCATGATAATACTAAATACTATGTTGCATTTATCTTCATGGTGACGATTCAGATACAAATGGGTAATTTTGAAAAAAGGGCTGAATGGCATTCTGGGGCCTGTTTCATAAAACTTGTTATCAATAACAAATTTGAAAAAGTCTATGATAAAATTGCTCTCAGCCGATCAAAAGTCACAATTTCACGTCTTTAATAAATGACATGTGCCAAAAGATTTTGGTAGAAATGTATAGGGGCTGAGTAATGAGCATAGACAGATAAGGAAATCAAGGTAATTAGGCCCGACACCATGCGCTTAACACAGCTCACTAGGTGCAAATGAAAGTTGTGGTTTCTACTGAAGATGATTTCCAGCAAGTTTGTGTGAGGTTGTTTTTATTTTACTGGTTCAAACAATCAATCTACTGCAGGATAAACAATCCAGAATGAATTATAGCCATGTTCTCTCAAAATACGATTCCCATAGAGTGGTGAAGAGTGACGTCATCAACAAACTTTTTTAGGGGGTGGAATTTCTCAATTTTTACTTCATTTTCCGAAAGAGCATCAAAAATAATGTCCAAATGTTGAAAACCAATTGAATATGTTGAGTATTGGTTGAGATATGACCATCTGAATAAATAGATTTCCTATAGGAACTCAAGTGTTTTTTTGCTCTGGTTCATAACTTGGTTTTGGACATTTGGACATTATTTTTTATGCTCTTTCGGAAAATGAAGTTAAAATTGAGAAATTCAAAAAAATTGTTTTTTATGATGTCACAGCTTCGGTACTCTATACTAGAGCTCAGGATAAGCTTTGGGTGCGTTTAAGCTTAAATTTTGAAGGCAGAATGAGCGATTTGTAACGCTCATCGTAATCGCATTTCCACGGTGTACTGTTTATGCTCACTTCTCTGGCTCCTCCAGGCAATTCTCCCTGGGTGGCCTTAATTGGTCTTCCAGCTGGATTCGCAAACCTTCACTGTGCATGCTACGTAGACCCACTAAAGGTCAGTGCGTTGGCCCCATTTAAAATCGTTTACAAATTGTAAACGCATCTTTTTGTGAGTTTACGATCTTTCGGTCATTCTACAAAAGTGAGCATGGACGCAACCGTGTTTTAAACTAAACGCGTAACAGATGCCTCATTCTGGCCAGAAAAAGTTAAGCATAAACACGCCCTAAAACACCTCTTCTGGCTCCAAAGAGACAAATTCTTGCTCAAACCAAAATTTCCTTCTCACCGTTTCCCTCCTCATCTGCCAGCTTCTTCTGCAGTCTGCCGAACGAGCATCGCTGCTCGTCCATTCTGTTGCTCTGGAAACGGCTGAGAGCCTCAAAGAAGTTATCAGCGTCATCCAGCATCTGTATAGGTTCTCCTCCCTAAATTGACAACCGAGGGAATAGTTAGAACCTTCAACTGTTAAAAACTAGACTAGAAATAGCAACAAAAGCTAAAAAAAATATGTTCTTCATGGGAGCCACTCTCAAATTGGCAACCAAGGGAATAGTTGGAACCTTCAACTGTTAAAAACTAGACTAGAAATAGCAACAAAAGCTAAAACAAATATGTTCTTCATGGGAGCCACTCTCAAATTGGCAACCAAGGGAATAGTTGGAACCTTCAACTGTTAAAAACTAGACTAGAAATAGCTACAAAAGCTAAAAAAATATGTTCTTCATGGGAGCCACTCTAAAATCGGCAACTAAGGGAATAGTTGGAACCTTCAACTATTAAAAACTAGACTAGAAATAGCAACAAAAGCTAAAAAAAATATGTTCTTCATGGGAGCCACTCTCAAATTGGCAACCAAGGGAATAGTTGGAACCTTCAACTGTTAAAAACTAGACTAGAAATAGCAACAAAAGCTAAAAAAAAATATGTTCTTCATGGGAGCCACTCTTAAATTGGCAACCAAGGGAATAGTTGGAACCTTCAACTGTTAAAAACCAGACTAGAAATAGCAAAAACAACAACAACAAGCCAAAATATATGTTCCTCATGGGAGCCACTCTCTTAAAGTTTCCATTTATAATTTGCATTTGAAAATTGGGTAAGTACAGTATACAGTATTTGAACTGTGTAATTTATGTTTCTAAATTGTGAATTATGTTTTGTTTTTTAAATCCTCTTCTCTTCTCATATTTCCAATGTCCATTTTTTTCAAAACATGCACAGCAACAAATTATACAAAATATGATATTTAAAGAAAAGTTTCTCTCATTATTTTGTCTTTCTTTATCTCTTTTTGCTGCTCTTTTTTGCTCAATAGTCAGGTGGAAATATGTAATAAACATAAAATCTGTATACCCAGGGTTTAAATAAAGGTTAAAATTAAAAATGAAATTGTTAAAGGTCATTCCAAGTTAAGAGGATGAAATTGTTACAACTGATCACTATCTTTCATAAATACAGTTAAACCTATTTTAGCAACCACCTGTACAGAAAGACTACATATTTTGTTTCCCTTGAATATGGTTTCTCATTGAGACCTGTACTAAAGGAACCTGTCCATAAAGACCATGTTCCCCGTTTCCCTTGAGCGGTCTTTATATACAGGTTTTAATGCATGATGATTTAGTTAGTTGTTATATATTAGCCATGCCGAATAACCCCAAATCTTACTAATTTTTGCTTACTTTATTAAAATCCTTTATTGGCTAGGCATATGAGAAATGTTATCAGGATAAAGTAATGTTTATGTCAATGATTAAAAAATTGCAAAGACTGCAAATCTCAAAAAATAAAATGTTAAAAATACATATTTATAATGTACATGTATATACACTCTCTGTTCATGATCAGAAACATCAAGGTCCCCATTTCATAAATTGTCTAAATGAATATACCTCATTATTTTAAGATTACTATCAAATCATTTCAACAGGCCCTTCCAACTTGTAGCAAAAGTAGAGCGACCTCTTTGAGTGGGCTTTCAAGAGGAGCATCCAAAGAAGTGATTCTTTTACTTGACCTATCGACATTTCCAGCATAAATGCAAACTCTCCAAAATGCCTTTATTTCATTTCAATAATAGTATCCTATGCAAAAAAAATGGTGCATGCAAGATATCCACTAAACACTTACAACAACAATAATGCAGAGGCAATTTCTAATCATGCAAAATATAGATAAACAACAATGACGAATCCCCAACAATGACCCATGCAAAGAAACACATAATTAAGCCATGCAAACATACTGTATGTAAGACAATATTTGAAATTATGATCTCATTACACCAAAGAACCCCATCAATTTTTGGATCACAACAATAATAATAACCATCATGAATCAAAGGTTAGAAAAGATCAGTAAATGATAGTATTTGTTAATTGTTTAGGGGTTAGACAAATATTGCAGATGTGTGGTGTACCTTCCGTGCTGAGGTCTGTGATTTAGCTTTGGACGGGGCGGGCGCACTATTCTTGGCACTGCTAACTGACTCCTTGGAATCCTTATGACTCTGCTTATCTTTGGATTCTCCGCCATTCTTTAATTTGAGCTTACTCCCCGGTCTAATTTTCCTTTTGGGGACCTGGACGATTTCTGTTTTCTGAGTGTGGGAAGATTGGGAGGATTTGGTTTATGTTATATTAAAACCTTTCAGCCTGTGCTATATAATTGCATACTGATGAAGGAATGAAAATATGAATTTAAAAAATAGAAAATAGAAATATGCAAATCCTGTATCAATCAAGAAAACGGGGAGGGAGGGAAGAGGGAGGGAGGAGGGAAGGAAGGGGAAGAAGGAGGGAGGGAGGGATGAGGAGGGATGAGGAGAGAAGAGGAGGTAGGGAGGGATCTGTGATTCTTTTGTATGCATATGTTACTTTCAATGTACCATGTAATAAGAGGGAGGGGGAAGGAAGCAGGAGGAGGGAGGGAAGAAGAGAGAGAGAGAGGAGGAAGGGAGAGAGGGAGGGAGAAAGAGAGAGTGAGAATGGTAAAGAAGGAGAGAGAGAGAGGAAGAGGAAGGTAAATAGAGAGAGAGAGAGAGAGAGAGAGAGAGATTGAAAGGGAGGCAGGGAAGTGGGGGTTGTAAATTGCATGTACTTGAGAAGAAGAAAAAAACAAATGTAAGACAATATGAACAAACTATCACATACAACGTGGCTGAATGTAATTCTGACGCTACACAGATACACAATGCAATTCGATGGGGCACTCCCCGTGGAGTAATTTAAAAGATCCAATTAAGTGAAACGTAAATCTTGATGGAGATATTGCCAATTTGCATGTAAAAGTGATCAATCATGATCAGGGTACTTTTCATGAACTACAAAGAGGAGGGAGGTGGAGGGAAAATCCCTTTTCAGTCAGAGGTGGAACATTAACAGATTTTGTAGGTAACTTTTAGTTCCTCCAGTGTTTTTTGTTTTTAAAAAATGGTCTGGAGAGATTTTAAAGAGAAGGTTGAGTTCCGGGAAGAGGTGAAAAATCATTTATGAGCGTTATCGTTGTTTTATGTGTAGAAGAACATCAGATACAAAATGTTCCCTGAAAAGCATGGCTATTCAAACGCCTAAATATTCAAAATATGGTATGTAACATCATAAAAATCAGGATGGATTTTTATGCCACATTTTAGTGTTATCCCATATTATCTTTCTGTGTACAGCGCTTGTAACTTTATCAAGACTGGGCCAAATTTCTTATCATTTTGATGATTCCAGAACCTTGCAGTACACACCAATACTTATATGCTAGATAATCAGCACTTTTCTTACACAATGCAATCGCATGAACAGAACTCAACTTTATCTTTAAAAGTTCAATGTAAAATATATGATCTGACTGCGATCTAGGTATGACAACAATTCTGGAAAATGTTCTGGGACCTCAAAATGACAGATTCATGCACAGAAAATTGGATGAAAACCAACAGATGTGATATTTCATGATTTCTATTGTGTTCTCATGCTAAATAAGATCAAAATGAAACAATAAATCGAAAGAGTAATCCCCATGATAAGAAACTGAAATGAAAAAAGCTATCAGAGCTTCAGGTAAACAGATGATAAGGCGCCATGTTCAATTCATTACCGACCAACGGTTAAGTCAGTATTTTACTTAGCATTTTGCTTGGCAAAGTAACATATCTAACTCATGTTCATATTACATCTGAGCAATTTACTAAGCAAGCAAAACTTTCAGCAAAAAATTGTGATGTCACATAGTCAATCCAAAATAATGCGGATTGAACGCATCACATTATTAAATAATGTCAATTTCATCACAGAACTTTTTTGTTTAAATGTCTCCATAACTCTCCCAGCAGCTCCTCTCCTTTTTTCTAGTACAATACATGTTTTCACTCTTTAGAAGAAAAAAATATTTTGTTCACAACAATTTTTTGTAACGATCTGAAGGAAAGAATACTGTGAGGGTTTTATTTACAATAGAGCTCTCGCATTGTGAACAGAACTGAAAATTCTCTGTAAAAAAGCAGGAGGAATCCACTACCCGGCAGTTCTCATTTACCGTACATGATAATTAATAATAGTATGGTGGCTTAGATGAACTGAAAATTCCCTTTCCAATGATGATAATGACAGTAGGAAGGAAAAATTGCATTGGGTTGCATGCAAACTAATATGAACAGAAAAATATACATTATAAGCACTGATCTATTTTACTAACTCAACAATGACACTTATTATACATATACCGGTATGTACAAGTACCTTTTTGTGTGTGCTGTGATCTAACTACAATCATGAATAAATTGAAACAAATTTCTAGGCAAATTTTTCCACAAAAATGTACGGCATAAATGAATAATTAAAAGAAGTACACTAAACAACAGCGACATGAAAAATAAAGACTCTATAGTAAGAATAATGTGAAAGAAACAAATTTGTTGGTGTACCTTTTCTGGTGTCATGGCAACTAGTTCCAAATTCTCCATACTCCTTCTTCTTCGGGGTCTAGCACCTAGAAAGTGTGAGGATGAAATTTTCAAAGTGTACCAATCGACCCAAAATAGTTTGCTCCATGTTGCTGTACTATATTAAAAACCTGAGTTTTGAAAAGTATTTTTATAAAGAGATATTTCGAAACAAAAATAAACTCTCAGTAAACACACGCGTAAAAGCAACTGGAGAGAAGACTAGTTGATGCATGTGTACGTCTTTCGGATGGTGACGTTAAAGGTCGGTCCCCAGATGTAAATAATCATATCTGATTGATACACGTCTGTAAAGAGTCAAATTACACACACACATTTGCATAGAATAGGATGTGCACAGAACCCATGTCCGCTTTTGGTTCCATGCTTTGTGTTATTCTCTATTTCCTTCATACTTTTTACAAAGCGATCACTTCTGCCCTAGCATACTGTTTACTGCAAAGCACCATCTCATGGTCAACTTGCCAAGAGTGCGTAACCCAATACCTAACTTTTAATATCAGGGTAGGCTTGCCCTTTAAATAGTTCACAATGGGACAATTACCTTTGGATTCTTGTAGAGGTGTTTGAACTGTTGTACTGACTTCACTGTGAATGGAAATTGAAGTAGAAAAGAATTTAATAATAATGTTGCACTACATAGAATGCTCAGATGATGAGTGGTGGTTTTAATGAGGCAAATTGATCATTCGGGTTAAAACTATCCTCTTATCCACTCCCAGTTTAGCTGTATGATAGCTGCCATCGGGATTATCTCTACAAGTAACTGCTGTGATTAACATTTACTTTCTCATCAAGAAAAATCTTTAACAAGCCATTAAAATGAAAAATATTGATTTATAGAGTGTATGATTAAAAAAAATGATTATCTCACCATACATGCACATGTATAAGACAAGAATATTATAACTAAAATATCAACTACCCATTAACATTTTAATGTAATATCTGACTGTATTAACTATTTTGAAGACTGATTTAGGGTTAGTATTCAAAGTTCATCAACATCTGAGAGCCAAAAGATAATTTAGGGATTTATTTTTTATTCTTTGTGTCTTTTACTTGTATAAATGGTTCCATCTGCTGTTGAGATTTATTTGGTATTTTGGACTTACCTAAGATCAGCTGTACTTATACCAAAGAGGGTCTGTAAATCTTGTAAGTTCATTTTGGCTGTCACCTCTCCTGTCCTATCTCCAACCTAGAAAACATATTTGATGACGAGGGAGAAGGAGAAAGAGAAGAAGAAGAAGAAAAAGAAGAAGAAGAAGAAGAAGAAGAAGAAGAAGAAGAAGATGAAGAAGAAGATGAAGAAGAAGAAGAAGAAGAAGAAGAAGAAGAAGATGAAGAAGAAGAAGATGAAGAAGAAGAAGAAGAAGAAGAAGAAGAAGAAGATGAAGAAGAAGATGAAGAAGAAGATGAAGAAGAAGAAGAAGAAGAAGAAGAAGAAGAAGATGAAGAAGAAGATGAAGAAGAAGATGAAAAAGAGGAAAAAGAGGAAGAAGAAGAAGAAGAAGAAGAAGAAGAAGAAGAAGAAAAGAAATAAAAGAAAGAGGAAGAAATAGAAGAAAGAGGAAGAAAGAGGTAGAGGAGGAGGAAGAGGGAGTAATAATACTAATGATAATGATAATGATAATAATATCTCGGATGAAGAAAGAGATCATTTCAAAACTTAAAGTACCAACATGGCATGTGATATGGATATCTATTAAGACCAAATGTGGCATGAAGGAACGATTGAGAGAACTTTTATAACGAGAAATATATTATATTTAATAACGTTTCTTTAGATAAGAAGGTAATTGGATTGCTCTTCCATTTGTGACCTCGTTTGAGCTCAACCATATGTACAGTGTCCCCAGGTTCCAATTTATAAGCATGTTATTCATGTCAATGAAAATAAGTGTCGCAGATGAACTTTACTGCATACTTAAAGGTATAGACCAGTTCTGGTCATGCGATTGCACGTTGAAAGAAACGTTATGGAATCGATCAGAAAAGGTTGACCATCTAGCATATAAGTATTGGTGTGTACTGCAAGGTTCTGGAATCATCAAAATGATAAGAAATTAAGACCAGTTTTGGTAAAATTACAAGCACTGTACACAGAAAGATGTGTATTGGACTAAACGAACATGTGGCGTAAAAATCTGTCCCGATTTTTCTTATGCTTCATGACATATTTAGAATATTAAGGTATTTGAAGAGTCATGTTTTTCAGGGAACATTTTTTATCTGATGTTATTCCACACTTGCATAATACAATGATAACGCTCACAAATCATTTTTCACCTCTCCCCAGAACTCAACCTTCTCTTTAAAGACCCCTTCCGAAGTGAAAAATGAAATAGATGAATCTAAAATGAGAAACATATTATATGGACTATTGACTCTCTGCATATGAAACTATTTTGATTCTCATTTCATTTATGACCTTATTTGAGCTAAAAAATCATCTATGGTGTCCCCCAGGGTCTAATTTATAAGCACGTCATTCATGTCAATGAAATGTCAATTACAGTACAGAGATTTCAATCCATGTGTAGAACTTGAATAAAATATGAATGTGCTACTAAATCTCATCAAAAAACTTATATCTTTGTGTGTGTGCGTAATTGGATTTTTACAGGCGTATCAATCAGGTACGATTATTTAGGTCTTGGGATCGACCTTTGACGTCACCATCCAAAAGACGTGACTCGGTTTTGAACCAGGGTCGCCTGATCCAGTTTGTAGGCAAAAACATAGAGCTGAACAAGTGAATGTGCCGCTAGACCAACTCACATCTCCCTTTTGATATGATACTGAATATGACTACTTATACTGCCTTTAAAGGTAAAGACCAGCTTTGGAAACGCCCCCCTCTCAAAAAATAAAATGGAAGCTCTTATTACCAATCATGTGAAAGAATATGTTTTGACTAATACGTGATCATACAATATACGATATATTTGGTAAATTATTGTATCTATTTGGACCTGATAGATATAACGCACGTGTCGCGCACGTGTGCGTAGTCGGAAGTCCCATATACATCTTTCTGTGTACAGTGCTTGTAACTTTACCAAGACTGGGCCAAATTTCTTATAGTTTGGTGATTCCAAAACCTTGCAGTACACACCACTACTTATATGCTAGATGATCAATCTTTTCTGATCGATTCCACAACGTTTCTTTCTCAACGCAATCGCATGACCAGAACTGGTCTTTACCTTTAACAAAGCATTTCTATCCAGAGACTTCCTGCCCTTGAATAATACAATTCATGCAACACCCTGCATCTACGAGACCATTTTTTTAAAGGAATTATCGACTGTGATTTTTAAAAGAATGCTGCTAATTACCTCTCTTGATATTTGAAGGTGAAGAGTTGCATAGTGAAGAGCCTTCTCGTGGTTACCTAATGACGTATGGGCGTTCCCTAAACTCCAGCATGCCCGTCCTTCCCCAACTCTGAAGGCAGATTTTTTTTTTTTTGATGAAGAAAAGTGGAAATCACAAGGGGAAAAGAAAGAAAGAATGGTCTTTTATTAGCAGGATTAATTGACATATGGCACATGCTACAGAATCACGGAGCAAGACTTTTAAAAATTCAAATAAAGACATACTGCATCTGATTATCTTGACTTCATCAGAGTAAAGAGAAGAAAAAATGGAAAGCCAAAAGTAACCAATAAAAATAAGAAATAAAATAAAGAAAAAATCTATCTAAACTACTGAAAAGGCAGTTCTGAATTCTGGTCAGTAGCTTCATAATGAAAAAACAGAATTCAACCAGAAGCTGATGAGTTAAGGATACTAACTTATTCTAATGCGAAAAGCTACAAATGAATAACATATGTGACAACATTTTGATAGGAATGTTTGAAAGTTGATTGAACAGCAATAAAAGATGGAGGAAAGTTTTGCCAATCAAGAATAAACTACAACAAACACTGCAAAATACGTGTGTTTTTGTTGGTGCTTAACAGAGTGCATGGGTGTGGATTTCAACAAGTTTTGTTTGCATTTTGTTACTCCCTAAATATAAAGTTAAAGGTAAAGACCAGTATTGGAAACGCCCCAATTTCAAAAAATGAAATGGAAGCTCTCATCACCAATCATGTGAAAGAATATGTTTTGACTAATACACGATGATAAAAAATTTGCCGGGAAACCGCCTACTAATTCATATATTTGGTAAATTTGTTTCTCTCATGGTCTGTGAGAGATATAGGGTAGTCCCATGTACATCTTTCTGTGTATAGTGCTTGTAACTTTACGAAGAATGGGCCAAAGTTCTTATCATTTTGATGATTCCAGAACCTTGCAGATGCTAGATGCTAGATGCTAGATGATCAACCTTTTTTGATCGATTCCACAACGTTTCTTTCACAATGCAATCGCATGACCATAACTGGTCTTTACCTTTAACAACACACAACCAACCAACAATTTATAATGCATCCATGAGAGTTCTAACTGTACATTACAACCAATTAACCCGTTAACTACTGAGTTCTCTCTTTCCCATAAGCTTAATACAGGGACCCCCTGGTTCCAGTAGGCAATGGATTAAATGCCGGGTATATAGAACCAGTTTCTCGTGAAATTCAGTAATAAAGTATGACAACTCAAGATTACCCACAAACTTGTCTTGATGTTTACTGGTAACAATGGCTGCCAATACATATGAATAAAGGGACACATTAAAGACGGGATGACATTTTGATAATTTCATTTATCAAGGAATCAGGTCCGTTTAAGCCCAGGTAAATAAATTACATGACAAAGGGATAATTCTTGTGGAATGGCGCAAAAATTGAGCTTATTCAATGATTATACCAAAGCCAAGTTCCTTGCTTATTCACTTAAAGACGTAAATCGTTACTAAATCTAATTTGATATTGAGGAGTCTCCTGACAAGATAAGGCTATCAAGATAATCAAGATAAGGGCTATCAAATAAAGTTGGCAAAAACTAGGAAACTAAATAATTCTGTTTCCCTACTTGATAAAATTAAGAGCAGAGAAATTTTCTGCACAATTCATGTTGTAAGTCGTATCTACATATGGTTCACTAGAAATCGACTATTTGTTTACTTAGCAATTAAATGCAAGAGGACATTTAGTAACCCTTGGTCGAAAGCTGTTAATTGTATGATGTAGGTCCTTATTATATGTATGGTGCAGGGTAATCTTGTTATTGCAAAGTGCGGGAGTTCATACAAATATTTAGAGCTAATTTAGTTTCAAGTGGATCCAATCGTTTGTTTTGTGAAATTTAAATATACCAATGCACATACACACAAGACATTTGCACTTGTTCGTCTTTTACTTGAGAAACAGGGTGAGTGGTAGTGTGAGGGTTAAGATTTGGGTTTTAGGAAACAGTTATACAGTGAAGCCCGTCTATAAAGACCACCCAAGGGAGACAAGAAAATCGGTCTTAATAGGCAGGTGGTCTTTATGTACAGGTTCCTTGAGTAAATTTTTCAATGAGAAACCATTTTCAAGGGAAACAAAAAAATGTGGTCTCTGTAGACAGGTGGTCTCTGTAGACAGGTAGTCTTTCTATACAGGTGGTCACTAAAGCAGGTTTGACTGTATACATGTATGTACATGTAGTTAGGGGTTAGATATAGTGTTGGGTCCAGGATTAAAATGTAATTAGGAATTTGATTAACTCTTCAAATGCCATGTTACCATTCCAAAAGAACAAATCCAATAGATATTTTCTACTTAAATAGAGGTTTCCTGCCTGAAGATACTGCCAAACTGTGATGTAATAGTGGTTAGGGTTGGAAATAACAAGGAACTACATGCCCAATACCCAGGGCTAATCTTATCAGTAATTGTTTGGACTGTTTGCGCTGATCAGTAAGTGGGGCAACAACAAGAAGTTAATGTAAGGTCTGTCTTCATCAGCCAGAATTGGCAAAATAGCCTGCTGTTTTGTGATCCGGGAAATTAGCTTGAAGTTACAAATCCCGTCCTCATCAGCTTGCTCGAGACATTAACTCAGGAATTTTGCTCAGTGTTCACGCATAATGCGAGTCTTCGGGCTGGTGATGACGAACCACAAATAGCGGGCTATTTTGCAAACTAGCCCAAGATATCTTAGGAAGATTTCCCGAGCAAATAGCCCACTATTTGCGTCTTCACCTGCCAAATAGCCCACTATTTTGTAATCTGGTTAATTTCCTGGATCAGAAATAGCGGGCTATTTGGCCAACTTGGGCTGATGAGGACAGGCCTATAGAAATCTTAACCACGCATAGGACTGATAGTCGCAGAAGCATGTGTGTCGTAAAGCGCCACTCACCTGTCGTTAAGTTGTTGAGCTATCTCCATGTGCCTGCTGTGATATTCCACGGCCTTCTCATACTCCCGTAATAAAGTATACGTGTTTCCTAGACTGTAGCACGCCTGAGCCTCCATGGCCAACTCACCGAGCTGCCTTGCAATGTGCAAACTTTTCCTGAAATAATACAAACACGAAAGAAGGAATTTAGAAGTGAACGGGGCAAAACGTTAGATTATCCAGAATAAAATAAGTGTACAAACAACAAAATAATTGATTTGATATAGATCATTATCAAAAACATTAAAATAGCAACCAAAAGGCTGAAACGGATTGATTTTTTTTTTAATGTCCATTAATAAGACAATACATTAAACTTTGATTCAATAGAAGATATTCATTTACAAATAGAATCAATAGAATATATTTGTCAGTTACATAATTTTTACAAATCAGATAATTTGTATCAATCTACTATTGTCTAGAATTTAAATGTTTAATAGTTTTAAAAGTTTGCTTGCTGTAATGAAAACATTATGGAAAATGTCAAGGGCATTCCTTGTAATTGAATGTACCAAAATATTAATTTCCTAATACAGCTTTTATCTATTTCAGAATTTCATATGCAAAGTAGATGTTTAAAAAACTATAAAATTTGCTGGAATATATTGCTCATAGTATATTCTAAAATGTTGTGCTGTGAAACATTTTCAATCATTTTGCTACCTATGAAACTTTCAAGAGTCATTGTATACTTTTGTATGAAACAGTGTATTAAAGTGCTTTGAAAAAGAACTACAGAGTCACAAAATCTGAAAAACATTTTGAATATATTTCCATAGCAATTTCAATGCCATTTTAACACTTGCTAGAATATATTGCTTATATTCTATTTCAAAATGTTGTGTTTTGAAACATTTTCAACTATCTCGCTACCTACAAAACTCTCAAGAGATGTACAATACTTGTGTATGTGTATGACATAGTGTATTAAAGTGCTTTCACAAAAAATTACAGAGTCACACGATCGGAAACTCCTTTTAGAAATCATTCCACAGCAATTTCAATACTCAATTGTGTTGCCCCTAGAAATTACATTCAAAGGATGTGAGATGACTATTGTAATGTTTGCACTTATCCATAAGCCAAACACTAGGCTATTGAAATTGCCCTAGAGTTGCTTTCTTGAATGTGTGTGCGAAATTAGTGACTTCATAGTTCCATACCAGAATCAAATCCAGTCTAATATGTATGAACTGAAAATATAAATTAATAATTTCATTTTTCAATTTGTTACATTGTTTTGAAATATTGGATCGATGTACATCAAATTTATTCAAACTGAGTGTACTTACAACAAAATACTTTCTTCTAACAGAAAAACCACTTAAAGGTAATACAAAGTTTTGGTATGGGGTCATGAATTTGGTTCAAATGAACATAATGGAAGCATATGCGATCCTACAATATTCAGTGATCGTTGCCGCGGTTGAAATCGAGTCTAAAGTGATGAAATTGTAAATAATAAACACTTTATGTTGTATAGCGCCCTCTCAAGGTCAAGATATTGATTTAGCTATAAACAATGTTATTTGACTAAAATCGACCAATTTGCTATTACCATTTGGAATATATATATCACAACTGCATATTCTGAGACTTTCATGGTCGCAGCTACCATCGTATGGCCGTAGGTGCTATTTGAAATTCATCAAAATTTACCGGGAGCACCGGTAAATTTTTATATTCAATTTTTCTCGAAAGCAGAAGTGTTTTAGGGGACAATTATTTTAGTGATTATAATACATCCATAGGGGCATCCAAATATATCAACATTGTAAAGAATCACTATCCAGCCAATTTTCAAAAATTACCAAAACTTTGTAATACCTTTAATTCTGTCTCTTTCATTCTATATTTCTATTTTCCAGCAAAAGATTTTAATAGTACATGGGACTGAGGAATCGTTTAGAAGAGCCATGTAAATAAGTAAAAGAATGTTTAAAAGAAAGTATGCCTATCCCGGCTGTTAAATGCATGAGATCAATAAACACTCAAGTTTGAATTGAATATTAATTAACTTTTGCAAGTGACCACTCCCTCTCCCCACCACAAAAGCCAAATCTTGCATGCATCCTAACGCCCCTCAGTTTAATTACAAATCAACACCCTCAATTTCAGAACCAAGTTGACAATGTAGGAAAAAAGGATTACGATTCTAATAGTGCAACAACACTCTAGAGCTGTGACCAAATTTCAAACAATTTGCTATGTCTTTGAGTCCTGCATGAGATGACTATCGGTACTTTTTATTGTGAAGTAGCATAGAGAATTTATATGAAATATTATTTATCAATTGAAAGCATACAAGTATGACCCCAGTTCTTTAACATGTGTATTGGGTAAGTACCAACAAAAGTGGCTACTTTCAACATGTGACAGATTCAAGTGTTTTGTTTCATTTCTATTCAGATAAGTCTAGGTTGAGCATTACTTTTTTTTTTTGTTCGGTTTTGCTTAGCAACTTGGTATCAAACAACAAGAAAATTGTTAAGATGTCAGATGTGCTGTAGCATCACCAGGAAAAGAATGAGATCTGGAGCATTTTTATTTTGTAGGGTGGGGCTTTGCAGGTCTGAGAAAATTATTTTTTTAAATATTCAAAAATCTATGAAATATTTTAATAGATGTTTGAATAACAAAATATGGGTTGTATGTAGCCCTGCACATCAACAGGAATTAACTAATATTTGGATGACCCTTGACCTTTAAATACATTGCTATTCATTTCGCTTGTTCAGTCCCTTCTCTATCCAATAACTTTTCATCGCAATTTATATGTCCCATGAAACCCCTATCCAACCTCTCTCTCTGTCTCTTCCCCACGCTATCTTCTTTCTCTCTCTTTCTTTCCCTTCCTCCCTCTCTCTCTCTCTTCCCTCTCGCTATCTTCTTTCTCTCTCTTCCTTTCCCTTCCTCCCTCCCTCTCTCTCTCTCTTCCCTCTCGCTATCTTCTTTCTCTCTCTCTTCCTTTCCCTTCCTTCCTCCCTCTCTCTCTCTCTCTCTTCCCTCTCGCTATCTTCTTTCTCTCTCTTCCTTTCCCTTCCTTCCTCCCTCTCTCAATACTCTCTCTCTCTCTCTCTCTCTTCCCTCTCACTATCTTCTTTCTCATTCTACCTTTCCCTTCCTTCCTCTCTCTCTCTCTCTTCCCTCTCGCTATCTTCTTTCTCTCTCTTCCTTTCCCTTCCTTCCTCCCTCTCTCAATACTCTCTCTCTCTCTCTCTTCCCTCTCACTATCTTCTTTCTCATTCTACCTTTCCCTTCCTTCCTCTCTCTCTCTCTCTCTCTCTTCCCTCTCGCTATTTTCTTTCTCTCTCTTCCTTTCTCTTCCTCCCTCCCTCCCTCCCTCCCTCCCTCCCTCCCTCCCTCTCTCTCCCTCTCCCTCTCCACCCCACTCTCCCTTCTCTCCTCTCCACCCCTTCCCTCTCTCGTTATCCTTGTCTCTCTCTCTCTCATCTTCATTGTGCAGTCATCGAGCACAAATGCTGAATTACACTCATTCCACTTCATCTTCCTCAAAAAATCCAATTACAAATGAACAAAACTAATTTTGGAAATGATATTCTCGCCACAGCCGGGAAACGACCATGACCCAATAAACGGACAATTCCAATTGTACTTTTGTCATCAATTGGCAGCTTGTAATAAACTTCTCCTTTTCAATAATACCCAAGCTTCCACAAATAAAATATAATTGTGTAATTCTCATTGAATTTGACATACAAAATTGTGTACACACGCAAGTTACTTGACATTTTAGAATATACGTGGGTTGAAGAAAAAAAGCGTGAAAATGCTCTAAATTTGCATGAGCATCCGTGGATTTTAATCGTTTTAAACCAACTGGTTTAAAAAAATAATAAAAAACTCTTTCAAACATCAAAGATGAACTATGCATCACCCAGGAAAGCAATTCAAGGTCAATTTCATATTCATTAATTTAATTTCAATTAGACCAAGTTAGTTGGTAATGAATTTGTATTGTGTGAAGTGTAGGTGTGAGGTACATGCAGCTACAGCAGAATCGAAAAGATAGGCGTGGATAATTAATTGCTTTTTTGTCTACATGTTTAATACAGATGAACAGAGAGACAATGAAGAAACGATGGGATTAGGCTACGAATATAATTTGTTCTCTCTCTCCATTTTTAAAGCTTGATTCCGATGGATTGCGACCCTGTTTGCTTCAACTTCATTCCTGTGCCTGCCTTAAGTACTGACTGGCATTGTTAAAGCATGTTTCCCCCTGGTCCCAATAGCATTCATAAAAAGACAAACATCACATTGATAAAGGGAGTGTGGCTTGGCAAATACTGGTTAACGCCATATACAGGTGTACGTCTTCTTTTGGACAACTTCACGTAAAGGAATTGGCTTGATTAACGGTAGTCAGTGACTTAATCTCTACATGGTCAGCGGTCGCCTCGTCTGTAGTCGTATTATACCCGATTGGCCCCGAGTCAGGCCACGGGAAAGACACATAGTCTCGTCATGCTACGTTCCCTTTAAGCTTAAAACATTCTCATATGAAAATTATTTCTGGTATTGTCAAACATAATCCACAAGCATTGGAATCTTGTTCACTTTAATGAACTATATTCATGTATCTACCTTCGTCACTAATTGACATATTTTAAAAGCATGTTCCCATGGGTGCAAGCAGCGTTCATACAAGGACATTTTATTCATCATGCTTGATATGAACTACTCACATTGTCATGTGTGATGCAACTTTTGTGAATTGCAACCGTTTTCATTATCACCAACTTCATTGATGCTCCTGTCTTTTATAGTAGCTGACATAAACTCCCCCAAAAGTTTGGATATCATGGAAACTCAAAGTTTATTTGATAATATCTATCTTGTTAGGGCATAATCATCACAATGTTTAGTATCATAAGAAAATAGATTTATTCCGTTGTAAAATGATACCCCATTTGCTATGAATTTTCAGCCATGGAATGTGCGTTACATCAAACTAAGGGGCAAGGTCAAAAGTCAAAAGTTGCAAGATGCAACGCTCCTATTCGGATGTGCATTCACTATGAACATGACAGATAAAGAAAGCGGACAAAATATACAGTTCCTCAGGTAGACAAAGGAACATCCCTTCACTGCTATTATGTAAAAAGTGAATATGCATGTGACACCTGTTCTACACATTTTTACATAATAGCAGTGAAGGGATGTTCCTTTGTCTACCTGAGAAACTGTATATTTTGTCTGCTTTCTTTGTCAGTCATGTTCATAGTGATTCTTCTTTCTTTGAAGCGTGTAGGTTTGATGTGTAGTGCACTGCATAACAACAGCTTACAAGTGTATTTTTCAACTTTTCACTGTTGACCCTGCCCCTTATTCAGATGTACTGCTCGTTCCATGGCTGCAAAGTCACAACAAATATGGAATCCTTTGAAAGAGGAATACATACTTTCTAATGATTCTTTAATAACAAAAAGACAATCATGCCATGAATAAGGAGATATAATCGATTAAACTTGAGTTTCGAGACGTTTTTTGAAGGGTTTAGGAAGAGCATGTTCCTCGTCACAACATTCACACGAGGACACCGTCTCACTTACTTGTAATATTTGGCAGCCACTTCAAACTGTACCATGAAGACACATGCGTTTCCTAGGTTGCTGTAAGCTCGCCTCTCTGCTGCTTTGTCTCCGAATTCCTTTGCTATAGCAAGACGCTGAAAATGACAAATAAAAAAAGATAAAATTGAGTCTCACATCCTGCCAACTTTAATTCGGTATTCTTCACAGATCTAAGTGATACAAAAAATCAAAGTCAATAAATGTCTTCCAAAGAATGTTTTATAATACAGGTATGAATGTAAAATATTTTTTCCTTCATCAATTCTAATTAATAAGTTGATATTATTATTATTATTATTATTATTATTATTATTATTATTATTATTATTATTATTATAAGTCAATATTAAGTTGAAGGGTCAAGATACAAAATATGAAATTGTTATGCCATTTGGTTATCCAAATTTCACAAAATGGCCCCTAGATGACATCACATTATGCAAATGACCTTGAAAAGTTTTGTGTGTCCAGTCCTCAGTAGGGTCTAATTAGAATGTTTGAGGTATATGTTCCACAAGAAATTTACAGGAAAGAGAAAAGGGGGGGGGGGGTTCCTGACAAATATAATAGGTGATATGTACAATAGTACATACTACCTAATTAGTCTACAGCAAACAAATTTCAGACCCTATTACGACTGGCAAGGGGATTTGACTTACAAGCAACATTTACACACTTAATACTCCTTCTGTATTACAGGTATAGATTCTTAGTTTCATACTTTGGGCAACCTAATTTCCTGGCAAATAGAAAACCCACACAAAATCAATGTACAGCATAGTATATAATCTCTGGTATAATCTCTGGTTTATACTACATGTAAGAAGAACTTTCAAAATGCATCTCAATTCTGCATCGTGTATTCATGAATGCTAAACCCTTGATTATCATACTGATGTGCTGTCTGCAATGCACGGCTATCAATAAATAATTGTCTACAAACGAAGAAGAGAATATACTAAAAGGAAGATAATCCCTGCATCAGCTAGAGTATGGAAATCCCAGTAATGGGGGCAGTGATAGATAATGTAGTGGTGGAATTGTAGGTGGGCTGCAGAACCCAAATAGTCTGTTCCTACGCTAGTTTGGCCTAATTACACCGAGATAATGTGTTAACCAAACAACAATAGTCTACTAATTACATGTAGCTATACTACATTATCATTTCTTTTTATGGAAGACACAGAGACAGAGCTACAACTGTCTGTCATTTGTTGTGGTTGTTGTTATTGATGTTGTCATTGTGGTGATTGTTGTTGTGGTTGTGGTGGTGGTTGTTGTTGTTGTTGTTGTTGTCTTTGATGCAACATGTCAACATTTATAAAATTTCAAAATTGCTGTGGCATGTTCACGAATCAAGACAAATCTGCACAATACAAAAAAGCTGATCAGAATAAGAAAGACCTACTGTGTGTAAACAGAATCAGATCGAATTAAAATTTGTAATAAAGGTCGGGAAAGAAAGATTAAGCATTAAGCTTGATTGAAATAGTAGAATTCCAATGCAAGTCTTTTGCTACAAATATTATCTCTGAAAAAACATTGTTTACAAATCTCCATGTATGGTAGATTTCCTAGAAATGCAGGTAATATACAGAACCTAGAACTGAATATTGTTGCAGAACTACCGAATATAGAAGCTCAATGCAATATAATACTCTTCCTCTTACCACTAAATTACTTCAAAGTGTTAAAACATTCAAAAAGTATTTAAACAATACTATTCCAGACTTCTTGTAGCTGTATCTTTTTTTCTTTTTTTTTAATTTAAATTTTTTAAATAAATAATTTACTTGTCTAGCTTTCTCTCTTGTATATATACCGTAAATATTTCTCTCCTGTTTATTGTTTTACTTGAATTTGCTCTTATCATTATTGTAAGTTCTTATTTTGCTGTAAGTTTTCCTTACTTTTGTAATATCTATTTTCATGTTTTCTATGTCTATAGGGACCCCTCTGTAAACCTGCATTGTTATGCTAATAACGCTGAGTAGGGCCATCCCTCCGTCTTCCTTTTTATAAGTGTGTCTTTATGATTGTAAATATATATATCGTCGCTGTTTTCACGAAGTGACGGTAGTGAAAAAAAATTGCATTCACTTTGCGTTACGATTATTCTCACTACCGTCACTTCGTGAAAACAAGGACGATATATATGTTGATGTCTTTTTAAATGAAAGAAAATAAATACAATACAATACAACTAACAGTAGGGGAATAGGAATAGACACACAGCAGGGAAGGGAGAGGAAGAGAGAGGACAAGTAAAGAGTGAAGAGAGGAAGAGAAAGAAAGGGAGACCAGGAAAGAGATAGAAAGAAATAGATACAGAGGATAGAGATGTAAAAAGAGAAACATGAAGAAAGACAGAGACAAGGAGATAGAGAGGGAGGGAAAGGGAGAGAGAGAGAAAGAAGAGTACAATGCAAAATAACTGTCAAAATAATCTGTGAAAAGTGCTGCAATTTCTGAGGCCATTTCGCGGGAGTAGGAGCACCGCGGCTTGACATATTAACTTGGATGTCAAAAGCACGCCGGAGATTAAATTTTTCAAGTGCTTCTTCCTCCTCTTCCTTTTCTACTTTTTCTTCTCCTCCTTTCGCTCACCTCTGTGTGGAATTGTATAGCCGTCTCGAAGTTGCCCAGAAGATAATGTGTGTTGCCTAGGTTACCACAGGCCCTGCCTTGTGCCGCTCTGTCTCCAAGCTCCCTCACTATTGCTAGGTTGGCTCTGTCAATAAAGAAAGAAGAAGACAAAGAATCAGTATCCTCTCAAGCAAACTCTGCATATTTATTATGATGGGTTGAGATTCGACGGAATGGGAAAATGTTTGCAGCGTAGTTCAGCAAATTTGTTCCTTTTAGAGAGTCTTTAACACACATTTGACGTATGACATACTCTTTGGAAAGGCAACGCATGTACATACTGATATAAACTTGAATATAAGATATATCCATTTTATTGTTCAGGTTCAATGGAATGGGGAAATCTTTGATGTTCAATTTAGAGAGTCTTTAACGCCCATATTTCCTACAACATAATATTTCAAAAGGCAATGCAATAAGCCTCAGTTACTGATATAAACTCTAATATAAAATATATTTATTTGATTGTTCAGGTTCAATGGAATAGGAAAATCTTTGCGGCCGCGTTATTCAGCAAATTTGTTCCATTTAAAGAGTCTTTAACACATTTATCATCTAGGACATAATTTTTCAAAAGGCAATGCAATAAGCCTCAGTTACTGATATAAACTCTAATATAAAATATATTTATTTGATTGTTCAGGTTCAATGGAATAGGAAAATCTTTGCAGCCGCGTTATTCAGCAAATTTGTTCCATTTAAAGAGTCTTTAACACATTTATCATCTAGGACATAAATTTTCAAAAGGCAATGCAATAAGCCTCAGTTACTGATATGAACTCTAATATAAAATACATTTATTTGATTGTTCAGGTTTAAGCGAATAAAAAAGCATTACCGGTAGTCAGTAGTTGAACAGAAATCAACAAAAGTTGTTCATTTTTTAAAAGTCTTTTTCATGTACGATCTGCAAGAAACCCTGGGGGAAGTCTTTTCACAATCCTCAGTAAACGGTATATTAAAATAACAATATTTATTTAATAATTCAGGCTTCAGGGAAGTGACTCCTTCAAAGTTCAACAGGCAAGGTTGCTCCATTTTGAAGAGAATATCTCACTCATATTCAATCTGCCAGAAACTATTTCGCAAGGCATATGAATGCTTCCGTAATTTAAATGGAAAGAAAAGCTAATGGGTCTCTAAAAGGCAGTGTATAATAACAGAAAGAGTTGCAATGGTTATCAAATTTGCACAAAGGTCTTTACATGGGCTATGAGACCGATTCTATTTTGATGTAATGAAATATACTAAAAATATACATCTACGAATCGGTGACACGAACCCTAATGATTTGCCATTAGGGAACAATCAAATCAATGTGATTTGCATTTTTTATCAGTAACGAAAGCTTCATGCATTGCCTTTTCAAAGAGTATGTCATAGACCATACATGACTTTCTCTTTCGTGAGGTGACATTTTCAAGATATTTCAAATCAGTTAGTAGCACTTCTCAAGGCAAATTCTTACTTTTAATGGTAACTTTTACAGCTTGTGCCCATTTGCAAATGTATGGAATTGAATCTTGCTAGAATAGATCAAGTTATATGTAGAATTTCAAGACAATTTCAAATGTTGCATGTTTCACTTCTTCCCTATAAAAAGCACTTAAGAGACCAAAATAGAAAACATGTGAAATGTGAAACGATGTAAGCAAGCTCTTTACAGCAATCCTAATACAATACCAGGTACATGAAGCTTTCCAGTGAAATACTCTATTGAAAAAAACATATTTCTATTTTATGAACAGGGTACACAAGCTCAAGTTTGTAATTTGAGGACAAAATCACTTTGTGTCTGAGTTACAACTGTACCTGTATCAGAAAAACATTTACCGTAAATCTCCGTGTATAAGACACACTTTTTTGCCGCCAAAAAAATTGAAAGTCGGGGGTGCGTCTTATACGTTTGGATTTATCCCCTCCACCTGGCAATGTCTCCCAGCTCAGTAATCGGTGTGTTGACTCACCACTCAGAAACTAGAACAACACTCCAATTTATTTGTAATCTTGGTTTTAAGGTAATCTTTCTAATAGATCTCAAAATTTAGTTTATAAAATTCCTTCAATTTTTCTTCTATAACACACGGCGTACCACAAGGTTCTATCCTAGGTCTTCTACTATTTTTGATTTACATTAATGATCTTACACATTATTCTAAAACGACATTGTTACTATTATTTGTGACAAGTTCACAAGCACAAATCGGCGCCTTCAACTGCACCTTGCAGTCCTTCCTCGCGTGGGTTTTTAAACATGGACCTGGCTTCCTTCCAGAGAGAAAAAAAAGGGGAAAAAACGCCTTATACACAGAGATTTAAGGTATATAGTCCCTATATATTGCTGTAGCCATTGTCATTTTATTGTCACCATTGCCAGATTTATACTTTGCTTACTCATCAATAAACCTCAATAACAGGTCATTAATGATGTAAAATGTATCATTAAGACTATATTTTTATCTTTCCGCAAGGACTATGCCCGGAAAAACCCCCCTTCTTTCTCTGTCTCTCTCTTTCTCTCTCTCTCTTACACACAAGACACTTTTTCTTCCAGATGCATCCCTCTTATTCTCCCTTGGATGTTATAATTGATGTAGTGAAGGAGGTTTGTAAAAGAATCACAATCACATGTAGATGTTCCAGATTGCATAGTTACTTTCCAGATTTCAATATCATTTAAGATAAGAAAGCAAGATAGCTGTCACCACAATAACATGATTTTGTGTTAATGAGACAGTGAATATACATGTGCTTGAGCTGCAATTTTTTCTATAGCAGGGCCCCCGTCTTATAAAGACTTGCGATTGATCTAAATCAATCTAAAGTCCTCCAATCAATCACAAGTTTGCAGTCTCCTATCTCTTATGTACATAGTTGTGATTGATATCAATAGCAAATAAGTTGCCCCTAATACGACCTCTTTATAAAGACGGGGCGCCTACATAATATTAGAATGGAGCATTCACACTGCCTGTAAAGAATACCAGGCAAGGCAATGGAAACCTGCTCCAATTCTCTCCTAGTAGACACTTTCGTAATAAACATTCACCCAGAGGTTTGCTTGAATGTTATTCTTTTCTTAATAATAATAATATTCCATTCTTGTATACTGTATATCACATTAAGATATAATATCCCTATGATATATAACATCTCTAACATCCCAAAGAGCTTTGGAAATGATTACCCTAACTGTTATCAGTGCACAGTGCACCTTATCTAAGTGGTGTGTGACAAATGTAAATTTACGTCTTGCCAGAGGACGTTAGAGTTGTGGCAGGGATTTGAACCCTGTGCCTTGTGGTTCACAGTCCGAAGACTTATCCACTGGACCACAAAACCTCTACATATTCTTGCTTTCCATACAATATTTAATAGTCTCATTTCGGTTAATGAACTCTTAGTGGCTTGCAAACAACAACTGATACTTTCTTTAATCCAAGCACTTTCCATTTATTTCCTATCCTCGCCTTTATTCAGTATTCCTTTTCATGACATTTCTCATATGGCCTCGTTCATACTTGACATGGTTGACCACCTCAAAAATCCTCGGGGACAAAATTAAAACCATTTTGTATGTAAATGACTGGCAAATTGGCAAGTACTAGAAGGGATTAAAAGAAGAAGCCAATGCAATAAAGGGGCATTTGGTACTTAATCATGTGCTTGTTAAAAGACACCGAACGGTAAAGTAAGCATATGCTACTATACTTAAATACCACAACTCTCATTTTTCCTGGCAGCATCCCTGCGAAATTTGAACGAGGCTTAACTCAAGTCTTTACATGTTCATAAGCTTGCTCTTTGAAAAGGTTCTGGTGACATTTAAATTCACAACATAGCCTCAGCATCAATCTCCATTAAAAAGCCACAGTATGTAGAAAGACAAACAAAATTACAGAGAACATGTTTCACTTTTTTCTATCCATGATTGTGGGTGGCTCTGGAATGCAGCCTTCTGAAGAAGAAAAAACAGAACAGTATAGACATAATCTTGTGCTACACTATAGTTATATCATTTAACTTACTATATTATCACATGACCACTTTTCATGTTAATCTGCTTATTAATATTTCTTTTACATGGCTTCTTAAATTTCTCAGAAAAAGAGTTACTGGTATAGATATAATCAAGTAATAGTTAATATCATTTTAAATCTTATATCACATGGCCACTTTTCATATTAATCTTCTAATCAATATTTCTTTTCCATGCCTTCTTAAATTTCCCAGAAAGAGAGTTATAGTTATATCATTTAAATTCTTATCACATAACCACTTTTCATATTAATCTTCAATATTTCTTTTACATGGCTTCTTAAAATTTCCAAGAAAGAGAGTTATAGTTATATCATTTAAATTCTTATCACATAACCACTTTTCATATTAATCTTCAATATTTCTTTTACATGGCTTCTTAAAATTTCCAAGAAAGAGAGTTATAGTTATATCATTTAAATTCTTATATCACATGGCCAATTTTCTTATTAATCTTCTTATTAATATTTCTTTTACATGGCTTAAAATTTCCAACAAAGAGAGTTATAGTTATATCATTTAAATTCTTATCACATGACCACTTTTCATGTCAATCTTCTTATCAAAATTAATTTTTTTCATGGCTTCTTAAAATTTCCAACAAAGAGAGTTATAGTTATATCATTTAAATTCTTATCACATGACCACTTTTCATATTAATCTTCTTATCAATATTTCTTTTACATGGCTTCTTAAAATTTCCAACAAAGAGAGTTATAGTTATATCATTTAAATTCTTATCACATGACCACTTTTCATGTCAATCTTCTTATCAAAATTAATTTTTTTCATGGCTTCTTAAAATTTCCAACAAAGAGAGTTATAGTTATATCATTTAACTTCTTTTCACATAACCACTTTTCATATTAATCTTCTTATCAATATTTTTTTAAACATGGCTTCTTAAATTTCCCACAAAGAGAGTTATAGTTATAATATCATTTAAATTCTTATCACATAACCACTTTTCATATTAATCTTCAATATTTCTTTTACATGGCTTCTTAAAATTTCCAAGAAAGAGTTATAGTTACAGTATATCATTTA